AAAAAAAAAAAAAAAAAAAAAAAAAAAAAAAAAAAAAACACATCATAGTAAAATTAAAAACCTTCTCAGCTTCGCATCGAAGCTAAAAATACATAAAATTATAAATAGAATTATAAAATATTAAATGTTAATCATTATGATATATAATTATTAAACATGTAAACATATAAAATTTCATGACACATAAAATTAAACATATATTAATTTAAAATATTATGTATACCGTTTAGGTCGACATAGCTTCTCGCGAGGACAAAGTTTGCGTTTCCGAGGTTCATCATTATTTTTTATTTCAATACTCTTATTATTATAGGATAAATTGTTTTCATTTCCCCATATTACCCCCTGTTTTAGTATTAAGAGTTCTCACGTCCTACGGTACCTCACTCCATCTTCCCCCGCCACAATAAAAGACCTCGGAGTACTGGCTAAATCTACTACTTTCCCTCGCATTTTTTTATGTTATAGTCTGTCTTAAATAACACATTATACCCAACTTGTAACTCTTTAAGATTTTTACTATTTTTATCATGATAACTTTTTTGTTTTTGTTTTCTGCTAAAAAGATCATTTTTTATTTGACTTAAACTTAACTTAAACGGCTCTAATAAATTATTTACTACCGGTAACTTATCTTTTAATCTACGAGACATCAACAATTGAGCTGGTGATAGCCCCAAACCCTCTATTGGTGTGTTTCTATAGTTCAACAGAAATATATCTAAATTGCTCTTTTTCTCCTCTGATTTTTTAAAAAATTTTTTACATGTACTGACAGTTTTTTCTGCCTGTCCATTGCTTTTAGGATAATGCGGACTACTATAAATTGATTTAATGTTCCATTCAGTGCAAAAGTGTTTAAATTCTTGACTGTTAAATGGAATGTTGTCCGAAACAATCTCATCCGGGCAACCATGAATAGAAAAAATGTTTATAAAGGTTTCTATTACCTGTGAAGCCGACTTATCTTTAATTTTTGTAAGCCCAAACCACTTTGAAAAATAATCAGTTACTACTAGATGACTTTGATTTATACTCTAAAATGTCTGTGCCTATTTTCTGCCATAGCCTGCACGGAATATCAAGAATTAACATCGGTAATTTACTATTGTTACTTTTAAATGTATCACATAATTCACAATTATTTACAATTTTTTCAATATCATTATTGATTTTAGGCCAGTAGATTAACTCCCTTGCTCTAGATTTACATTTATTTATACCAAAATGACCTTCATGTAAAACATTTAAAAAATATGCTCTCATAGCCCGTGGAATGACTATTTTATTATTAAAGAATAACACACGATTAACAACTGTCAAATTTTGTCTTATTTTGTAGAAACTAGACATCTCTCTCTGTATGCTATTACTGTTGGGCCAATTATTATTTACACATTCTACAATCATTCTATACTCATTATAAACATCTATAGCGTCTGTTAATCTATTTAAAGTTTCAGTACTTATCGGACAAACAGTTTTTTTGTTGTGTATATTATGATACACGTCCTCGATAACATTTTTATTACCAATATCATTATGAAGATAATCTCTACTGAGCGCATCCGCAATAAACATTTTTGAACCGGGCAAATATTCTAATTGTATATTATACATAACAATTTTTGAAAAGCATTCTTTGTAGTCTAGGTGAAACTTTTTTAAAATTTTTTTTTATTATCGACACCAAAGGCTTTAATAAGATGGGCCTACCATAAATAAAATAATGGAATTTTTCACAGGCACNCTGAGCGCATCCGCAATAAACATTTTTGAACCGGGCAAATATTCTAATTGTATATTATACATAACAATTTTTGAAAAGCATTCTTTGTAGTCTAGGTGAAACTTTTTTAAATTTTTTTTTTATTATCGACACCAAAGGCTTTAATAAGATGGGCCTACCATAAATAAAATAATGGAATTTTTCACAGGCAAAGACTATTGCCAGCAACTCTTTTTCTATTTGAGTGTATCTTTTTTGTGTTTCAGATAAACTTTTAGACTCATAAGCTACAACTGAACCCTCTTGCAATAAAACTGCTCCTACGCCATCTTTTGATGCATCAGTTTGTACTTCGATTAATTTGTTATCATTAAAGTGTGCAAGAATTGGTGAACACGTTAATAATTTTTTAATTTCATTAAATGAGTTTTGTTGTTTATTTGACCATTCCCACTCTACTTTATCTTTTGTTAAATCTTTTAATGGTGCGCTAACCTTGCTAATGTTTGGTACGAATTTAGTGAAATATTTTACTATACCTAGAAATCGCATAATTTGTTTTTTATTTTTAGGAATCTCTAGTCTAGAGATTGCATTTAAACGATCAGAATCTATTTTAATACCAGCCTTACTTACAATAAAGCCTAACATTTTTACCTGTGATAGTTTGAACTGTATTTTTTTTTTCATTAAGTGTTATACCTGCTTTTATAGCTTTTTCTAAAACCTCTTTATGTATTTCATCGTGTTTTTTTTTCATTTTCGGCAGCTATATATATGTCATCTATGTATACTTTTACACCTTCTTTACCCCCAAAAATTTCAGAATTTTTACTTTGACACACTTCAGACAATACTGAAACCCAAACGGACTTCTAATGAATTTATACCTTCCGAAAGGTGTTGAAAAACAACAAAGGTCGGCTGATTTTCATTGAGCTTTATTTGATGAAAAGAGCTTTTCAAATCTAAGACGGTGAAAAAATTTTTATTTTTTAAGTCAGATAAAATTTCTTCATGATTAGGAAAGGATAAGAGTCTTTTACTATATTCTCATTTAGATACTTCGGATCCAAGCAAATACTTAAGTCACCGTTTTGTTTTTCAACTAACACTATATTATGAACCCACAATGTTGGAATATCTACTTTAACTATGACATTTTGTTTAACTGAAATTATCTATTGTATTTTTTAGTTTTGGTAGTAGACTCTTTGCTACTCGACGAGCTGGGAAAGATATTGGTTTAACATCTTTTTTTAGTTTTATTGAATACGGTCTACCAGGATAAGTTCCCAACCCGTTAAAGACTTTAGGGTAGTTTGAAATTAAATCTTGTTTACTAAAAAAATGAACCTCGTTTACCGCATTGACTTCTTTACAAGATATTCTCTTAATTAAATTTAATTTTTTACATGTAATCAACCCTAGTATGGGATGACATTTAATATCTACTATCACAAATTTTATCTTACACTTAAAATTATTTACTATACTATCCAAAACTATTATGCCACAAGGACTTAATATATTATTATTATAAACTACTAACTTTATATTAGTTTTCTCCAGTTTCAACTTCTTTTGCAAAACATTGTGTAATGTGTCGACTCCCATTACATTTGCTTGTAAACCCGTATCCAATTTGCATGCCACTTCTTTGCCTTCTATGATTATCCTTTGTGTCCATTCCGTTTCATTTTCTAACATGCATGAGACCGAATCCAGAAAATATTTTTCTTCATCGCCTTTATTCGTCTCGCAAACATGAATATCAACATTACCTGGTTTTTCTTCTTTTTCTTCCCGTTGACTCATTTTATATTGCTTACAGCCTATTTTGAAATGATTTTTTTGTTTACAAAATGCGCATATTTTGTTAAAAGCTGGACAATTTCTCCGACTATGATTTCGACCACATTTAAAACAATCATAGGTTAANTTTTTTTTTTTACAAAATGCGCATGTTTTGTTAAAAGCTGGACAATTTTTCCGACTATGATTTCGACCACATTTAAAACAATCATAGGTTAATTCACATTTGGTTTGAACGTTCCGTTTATTTTGAATATCTTGGCCCTCGGTGGTTTGTTTGCTGTTAGAGAAATCAGCGTGTTTTTTTACTATATTGTGCGTGTTTAACTCTCTAGTAGCACTAAACATTTCATTAATTTGTTCTTTGGTTACTACCCATTTTTTTGCAATATCAATCGCCTTCTCTAATGTCACATCAGATTCGTATAACAGCTTTTCTTTTATTTCCAACTGATTTACACCAATAATCAATTTGTCTCTAATCATATTTTCAGATTCACTGAATTTACAGCTCGATGTCAATGTTCTTAATTTTGTGACATATTCACCAATAGACTGGTCCGGTTCTTGGTTACAAGAATAAAATTTAAATCGTTCGAATATAATGTTTTTTTTTTGGTTCGAAATGATTTTTAAACAAAGTTATTACGTTATCATACGTTCTCTTTGTTTGCCGGTCAAAGGTGAATGTATTGTAAATATCCACTAACTTCTCGCCAGTAACATTTAACAAAATAGCTATTTTAACCTCATCTGGTTTTTCATAACTGCCTGATGCTAAGAGGAATATTTCAAATTGTTGGTAAAATCTTCTCCAATTTACCGCCAAGTTTCCATCTAAACTTAAATATTTGGAATTTTACACTCCATTGTTTTTTAAACGATAACACTTTCAAGTTTTTTTTTTAAAAAAAAACACCACAATTATTTAAATTACATACATTTTAGCACGTAATTAACTGTTTTAAGACGATTTAATTCACAGTTGACACCATGTTGTAGATCCTTTTACTCTTAAATTATAATAAATTAAATACACAAGTTCTTAAAAGAATAACATTACAATATAAGAACACACAACACCACCCGGTCTCGTCGAATGCCGGTCGGCAACTGATAACAACGAGATTAATATAGAGAGTGTACACCACAAGAGAGAGAAAGAGATCTCGTGTTCCTTGAGCTCTTTTCAATAAATACACCCTTGTATATAAGGTCTATTTTTAGAAACTTCACTTTATCCAGTGCCACATATTAAATTATTCTTTTACTAATCTATTTGAAATTAAAAAACATATATTTAATAAGTACTCTCTTATATAATTTATTTTTTAATTTGTTGTAGACAATTGCTGCTGGAACCACTTATCTTATTATTTTATTTCAATTCCATCTACCAAAGGAACAATGAACTTTCAATAATTTATGTGTTTATTTTTTAAATTTATTAAGAAAGAAACGTGTTTGTTTCTGATAAATTATTACTAATAATTATAATTAATATTAAATTATTACTATTTTGATCTAGATGTGTTTACTAAAGCTCTACATGGGCCTAACTCAAACCTACAGGAACAGTTTAGATAGACCCGACCTAGTAAATATGACGATCAGTTCGGACTTGTAAAAATTATTCATTTCGTTAGGCTAGGCGTTAATATGTTCTTCAAAATTAGTATGACGGCCGAACCGTTTTTTTTTTTTTGAACAAAAATCAAAATTTATTAATTTCAAATAACTTTACCCGATAGACATTAAAATTAAATAAATTTGATCTTTCTCAATCTAATTGTTAAGAAGTTTTTTATAATTTAAATTAACACGGATTAAATCCTATTAAAAAAAAAACATTTGGAAGGGCTTGAATGTACAATATTATGTGCATATAAACCTCTGATGTATACAAGTCATATATTTAAAAAAATATAGTGATGATGGGAGGAGAATATGCTCAAAGTTTCCTTAGTCGAGTTACTGGTACATCTCTTGCATTAAGTCTGAATATGGCTATGGATTTAGATACATATAAATATAACGCTTACAGAATTAAAATTCATAAAATTAGTTTCACAATATAACTTACCTAATGAATTTAAAATAAACTATTATTTTTAATTACATGTACAATTTTTTAATAAAAAATATATATGTATATTAAATTAAATATAAAAATAATTACAGAAGAAAAATACATACACTCATAGTAAGTATTACAGTCTTAAATAAAAAATTGAATTTTACTGCTTCATATCAAAAATCAATCTTTTCAAATATAAAATATGTTTACGAGTTAAATTACAATTTAATTAGTAACATGTTATTTCCATAATAAATATTATTAACTATTTTAAACTGTTATAAAAATATATAAAATAGTAGAAATTGAAAACTTAATGTCAACAAGTATTGTTGTTCTTAAGGAATATCTTTGAAATTTGTGATAGGGTCGCTTGTTATGTTTTTTATTGCTACAATCATATCGGTGAGCATTTTTACTCGTTCACTTACTTCTGGATTATCATATGGATCCTGGTAGTTATTAAAATTGTCTTTAGCTCTGAAATCTTCTTCTACTTCTTGATTTCTTGGTAAGTCATTATATAAGTTTTGTCTATTTTCTGATTCAATTTTACGGAAACTATTCTCGTTACCTTTATTTCCTATTTCTAAATTATCAGATTCCATGTGCATATGTTTAGCGTGTTCTTTTGATTCACGACACATTGAACAGTAATCTGGTGTTACATTTAACTCTTCTAATCGTTTATCAGTGAGTATATTTTCCTTTGCCCGATCTTCTGCATTCTCATCAGACCCTCTAAATTTGACTATGTTTTGTGGGGTTTCTTTCATAGAAATGTCTGCAATTTTCTGATCAGCCTGATTCTTTGAAATTTCTAAATTTGGATCTTTTTGGAAATTTTGAATATAAGTTTTAATTTCCGGGCTATCTATGTTAATGCCTGAGTTAACTGGATAAATTATATCTTCATTATTATTTTCTTCATTTGATAGATTTTCTTTAGTGCTATTTGTTTTACCTAAATAAAAACCATTATTAATGATCTGTATAATACGAATAGGTATTTCTGAATCTCTTTCTTTATTATCATCATGTAAAACTCGAGTCAAAATAGGTTGTATAGAATTAAGTGCTTGTTTGTTAACTATATAATTAGTACTACTCAGCAATTCATTCATGTTCAAATTATTAAAGTTTTTTTGTACTGGATTTTTATTAATTGAATCATCACTTGATTCGTTGATTAAACGAAAGTCGCCTTTTAATAATTTACTAAGTGATAATGCCGAATATTGTCCATTTGATTTTTCAACAGGAACAAAAACATCAGAAATGTACTCTGAATTATTTTCATCACAATCTTTTTGACTAATTAATGGAATTTTAAACTCGCCATCAAATACTTTAACTTTTGGTAATATTTCAAATCTCCTTTCACAAGCATTTTTGTCATTTGGGACTTTATCATTTCCTTTGCTTCTTATATAAGGAATAGGTGTAGGATTGTTTAGTAAACCATTTGATTCAATATTATTTTGTTTTAAGACCTCATTGAAATTTAGCCAATTATATTCTGAATTATCATAGTTTGAGTCGCTTATGGTTTCTGATGATCCGATGTTACGCTGATTTTCCAAAAACGATTGCCGAGTTAATGGTTGAATAAATGGTTGTTCTTCTATATTTTTCGTGAATTTTTCTGAAAGTTTATCGATTCTAATTGGCTTTAGATAATCTTCATCATACAACGTTTGATCATCTTCTACATTTGGCTCATTTAAATAAGGTACTTCCAATTTTGGCTTAAGACCTTTCTTCAACATATTCTTTTCAAAATAAGTACTTGGATGCGTTTTTAAAAATTGAGAGTTAATATCGTCGAGTTTTCTTGGAGTGGATTTTTCGTTTATATCATCTTTATCTAAAGGTTCTGACAAACTAATATCTTCAGATCCATCATTAATGGACTCTGAAAAAACTATTTGATCATTTTCATTTGCCATTTGTTCAGTGATATCATCATTATTTGACATTTTTGCATCTATTATTTCAGATGACTCTTCAAAGTTACCTTCATTATCAATATTATGCTTTAATTCTGATTCATTAATACTGTCGTCATCATTCGAACGTTGGAAAGTTTGTTGATTATCATTATGCAGGTTAGATAAGGCCATATTTGAAAACAATTTTTCTGTACTATCGTTATCCTCAACAGTTTTTGGTAATAAAATCAATTTATTTTTATTTTTAGTATTTTTTTGGCCATTGTTCAAAAATAATAAATCATCTCTTTCAGTTTTTTTGGTTAGCGTACTAATTTTATCCATTGAATTTTTTTTATCAATTGATTTCGTTAAAGGATTCGACTGTTTGTTTGAGTTTTCTTTAATCGGATTTCCGAGTGACTTTCGGACATCCTGTGGATAATTCGCCAAATAATTTATGTTAAGGTTTTTGGTTATTATTTTCTTGTTAATATTTATATCTTTATTATATTCATCAGATTTAGATGGTAAATTCATATTTTTTGACGATTTTTCTATTTTTTTACTATTATCTTTTAGTGTATTTAATAGCTGGGGAGTATTTTTTCTTTGTAAAATATTAGTTATTGTTTTGTTTTTTTCATTATTTCTATTTTTTATAAATGGTTCTTTTATGGTAAGAATATTTTTTTTGACAGTAATGTTTTCTTTATCGCTTGAATAATTTGGATATGCATCAGATTTTAATTTTTTTAATACATTTGGTTGTGGTCTTGCTAATATTTTAACTTTTAATTTGTCATTACTACGAGATTCTTCATGTGATAATGGAGATGATGTAGTTGTTGATGTTGATATCTTACTTTTCTTTATATTTGGAGTGTTTATAGATTTTAAATTTTTATTGGATATCTTTCTCAAAATAGAACCGTTATTTACTCCAATTTCTTCTTCCGTACTTTTATCTATGTTAGAATCATGTTTATTTGGTAATAAAGATTTTAATATAAAATTAGTTTTTTTTGGTATTTTAAAATCATTTTGTGGTGTTGGTATTAATGGTGATGAAACTTTGTTAGTGAACTTATTAAATGATATTGGAGTTTCAGTAGTTAATGTATTATAATTTTCATCAACTTTCTTTATGGTTTTTTTGAAGTTAAGAATGTTTTGTAAAATAGGTTTTATATCAGAAATTTTTGATTTTTGTGGAAAATGTGATGTTAAGTTAACATTGCTCTCTTGAAGTTTCTTTTGTAATACAGAAGAAGGCGTAGTTGACCAAATATTTCGCCAAGATTTCTTAGATTGCATATCTTTCTTTTTTTTTTGGATAAGGTATTTTTCTGTTGTCATAGTTATGTTTGATTCAGAATTTGTATCTTCTACATCAGTATTTGACGCTAATGAAACTTGTGTTTCTGAATCTGGACTTAGTATTTTGTTATTTTTTAAAATTGAAGAATCTTCAGAAAACTCTTGAGGTGATTTATTCGATTTATTATTACTGATTTTTACTGTTTCGACGTGTTGTAAAACTGATGGGTTTTCATTAGATGTACTACCATTTTTATTTTTTTTTAATTGACGTTTAAACTGAGAAATAATGTTTTTTAGATTTTGAGAGTTATTTACAGTTTCAGAGGTCTCACTTAGTAATTGAGGTTGCTTAGATGATTGTGTTGTTTTTGTGTGAGAAAAATTTTTTTCTTGTTTGGGCACAAATAAATCAACGATCGATGGTTTCTTCAAATTAGTATTGCTATTTGTTACGATACGTTCTTTTGATTTTATTTTTAATAAAGGGTTTGCCTTGAAAGGAATGAAAGATTTCTCTTTATTTATTCTAGTCTCTATCGGAGCTGCATTCGTTTGATCTTCCTCATTATTATTATAATCTAACATATTACTATCTCCTAACATTTTGTTTCGTTCAGATAAAAATAAATAATTTGTTGTTAAATCTGATGGCGTATCATTTTTTTTTGACTTATTATAACTTGAAATTTTATTTTTGTTTTTCAATAATTTATTAAATTCTTTTTTTTTTAAATATTTTTCATTCGATCCGTTATCATTAACTAATGACATAAATTCTTTGAGAAGCTTAACTGGTTCATATTCGTTATTCTTTTTGTTCACTGACATTTTATCCCATGTTGTAGGTTTAATATATTCATCATATTTATTATTATTGTAATTATCTAATAAGTCAGGCGATTTTCTTTTAATAACATTGACATATACATTTTTACCATTTTCTAAATTTTTTTTATAATTTGAAACTTGATCATTTACATTTCTAACAAAATATTGTTCACTTTGACCATTTTCGTCATTAGAATGGGAATTCGCTGGAAAGTCGTCCACTTCTGAGCTTGGATTTTTATAATCATACGCAAACAATTCATCAGGTAAAATAGGTGTTCTTCTATTTGATACAAATAATGGATATTCATCATTATAATTATTTTTAGATATACGACTTGATTGATTTGATATAATGCCATTATTATTGATTATTTTAGATTTATTTTTTGTAGCGTTTATCAATTGTTGTTTTGGAGATATGTATGTGTCACTTTCTATTTCTGTTACATTTTTAATCGACGTTGAACTTAAAATATTTTTATAGTAACGGTTTTGTAAAAATCTATTATTTTCTATTGAATTTTGGTCATTCTCATGATATTGATCATCAAAAGAGGGGCTAGATAAGTTTTCATTGTTATAAATTTCTTGGACTGGTAATATATTACTTTCTCTCGAAAATCCAGGACTTTTTTGTTTTTTTAAAAGATTATTAAATTCTTCATTATTATTCTGCTGTATATTCGACTTTTTACTGACATTTACGTTTTTTTCTGAAATGTATTTCCCCGCTAACTTTCTATTGATATATGTATTTTCTGGATCTGAATCTAACACATCTATTACATTTTTCTTCTTGGCTTTTTCAAACTTTAGTGTCATAGCTTCTTCCGAGGAGCTGTTCGGATCGTTTTTAGTAATTTGATCTTGAGAAGATGGGTTTTTTAATTTTAATAATTTTCTTTGATTTTTTGAGGTCACTAATTGCTTGGAATTACGTAATTCTTCAATAATGTTGTATAAAACATTATCAATTTTTTTATCTTTGTCATTTTTTAATTCAATATTATTTTCGCTGTTATATGGTTGTTCGATGTTTTGTAAAATCTTGCAATTATCACATTCCATTATTTTTTTTTCTTTATTCTCAACAGTTTTGATAGTACTTTCTTGTGGTATTAACCTACTTTGTAATTTTAACTTTGTATCAATATTGTCATCACATTTTTTAACACAACGCTTTCGCTCTTGCGATTCACTGCGGGACCTTGTCACGGGTTTAGAATTAGTTTCAATTTCTATGTTTAAGTTTTTATCTTCAACAAGACCGTTAAAATTTTTTTCTTTATAGTCATCATAATATTGACTATCTTCATAATAGCTATTTTTTTCATCTTGTGTGGGTAATAAATCTAAAACTATTTCTATGTGAGGATCAGAATTATCTGATAATTCTTCGTGAATATTATTATTAGTGTGTCTTGTAACACGTTTGTGTTGAGGCTTAAAAATTTTTATATCTTCTAAACGTTTTACCACGGGAAAAATGACATGATTTTTTGACTTTTTTAATGTTTCATATTCTTTAGACTCAGAAAAAATATTTTCAGTTTCTTTATGATTCCTAACAGTATAAAAAAAACTATATTAAATGTTTAATAAAACTCATTAGTACATATAAGTAATTATAAAATAAACTAGTATAAATGTATCTTGTATATTTTCGCACAAAAATAGTGAACAAGATACAATTTATAAAATTTGTTATATACAAAAGGTTTAGAAATGATATGGAATTACTTCAATATTTAATTATTCTTAAAAGAATAAATTTATTTTAATTTTAACAATTATAAATATAAAATACAAAATTACCTTTTGCTGTTCAAAAAAGACTATTTTATATAATCAATTTACAAAATAACCTCCAATGAAATGTATGTATTTTTTTAATAAAAAATTTAAGTTTTTTATCATCTATCACAGAATATTAACGGGTATACTTCCAATTTCGTCCCGAATAGGTTGTTCAGGGGCATAGATGATTTTTTTAAATTTACTCTCAAATATTTTGATTTAAAGAGCCCCATAAGAGAAATTACAAATAATTTACAATAATATATATAATGTATATCATTTCTAATAATTGATAGTTTGAGGAAGTTAAGAGATATTTCCATTCCACGAAAGATACGATCCAAGATCAAAAAATTCACATTATTCACCAAGTTTCTTGTTTGGCTTGTTCCCCTTGTTAAAAGTGTTCTCAATTATTGGAAGATTGACAAGGAAATTTTGTAAGGAATGGATATTTCGTATCGAAATTGGTACAATACTCGTTAATATGCTGTGAGGAACGATAAAAAAAATCATTTTGAACAACAAGATTTTTTTTTATTAAATAACAAATGGAAATTTTTGAACTTTGTAATTATAATGATCAGTGCTGGGAAAATTACTTTTAAACGAAATTCGTTTTTTTCTTCGTTCACTTCCTAAAATAGGAACTCATTTCAGATCCAGTTCGATTAAAAAAAGAACTCGATCTTCTTTTCGTTTGTTTACAAAAATATTTAAAAACTGCTATTAATATTAATATTATTACCATAGTTTAAAATCAAAATATATAGAATATTTTAATCATCCTGTGCATATTGGACCAAATATTTGAGAAATGTTACTTTTTACCCCCTCCTTAATTTTTTTTTGTATAAACTAATATTTAATTTTAATAATTTTTTGTTTTATGAGGATCTGTGACATAATTAGGGAGGCTAATCATTGAACCCCTAGATTGAGCCTATGATTATGTATTTTCAAGATATTACGTTTATAGTGTAATAATTTATTTAATGTCAGAATACTATATTAAAATTATATAAAATTTTAACCGAACCCACTTACCAAATAAGTCCAAATCAAAAAAGTACATTATAGGTGATATGACCATATTCATTAGACATTATTGGCATTATGCCTAAGACCCATAATCTTACTACAAAGATCATTTTTTTTGCACGCCACTTTCATTGAAATATCTATAATAGTATATGAATATTTTTCGTATACTAAAATTTTTATTTAAAAAATTCTTAAAATATTTATCAATATTATAAATATGGATTTCTCGAAATAAATATAAACCAGCAGAGTGGGGTCGTGGCACAGTAAGGACGTGATATAGTTGGGTCCAGTATAGATGATATCTGACAGTGATTAAAATCACTACCATAAAAAACACTTCGATGATAATCTGGAGATAAGGTATTAATTTTATTATGACGTGTTTTTTTTTGTGTTTGTTATCACTTTTTCTCAGCTCTCACCGAACCGATTACTTTCAACGATACGTCAAAAGATCACAAATCGTATCTTGTTGAAGACATTACCCTCAAACATTGAAAAAATTTCCCTCGTTCTCCGTGAATGAGGGAAATCTCCAAAAACATTACAAATTTAAAAATCGCTAATTTTCGAAATTTTTTCAATTTTTTTTACTAAAAACTGCCGTAACTTTTTCAAAAATAGACATATCAATACAATTTTTTTTTTTATAGATGCCTAATGTCTTTGCCTATCATTTGGTATATTTTTTCATGTAAATTTGACCCTTTATCTGCCCACAGGCAGATTTAAAATAGTAACTTTTTTACAAAAAATAACTTTTTCAACTTAATTTTTGAAAATGTTCCGGAAAGTCTGACACTTATATATATATAAATATTAAATTAAAGCTACTGTAATATACTTTATCATGAAAAAAAAAAATTTCGGACTTTATCTTATCTTCACGGTAAAAATGGTTACTGAATGCTATTTTTGTGTGAAAATTTTCGATTTTGTATTTTCCATTTTTAACTTTATTATGCTATAACTTTTTGAAAAATGTATGGATCAATACAATTTTTTCATGAGAAGTAGTATTTATATACATCTTTCATTCGACATACTGTTTTTTTAAATCGGACCATTTCCCTATATACGAGGGGAGTTCAAATTTAAAAAATGCATGTAGAAAGTAGAACTTTTTCAACTTAACTTTTGAAAATGTTCCGGAAAGTCTGACACTTTTATAAATATTTTAAATTAAAGCTAATGTAATATACTTTATTATGGTAAAAAAAAATTTCGGCCTTTATTTTATCTTCATGGTAAAAACAAACATCAAAGTTAATAATAAAAAATACGATTTTTGTAAAAAAATTCTTTTTTATATTTTTAACTTTATAATACTATAACTTTTTGAAAGATGTATGGATCAATATAATTCTTTTTTTTATAGATGCATGATGTCTTTACCTATTATTTAGTATATTTTTTTTATAAATCTGACTTTTTACCTACCTTCAGGGGGGGATTCAAAATGACAACTTTTTCACAAAAAATTGACTTTTTCAACTTAAATTTTGAAAGTGTTCCGGAAAGTCTGACACTTTTATATATATCTTAAATTAAAGCTAATGTAATATACTTTATTATGCAAAAAATAATATTCGGACTTTATTTTGTCTTCACGGTGAAAATAGCTACCAAATGCTATTATTGCGTGAAATTTCTCGATTTTATTTTTTACATTTTTAACTTTATAATGATATAACTTATTGAAAAGTGTATGGATCAATACAACTTTTTTACGAGAAATAATATTTATATCCCTGTTTCATTCGATATACTTTATCTTAATCAGGATATAAATAAGGAAATAGCAGATCATGTACCTTTTGGAATAATTCACCAATTTTTTAAAATTAAACACTAAAGATTTGCATCGAAGCGTTTTTTATGATAGTGATTTTAATCACTGTCAGATATCATTATACTTGATCCAAATATGTCACATCACCACTGTGTCGCGACCCCTCTATGAAGGGTTTTTTTTTATTTACTTTGATGTCTGTTTTCACTATTAAAAAGTCCGAAATTTTTTTTATTAATATTAAAGTATATTACATAAACTTTAATTTAAGATATATAAAAAGGATCAGTATTTCCGGAACACTTTCAAAAATTTAGTTCAAAAGGTTCTACTTTCTTTAAGCAATTTTTAGTCTTCAACCCCTCTTAAAATCATAATTTTTGGGAGACTTTCACCATTTACAGGGGACGACGGAAAGTTTTTCAATTTTTGAGGGTAATGTTTTCAACTACATACGATTTGTGATCTTTTGACGTATCGTTGAAAGAAATCGATTCGGTGAGAGCTGAGAAAAAGTGGTAACAGACATAAAAAGAAACACGTCATAGTAAAATTAATACCTTCTCAGCTTCTCATCGAAGCTAAAAATTATATATACCTTAAATTTTGAAGAACGTATTTTCAGAATGAAGATTTCAATGATAAAATATAATAGAATTAAATTTTCTTTATTAAAATAAATTTTATTTTAACTGTATAGTTATATATTTCCATTAAAAAATATAACCGAATTAGTAGTAGGGAAAGTATTAAAATATATTTTTCTAATTAACACCACTTTTATGTTAATACGATATAGAAAACCTATTATTTAAATTGAATTTGACTAATGTATTAATTTTTCTATATAATTATAGAATATTCAAATATTTTGAATATACACACAATTTCTTGTGAAAATTTATATTTTTAATTCAACTTACTGTTTTTTAGGGTTTATCAATGATATTTTTGGTTTATGAGTGTCTAAGTCTTCAGGGTTCATATTCATATTATTTTTCAATTCTGAGTTTAAATCTGCTCCAGTAATAAGAATACTGAGAATAAAACCCAAAACAAATTTAACGGTGTCCATTGTAGCACTTTAAAAAATAGACATCAAATTTATTAAGTAAATTACATGTTTACAAAAAGAATATTAAAAAAATAACACTTACAATTAATTATTATATCATAGATTTAATTCATTTATGTCAAAAATATTCGAATAAAAAATATACATTCTAATTGTAAATTTTTTACATTGCTTTACAAAAGAACCTTTTTCGAAAAATTAAACTAATATTAAATAAAAATTGAATTGAATTTATTTTATTTTGCAGTTAAATACTAGCTTTTATATGGAATGTAATTACCAATGACAATTTTAATACACGTAGTATAAAGCTTATAAAATGTATTGTCTCTATTGAAATTTTTTTTAACAAATTTCAACAGGAAACGGAAACCTTTGTTATAAAATTGAAAATTTATGTTTTTAAAAAAAATTAAATTATCACTATGTTAAATTAATTCAATTTAGTAAATGTGTGGATACGACGACACGTTTAAAGTGTAAATGAACTGTTATATTAAAAATGTTGAATAACTAAAGTTTTTGTCCCTAATGTCAAATAATATTACGTTAAAGCATAATTCAAGGCCAAGAAACAATTGTGTGTACATCTACTGCTTAAGCTGTCAATATAACAATATAATAATGTTAATGAACCTAGGAAGTTATTTTTTTTAAATGTAAGCAAATATGAAAAGAAAATAATATATTGTTGAACTACATGTCATACTTAAATTATAATTATTTTATTAATTATGAATATAAGAAAAAAAAATATCAGGAATATAGAATTATTACGAAAATAATGAACTATATTTCTCATAAAAGGCTTCATACAACACACTTTATGGAATCTCTATGATAAAAATCTTATAAATCAATTTATATATTTCATGTCTAATATTTCAAGTACACTCCAATTTATTCTCAACATATATTAAGTTTTAATCAAACTTTTTATACTTAGTTTAATTTTTTAATTTTATTGATTTTATAAATATTTAATATTATTAAGTTTAATCACAATTCTATCATAATATGTTTTTTTCCTTTCTTAAAAATGTATTTAAAATCCAAATAAGATTTATAATAATTAAATTTATGGTTAATTTAACGATATTTATTATTGCCATAATCCAAACGATGAAATACCACTTACTTTGCTTAGCTTTTCCATCATATGTATAATTTCATTTTAAAAATATGACTTTAATATTGGCGTATCAAATTCAAGACAGAACGTAAAGATACCGCCCTTATACTGCGGTTGACAAGTAAAAAATAAGTAATATAATTTTCAAAAAAATATTTTTGAAATAACTAAATAATTCCTTAAAAAAAGTTCTAAACCGTTTAAAATTTAAATTTATTAACGATAACCCTAGTAATAACTATTCAATATTAAATAAATATGCAAACTTTTATCATTTTAATGAACTTTTTTTTTAATTTCTGAGAGAGATTATCCTTTTAAATATAAAATAAAGATTTTATTTCTGAAAGGAGATTTAAGATTAAACAATTGTTACATTAAAGATATAAATTGTATATTATAAAATTTTACTCGGTTAATTTTTTTTACATCAATGATAAATTATTATCAAAATATTAAAAAATTAAAAAATTCTCTTACCCGAAAAAAATGTAGGTTATATCCAAACACAACAATTTTACTAGTTTTAACCTCCTTTCTACAATTTTACTACATAAATCAATTGTCACTCTAAGATCATAATGTCACATTGGATTGAAATTTCACTTATGACTAAACGGTTTTATTGGCAAGGCAATGCTGTCTCTGACGATGTCAATAAAATTTATAAACATTCATTTTCATTGCATGTTTTAAAACGATCTCAACGGTTTTTTTCTGAATTTTGTTTATAAACAAAATGAATTGCTAGATAATTTTCATAACGCTAAAAACTTAACAGACATTTCATTGAATTCATTGAGATCTGCTTAAATACACAAATAAATAAAAAGTAACATTTTATCTATATGAACAAAAAAAAAGTGTTAAAATTAACAAAAAATATTAAATAATATAATATATTTAAGAATAGAGTGACTTTACCAGTAAATGAACAGTTAAGAGATTTTCATCACTTAATTACTTTAATAGTTTATATTTTAATATCACCAGTCATTAAACCAATAAATATTAGTTTTCTAGAAAATTCTATATAGTAATGGAAAAATATTCAAAATTAACTAACACAACAATATTTATTTATTCTATTATAACGAATTTTCCATTAAATGAACAGGGCGTCTATTTTTATAAATAGTTCGTTCTCGAGCATATATGTTTAGATTTTATTTTGTATAGGTTCATGAACACGTTCATTTGCGATCGGAACGTATGAAATATCGAACGGACGACCGTTTAGAACAATAGAAAACATTCGTTTACAACAGATATTAGGAACCATTCCATAGCAAACAGACGATCATTTATAACTAGTGATGGGCATAATCAAATGATTTCGATAATCGAATGATTAGTAATCGAGACATTTTCATAATCGAGTGAATCTCTCGAAAAATCACTCGAAGTTAAAATCGTCTGCTCGTATGATAAGAATAATCAACTATTATTATTTATCGAGAGAATCGAAAAATTATACGAAATATGAATAAATATACCTATAGTAAATAATTATTAATTTAATTTTGCTTTTTTTATTTGTTGGTGTTTATTTATAATTAATATATTAAACTATAATTTAGGAATAATAATAACAATAATATATTAATAATGCATTATTAATAAGTGCTTTAAATAAAAGACAAGTTGTTATTTTTTTTATTTAATAATTATTACCTATATTTTAAAAAAACCGATAACAAATTTAAAAATAAAAACATAAGATAAGGTAGCAATAGCCGGCTTGACCATCATAATTAAAACACCTAATTCCACACCTAATTGATTTTTCATAAATTCACAACTAGTGAGAGAATCAGAACTCAGTAGTTTAGCCAGTTCAGGACAAAACTTTGTTCTAATCGTCACATACTTCCCAAAAATGTGACAGATAAGATGTTGCCATGAGTAGCGATTGAACAAGTTGAAAATAAGACTCGAAGTCAACAATTTAATAATAATTCTACTATAATTTATGCTAAATAAAAACTTAAAAATAGTATTCTCTCGTTTCATCGTTTCATGGACATCATTCGAAATAACTTTTATTCGATTATATACATTTCAAGATCAAGAAATCATTGTTTTTATAATAAACGAGAAATCATTAGAAATAATCACTCGATTATAGAATAATCAATATTATTTAAAAAATCAGAATATCTCGATTATATATCTCGATAATGCCCATCACTATTTATAACATAAAGGTCTGACCCGTATACTTATTTTTAGGTAAACATATTTAACTAAAATATAATTTTATACTAACACAATATTTAATTAATAAATTTAATTAAACTAATCATTTATTTATAGAAGTAGGTATACATGGAAATAAGATGACTAAGGCTCCCAATTTATTATTAGTTCGTCTAATTCACTTGGAGACATAAAAACAAATATTTAATATATATTTATTATAATAAATATTTTTATGATTATTTATGATGTTTTGTAAAATATAAATTAGTTTAAAAAATTATTTTAAATTTATAAAAAAAAAATGTTTGGCTAAATACAAAAATTATTTTGAATAGTATACTTATTTATATAAATATATATACAATTTTTAAACAATATTATGTACAAGTTGGTCATTAAATGATATTATTAAAAATTGTTAGGTATAATTTGACTAGAAAACTATCTACCTAATTTAACATCCTTGGTAAATTAAGAAAAATATAAGGTGTATAAATATATATTAATATAATGTTAAAATGCATGATCAACTTTCTGCTTGAACAATAAATGACAACCTTTAATGAAAGCCCATTTCTCCTCTTTTACAATATATCATAAAAAAATTTTCCTTACTCCATAACTAGAGATTTAAAGAAATCTAAAAAAACATGTTTTAATAGTTTTTTTCGTGTTTAACGTTTAATGTATATGTTGAAAGCTGAAAATGCATAAAACGTAAACGTTAGATATTTTAATACCAATATTTGTTATATTGTTATGTAAAATGTTATTAAAATAAGACATCATCAGGAGCGGAGTAAGAAGGTTTTAGCTTCCTTAATTCTAGGGAAGTATATAATTTTTCCGTTCTATAATTTAAATGCAAAGTTAAGAAGGGGAATTTTTCTTTTTTAATTTATCTTAACAAATATTGTTACCCAAATATAACAGAAAAAAAACATCTTTTTTAAACCTTGCAATATTCTTAAAAAACATGACTAGAATAATTTTGATTAAAATTTTATGCATTATATAATATGTAGATTCAAAATATAATAAATTTATCCTGCATATTTCAGGGAAAATGACCGAATACATATATTTTTATATTTAACTGGTTAAAGAAAAATTTGTTATTTAGGTGTCTCAGATCTAACTTACGACACTTATAATTTTTGACACAGTACCGTGTTTGCTTTAGCTGCACATCAGATACCGACTTATATGAAAGTCTATCGGGATCTGAAACAAAAGTGTACGGTATCATATTACTTTTGATACAATCTTCGTATCAAATTATTTATCTTTTGTTAAATTTTTTTTTTATAATTTTTATTGCCTTTTCAGACTACGTTAAAAGCATAATTTTTATTATTTTTCATTAATAATACAAAAATATATAAGTGCCATAAAAATTTTTTTTAACAAAATTTCAAAATAGCTATTTTTTAAGTAATTAATTAAAATGGACCAGGAGATGCTTATATATAATTACTACCAAAATTAATTTAGAAAGGTTATAACATTAGGGGTCAATTTTTGCCAAAAAAGTAAAATTTTTCTCAAAAAATTGAATTGATGAACAAAAGAAAAAGTAATTCCCTAGACTGGTTATATATTGATACGGGTGAAATTTTTTCTAGCATTGCAAGCCAAATACCCAAAAACTCCGAACAACCTTTACAAAGTCTATGGGGTCCCAATTCTTCCACATTTTTTAGTGTGAAAGTGAGAAGTTGCCTAAAGTCTGAATCTTAACCTAAAATCTGAAATTTATCAGGAAACTTTCCCTATCTATAATACAAATTTCTAAATCTGTTGTGGGGGCTACTAGTATATATATGCCGTGGACCAAAACATGATTCAAACCGTCAAAGGTCATATTTCATTAAAATTTTAAAACTATGTATTGTTATATAAATGTATTATTAGAACGTTATACATTATCTCTAGGATAATTCTTATACTCTACATGAGATAATCTCAAATAAATATTAAAATAATTACAAAATTAATATTGTTTTTAATCTTTAAAATATTATAAAGATTAATATATTTACATAACATAAGGAAGTTTTTTTTAACAATATTTTGTCAATCCGGTATGGTCTAGTGGCTAGGATACCTGGCTTTCACCCAGGAGGCTCGGGTTCGATTCCCGGTACCGGAAAAATTTTTTTGCTTGTTTCATTGAAATTTTTTATCAACCCCTTTCGATAAATTATAACTATTTTAGTCTAATTCTATATTGACAAACTCTTAAAATCCAGTATAATTATAAAAAATTGTTTATTTCTATAATATCACGAATTATTTAAATTTAATTCGTACTTAATTTGTTTATTATAATATTCATTGTTCTTGAAGATTAAAATGTTTAGTATTAATTTCAAATAATGCCTAAAATGATGTTTTTAATAATAAATGAAATATAATTTTTCTGAACTTTTTGATTGTATTTATTAAAACTCACGAGTTAGAGTTGTTCTACAATATAAATATTTTAATTCTATTAACATTCAAAATCATTAAAAATGTATAGAAACAGACTCGTACTTCTTTAAATTTTTGTTTGAAATTTGAACAACAAGTTTTAATCTTATTAAAAAAGTTATTTATAATTATATTATAATTTTATTTTGAGTTGGTTTATGGTGTAAACAATGATTGGTCAAATCGAGTATTTTGTATAAAATATTATTAGTAAATAATTTATTTACTAAATTAATCTTTTTAAACAAAATACTTTTAAAAATACTAAAAAAATTCGTCCGATGATAAAAAAGACTGTTTAAGCTAGTTCAAAATTTCAAAGTGATTTTTTTCACTTTTTTAGGCATTTACAAAAAAATAAGGCATAAAGGTAGTTTTTCTCCCACACGGTTTTGTTAAATCAATTTGTTTTTTTACATTGATTATAAATATACAAAATAAAATTTTTCTCAAAAATAAATACTTATAACATTTTTAAATTTGGATGCCTATAATAAATTTTTTTCAAAACTTGTTTAAAACAAGTTTGGAAAAAATCAAGGGTGTTTTTAATAAAACCCAATAATACACCTTTAACGTTATTTTATTACTACTATACTAAATTAATTGAAAGTTAACACGTCATTCGAATTAAAAATGTAACGAGTTAATGCACTGATTAATTAAAAATATTATAGTTGATATACTATATAATATAATATAATGTGTACATATAAATGCAATGGTTAAAGTGGAAAAAACTTGGAGAGGGGACTATAGTTTCTAAAAAATGAGGAGCTCTCCCAAACCACACTGAATTGTCTTTCTTCAAATGCTAAAAGTGATATTGATCATAATAAGGAAATAGACTTACTTAAATGTAAAAAAAATATTATCTCAATAAAGTAATAGATTAGTACCTAACTATAATTTTTGTTGTTTCATAAAAAATAAATTAAAAATGAATATTATACAAAACATCACAAGGTCAGTATCAAAATTTTAAATTTATTTATTTATGAAAATAAATGCAAAATAGTCTTTTTAAATTTTACATATTATGCTATAACAGAAACAAGTTGAGACAAAATGTATTAACAGTAACCAATTTAGGTAGGTATATAAAAAATTATGAAATGATAAATATAGTAATAAAATTTATAAAGTATTTAACAAACTAAAAATATATCAATAACCGTGGTAGATTTTATTAATATAACAAATGTTTATATTACCTTAAATTTGTATTTCTACCACTTTATAACCCTTATTATATTAAGTCTTTTAGTTCCAAATGTAGTCATAAATTAATTACACGTTTTTTAAAGATTATATTAAAGAATTAATTAATTAAACTTTTGAATAATCCAAAAACAAACAAACAGCAACAATCATTTATATTACCACGGTCATATCATAAAATTCTTATCATTTCATATTGAAGTTCTTTCACAATTATTTTTTTTTTTAGGAATTTTGAAATTTTGATTATTTGAATAATTTTTTTATATTTACGCTTTCCAATCTTCAGTACACAAAATTAAAGCACCCTCCTGACATTTAGGGATTCGACTTAAAGAGTACGCTATATTGTACTTCAAATAAAAAGAGAAATACATCCCACTTTAACCCCTTAATAAGTGTTATTATTGATTTACAAATAAATAAAAATAGGTATGGGTATATTATTTGGAACGTAGCGAAAAAAAAATTGCTTGGCCTTTGGAACTTAAGAACCCTTATATATATAAAACTATAAACTATATACCGATTGTAATTTTTTATACTGACTAATTATATAACAATAAAAATTTTAATTAGGAGCTTAAACAAAAAAGTACATTTAAATATTTCTCCCTTATAAAAAAATTTAAATTATGCGACCGGGCGACCGAGATAAAAATATCATTTTCAATACAAACATTCCTATATGTGTTTAATACACTAAATTATTAAGTCACTTATAATATCATTGATTACTATTTATTCATTGTAACAAATAAAGAAAAAACGGTTCATTTAAAAAATAGTACTTAATTGCATTATCATAATTTTTATAGTACAATGTGTTAATATATTAATTAATTAAAAAACAATGCTTATAAATAAAAATAAATAAATAATGACAAATTAAACAAATAAATATATACAAGTCAATTTTTTTCTTTTTTCAAAAAGAGTAAAAATTATAAATGGAACGTTTTAAGTATATATTTCCAAACTTTGTGCATGTGATTTATGAATGAAGTTACCAATGTATTATTGGTATGCTTGTCTTCATCTAAGATAATATCTTCTAAGTCTATTTTTTTATTTTTTAATGTATTGAATTTATCTTTAATCTTCAAATCACCATCATATGAATGTCTTATATCATTAGTAATTTTCCAGTCTTTTGGGTTAAAATCATCATCAAGTATTTCATTTGTTTTTGGATCTTCATTATGTTTTTTTTTGTCCACATAAGTATTGACTTCATTTAACTTCAATGTTAGGTCTGCTAAAGATCTTGGATATCGAGAAGCTTCACGTTTTAAAACAGAGGGTATATCTACGTCAAGATCATTGGACTCAAATCTTTCTTTCTCTAAAATTCCATTTATATCCATCATGTCATCTTCGATTATATTGTTATCCAGAGATCGTTTGTATAATTTCGGTCTTGCTGCCCGGATCTTTTGTTCCATCTCAACCTTAATCATTTTATGTTTATCCTTAATCTCTTTTAATTTATCTACTACATTACTTTGATTTGATTCAGGACGTTTTTCGGATTTAGATGTTCTCTCTCCTTTTTTACCGATTGGACTAACAATATTGTCGGATTGCATTTTTGGTTTAAGTTCTTCTTGAATATTATCGATTATTACTTCAGAAACTTTTTTATTTGTTTCAGTTTGAGAACGATCAACATTTTTTGACGTTTTAACATGTTTTAATAAAGGTGTTGTCTTTGATTTTAATGTTTGTCGGCTTTCTCGTTTTTTCGATTTACCATTATCAATATCTTCTATATCACGTGCATTATGAATTTTTTTTGGTGCAGAAAGTTTTATTTCTTTAGGAATGGTTGGTAATAATTTTGATAGTTTTGTTGTACTGGATTCAATTGTAGTCGTTGACGATTGATCATGGTTTACTGTTAAGTTTTCATCGGTCTTTTCACTTTTTTTTTCAATTTCACCAGAATTTGATAATGCTGACAATTCTACAGATTTATCTTTTGTAGCTTCAAGTGAACTAACTGATAACTCAGGAGATTTTGTTGTGCCTTCAAAACTTTCTTTTGGTAATGGTTCTTCATTTTTTACAAAAGTTTGACTTGAGCTTACAATAACATCCTTAGGATATTCATTTTGTTTCTTTCGAAGATGTCTTTGTGAAACCCTTTCATTAGCTTTTGCTAATGCTTGCTCTGCTCTGCTTTTAATTTTTTGAATATAACTTTCTATCTTTAAGTTTTTCTTTCCTTCTGTAGTTATTGTTGTTGGAGTTGGTTCAGTAGGATTTTGTGGCTCCGTTGATTTTTTTTCTGATTGAGATTCGGGGATTGTCGGATGATTTGTTTTTTCTCTTTTAAGTCTATCTGAGTTATCATTTAGGTTATCAATTGGAATGTCTGGAATTTTAACGTCATCGTCGGATATTGTATCAAATTTTGTTTGTTCTTTTATTGGTTCATCAGGTATGCTTGTAAATGCTTTTATTAAATCATCAACTTCTTTTGGGTTAAAATCTTGTTCAAGGGATCTTTTCTTGATTTTTAATTTTTGATTAGATTTTAAGGTTTCGGTTGACGTTTCAGAATTTAAAAGACACTCCAAACGATTTTTTTTGTCAGGATGCCTTTTACCAATAACTGCTTGAGCTAAAATGTGGTATTTTTCTCTTCTAGTATTGGCTGGAGTTACACTAACACTACTTTGTTCAACTGGGATTTCCATTGTAATTGTATCTGGTTCAGCTGTTGTTGGCATTTCCCTATTATACTCTGGATTTTTCAATGATTTAGGGAATTTTGATAACCAGTTGTTATTTGAAAATGTAACATATTTTACGATAGGTTCTGAATAGTTTTCCTCGTCATCTTTCATGTCGTTATTATATAATTTTGTGTTGTCTTGTTTTTCATTCATCTTATTATTATAGTCACCACTGCTCCTTGCATGTTTAGTTCTAAAAGAAACAAAGTTATTTTTTTCATTTGAAATCGATTCGTCATCTTGATCTATTAAAAGTGTATCATCATCAACACTTTCAAAATCTTCGAGTTCAGAAAGTGAATTTTTAGGTCCTGTTTTCAATTCTTCAATCTGTATAGCCATACAAGCCTTAGTTTTTGATTCGGGTAACACAAAGAAAAATACAGATTGACTGGGTATAGTTATAATTCGATTAGATTCCCGAATTTTAGGTGATAAAATTGGGAGATCTCCATCATCTGACAAGCTTAATTTTTGTCCATTGAGCAAGGTTCTGAAAATAAAATCAGTGTGATATTACTTTTTATATTATACTTAACTATTGTTAATTACTCACAATAATTTAACGGCTCTTTTGTCTTTATTTTTTCTATTATTAGATGTCAAAAGATATTGATGCACGGGTACACTTTGTAAGTTTCCAGTTTTTAGTGATATTTTTACATTTTCTGTTCCCATATTTACACCAAAAACTGATAATGCTCCTCTAGTGTATCGAAAATCTGGTGCTAGAATACCTTCATTTGGATTAAAAGAAGATTCCCTAGTACAGTGAGCCACTGTTTCTAAACGCGTTTTGTTTATAGATTGCATTTTTACATCAAAAACTTCTATTCCTATTAAAGCTTTGTGTAAAATAGAAACCCAATAATCCTGAAAATAAATATTTTAAGTATACATCACTGTATGAAAATATTTTGTAATTTGACTATTATTTATATAACTAAACATTTTAAAATATTTTTTTCTAATCTAATAAAAAAAAAAATTATATAATAGCAAAAGTTCATAATTTTATTAAAATTTATGAGAAAAATGAAAAATAAATAAAGAAAAACTATTTAAAATGCCTAAATAGTCTGGCTTACTGATTTTTATTTTTTATAATTAAAATAAAGATTTATTTTATTAATTCTTAAAAATAACTCACAAAAATGTTTAAGTTATTTTATATATATAACTTAATGTTTTTATATTTGTATAAAATAATTATTGTAATTAATGCACGGAAAAAATACTGTTAGAATAAACCATATACATAGTTAATTTAGTGACAACTTTAATAAGAATTTTTGAAAAACTGAATATTCGGTTAACTTAACTATTTATTTAGTTAAATCTACCATTTTAGAGTTGTCACTATAAAACTGTTCATTTTTTCTGCGTGTAAATATTACATCGTAACATATTCATTTACACAAAATCTTAATTCTAAATAAATTTGTATAATTTTTATTTGTGATGGAAAAATAATTCTTATTTAATAAAATAAGAATTAATTACTAAAGTAATAACTTTAGTAATTAAATAAATTTAGTAAATTCTTTGATAAACTATGAAATTATCTAAAAGTAATTAAATATGACTAAGTAGTTATTGAATTATGAAAAACTTCACGGGTATTATGTATTTTCATAGGTATTGTTTATAGATATAGTGTTTGTTACAATCTCTAATATTTTTTTTATTTCCGGTTGTTACCAAAACGGTATAATTAACAAATAACAATTATACAAATTTGAAAAAATGTAAAATTTTATTTTACCGGTGTTGGCTCTTGTAAAGAAGTTAATGAAGGTTTCCTCATCATGACATTTATTCCAACCTTAGCTCCAGCCACTAGTCTTTGAGCCCAAATTAGTCCATCAGTGAAATCTCCTTTTCTGTCTTTGCTTCCAGATTCTACTATCCAAATTGGTTTTTTAGCTATTGATTTTCCTAAGTACTTGTTGCTGTAATCTTTTTGCCATACTTTGGCTTCCATTTGATTTGTTATGTAATTCAACATTTCAGTTGGATTTTCTATACTTTTCTCACTTGCAAAAGGCCTATAAATAATTATCCATAAATATAGTTTATAACGATTTTGTTTTAATATTGATTTTTTTAAAACTATTTAATGTAATTTATAAATTATATTTATTAAGATATTTTTGTAATAAAATTATTATTCTCTAGTGACTTACACTTGATAAGTTAATGCTGTAAGAGCTTGTCCAGCTTCTCCAATAAAACTTTTCAAGTATTTAGCATCATCTTGAGTATCACAAGATTTAGCATCTGGCCCTACAATTGGGGTATTTATATATCTAGGAAATGCCTCTAATACTTTTCGGAGCCTCATTGCGTCCTTTCCTAAAGCTAATCCATCAATTTGTTGATCACTTGATTGCAAATCTAAGTTAAAAAATGCAGAAAATTAGGTATAATTAATATATTATGTTATATATTAATCTTACCATGTCCGAGTTGAAATGCCATATCATAAGAATGCTTGTCGGAGTAAGAAATAAGGTCTAAAGTATTACTGAGATTCCAAGTGCCTTGTTGCCTATTCATGACATTGAGTGCAACAACCAAATCCAAATCAGTTTGAGCTATAAAGTCATTTACTTGTGACCAATGCCAGCCTGTAATAGTTATATTTTTTCCGCGTTTTATTGGGATTGATGGTGATGACTGAGATGAATCTTGTAACCCTTGGAATATAAAACTATTACATTCGGGACCAGATATTCTAACATAGGCTGGACTTAATGCTTTGGCCATATTAATTGCCATTGAACTGTAATATGTTAATATATTTTTATTTATAATAATTAATTAAATGTATTCTCAAATTTTGGATCAAACATACCCTAAATTGTTTTGTATTGCAGAAAATATCATAGTGGGTTCTATTGTAATACTTAAAAAATGATCACTGACTGCATTTGCAACTTTTTTAGTATTCACGTTCAATGACAAAAGATTTGATGGAGATGGTGATGACTGTGTAGGGACATTAGAGGTTTGAGGATAAGCTAAACATCCTCCAAATAGGAGTAAAACTCCTACCCAAATAGATATAGTCATGGCAATCTAAAATTTAAAATAATAATTATAATTTAATATTTATAAACTGCAATATTAAATTATCTTAAATTATTCATCTATAAATAAAAGCATAAAAGTACTTCGATCAAATTTATCTATAAATTCATCATGAAGTAATGAATTAAAAATAGGTTTTCGCATGTACACTGTCTTTAATTATCTTTAAGGCAATTTAATTAGTGTAATATGATTTCGTACGTAAATATAGATTATTACCTTAAAATTAGTGTAGAAATAAACATAAAAAACTTACCAATAACTTTTAATTTCTTATTTAATAAATATAGTTAGCTTTGAATCAAATAAAAAAAATTCACTTGCATAAATTAATTTGACAATTAGCGTCAATTTTTTTACTACACTATTCTGGAAACTCGACACAATATATGAGATATATTTCTTGAACTCGTATATATATATGGATGTATACTACAAAGAAGAAATATAAACATAGAAATTGTGTTGTTGTTTTTAAAGCGAACTTACACATATAATCGTGTCATTATTTTAACAACAATTAATCATACAAATCTTCGCGTTTGTTTTTGAAACACGTTTATCAGTTCATTAGAAGAAATAATAGTTTTTTTGTATTTTCATATGTTTTGTTGTAGTTCAGGTGCTGTTGAACCACGGACATTTAAGAAGGCTAATAAAAGAATGCGGAATAAAAATTAAACATTTTTTTGATTACACCAATATGTCATGTTTTATGAGATCTTCATTCAAAATCACCTTGAATCCTTCTTACGCAAATTTTGCTTTAAAATGCAATTTTGTTTTACAGTCCAAAATTAACGTGACGTTATTTTTATTTTTTACTAAAAATAAAATAAAACAAGAATTATATACTTTTATTAAATTAGACAATTTATAGTTTTGTTATTATAATGTTCAATATATGCAGAACCTAGTAACTGCTATTTCACTTCAAAAAACCATTAGATATTTAAATTTTAATTATGAAATACTTAAAAATAGGGTAGCATAGAGGTCAACCATGACAAATCATTCAGAAGTGGTTGCACGACCACCTCACATTTTTCTGAAATTTTCAGGGTTTATTCATTATGCTATATTTAGATTAAAACAATTTTTTTTTTTTTTATGATCTTCCCATTTTTATGGCTATTTCAATGTAAAAAAAGTTAAAAATAGCTAGATCGTTAAAAAACACGGATTATTCAATTTCAACTCAATCTAATTAAAATTTTAGATTTGACCCTATTATAACTTAAAGTTTACATTAAAAAAAAAAAAAATTAATGTGAAATTCTAAAATTTAATGACTTTCAAAAAATGGCGCTTTTTTTGTGAAAATTGGCGTTTTTGAGCTCACTTAAAACCATTAAGAAGTTATTATTTTATTGTGATTTTTACATGTGGTATTGTATAGTGTATAATCTATGTTTCAACTAAATTTCAAATGTTTAAAACAATTATGTTGGGATTTAGAGGACTACAAAGTTAGAAATTTTATAAAAATACGTGTATTCTAAGTGCAATATCTCTGTTGGGGGACCTAATTTCCAAAAAATTTTTTCAGTTTTGTAGATATATATCTACTTTATACACCATACAAATTTGAGGTTTGAGAAAAATGTGTAACATGTAAAATTTAGCATTAGAAAATCAAATAATTTAATGACAGTTTTTTGTTGTTTTCAAACCATATTTTTGTAATTGTTTTATATATCATTGTATATGTAATATATTATAATTCAATATAATTATTAGACACATTATAAATATTCAATTCATTATTTTAGTTGGAAAATAAAAAATAAATAAATAAAATTATTATGATAATATTGTAAAATATTTTAATAAATAATCATGGTTTTTCTAGTAGTTAAAATATTGTGTCTTCATAAATGTCAGTTAATGATATCTTAAGACTTCTTATGGTATTGTTATTAATTGATAAAAATCTGTGATTTTCCCTATTCCTGGGAATACTTTTACACAATTTAAATCCCATATTAGGTGTTTTGTTGTACTTCTGAGGTGGGTATATTAATGTATTTTATCTCTTTAATTTTGATTATTGTAACTCCTTGTAATGTATTTTAAAGTAAAAAATTTTTTTAAAGTTATATTAAGTTTAAAATCAAAATAAATATTTTTGAAAAAAAAAATATGGTCCTCTTATAATAAAATAATTGGTCCCCTTTCATCCCTTTTTTAATATTCCAATGCAGTGTTCACTAATTTCTTATAAACTCTTTCAAATAAATTTTTGTTCATAAATTTATTAAAAATTTTTGAATTTTTCAATTTTTACACAAAATTTGTTCCTTTTTCTTTAACTTTAATGTTCGTTTTCATCACAAGTTCAGAGGTCAAATTTTTTTTTTCAAAATAAAGTATATTAATTAATTTTTAATTTAAGATATATATATATATAAATATCTAAGTGTTAGTATTTCCGGAACATTTTCAAAAGTTAATTTTTTGTGAAAAAGTTTCCATTTTGAAATCTCTTTGTGGCCAAATAAAAGGTCATATTTTCACAATATATATATATACTAAATTATAGTTAAATATTTAAGGTATCTATTATAAAAAATTGTATTTATTCATCCATTTTTTAAAAAGTTATAACAGTTTTAAGTAAAAAAAAGTTTTAAAAAATGTCGTTTATTACTAATTTTTAAAATTACAATTTTTTTGGAGATTTCCTCCATTTATAGGAAACAGATTATATTTTTAAAATTTTAGAGGGTAATGCCTTCAACTAGATACAATTTGTGATTTAAGATTATAAAGTGTATTTCTGTTACTGGTATATAACCTGGTGATTTATTATAATGATAAATATCATAAATTAAATGCACATGTGTATTAATTGTATGAAAATAATATACTAATAAATTTGTGGAGAAATAGTGAACACCAGGCTTGTTAAAGTATTTTTAATACTTTTGAAACGTATTTATGTTTAAAATATTAAATACTTTTTAATGTAAACTGTTAGTATACACAAACTATGGAGGAGAAGCTTTGTCTCAAAGCATTGAGTTCTAGATGTCATTTTAAAATTACAATGAATAGTCATAATTCACTTACACAAAAGCTATAAAAAAAAGCTCTCTAATGCTAGGTTGTTATTTCTGATAATAGTATTAAAATCATTATGATGAGTTATAATATTCACTAATCTATAATTTAAATAAACTTGTTGAACTTATTTTTTATTTAAGTATTGGTATTTAATTTAGATGAAGTGGTTGGCGAGTTATGTTAACTAGTAATTATAATTATTATAACCAATATTATTATAATAATTATTAGTTATTCGATTATAATCATATGAATTAAATACTTTGTATAATATGGTTTCTTTGAATTTGCCTATATTGGTTTAATAATTTAAGTCTGATTTATTAAGCCTCTGCAATATTTTTGTAAAAATATTTTAATGATCTAATAAAGAAAAAACAAATATTGATAAAAAACAAAAATAATAGTCTAATCAGCTAAATACATAATCCGCTTTTCAAACACAATGTTGTTTAAATTAAAAAAAATGACAACTAATCACTTTCAATATTAATATCACTGTCATTCGTAGATATTATTTTAACTATAACATACGCTTATTAGTAAACCAGTGACTCCTCACATAAAGTAGAACGCTTATAAATAAAAATAGATTGACTCCAGGATATTTTCAAAGCAATATAATCAAAAGAATATGAATTGATTTTTTTTTTTTTAGTTAAAAAACTAAAACTTAAAAATCTCAGAGTTCTATTATACCATTACTGCCAAATTCATTGTATCATCTTTAGATCAGAGAAACTAATATTTTGTAAACGTACACGGAAAAAATATTGTTGAAATAAGTGTTCATATGGTTATCCCATCCCTAAACTTAATGTTAGTGTTGTGCACAGTCTATTAATATGGTTGAATTTACCATACTGATATGGTAGATACTTTATGGTTCCTGTAACCATATATTATAGTTGCATTAATCAACTATAAATAGTTAGAATAACCGTTTAATATTGGTACCTTTACCGTTTAAAATAGTCTCAATTACCATATGTGTTTAGTTATTAGAACCAAATACCTTAAGTTAAATATTCTATTTTGACCAGTAATATCAAAAGTATCATGGGAATATATTGAATTTTATTTAAATATAGCGATAAATCAGTAAAAATATGTACAATTTTCATATACGCTTATAGAAAATTTTATAAAATTTTTTCATTAAAATTAAATGATACAAGCATAATGTTAGTTAATAACATCACATATATGTGGTGTTTATTCATATCTACAGATATGAATTATACGTAATATACAAATTTTAAAAAGACAAAGAAGAAAAAGATACTTTAGGATATGTACAAAACATAGCATTTGAAAAGTTTTTTAAACACATAGAAATATAGTGAAGAATATAAATATCTGACTTAGCTCAATGTATTGTTCATAATGTATTTATTAACTCATGACTGGGACTATCTGAATTTTATACCTATCAAGTCCAGCCTGCCTCTGTCCATAATACAATAATTCATTTTGTATTTATTCAGGCCCCGTCCAGATATTTTTGTTTAAAGTCTGGATCATAAACAAAGCTTTTTAATATCAGGACCAATTAGTGCTCTTCATAAAGTTATTATAACTATAAATTATTACAAATTATTTATTTATTTGTCATTTGTGACGATGTGGCCTTTGTGGCCGAGTCAGTTACGCGGCAGTGTTTGACGTGCACTGTCTCAGATTCGAAACTTGGTCACGGGCGGCTTCATTTGCCGAACGGGAGATCAGTTCGGTTATTTGAGTCGGATCCCTCTCTACGGCGACGGACTAACCTCCCTTCCCAGAGTATTTGTTATTTGTGATAACGAAACTATAGATACAAGGTGGTTTAACAAATGATTTAGTGAATTTATCTATGTACATAGTTAACTGAACTAATTCAAAAAGTCAGTTTAATTCAATGAGAGATAAAAAGACTTAACTAGATATTTTACTGAAATGAACAATTAATCCCATCTCTTAATTACTTGAGCAGCTTTATTTTGTTAATTTTTCTAAATAATATGTATCATGTAAGAACAATAATCTTAACAGTGCTATCAGATAATTATGCCAATTTAATTATATTATACGCGGTAACACTGTAAGAATAAGACAAAAATGAAATGACAAACGCAACCTTGTTCATGGAGTAACGTAATTGTTTGTTTTGTTTGGGGTTGTGTTTGTGAAACTCATTGATTGCCGCTTTATAAACTTATAGTTTTAGACTGAGTTTTGTTGGTACTTTAAAACATATTTCCCGGTTAATTTATAAAACTTTGCATAACAAAAATATAAGATCTAGTGTATGCTTTTTTGATAATTATAATTATAAGTAAGTGTAAATAATAATAAATACATTCAATATATACTATATGTATATAAATACATATATATGATTTAATAAATAATTAAATGTATGATTTTTATAAATTTATCTCATTAAACATTTTATATTTTAGTTTTAAAATAATGGGGGATTACATTCATACAAATATCGCCCAAGACAATGCAGCAATGGTCCGATTGGAGTTAGCACAAAATGATCAAATTCCTCTACGACGACCATTTGATCCCTTGATTCATGATTTAGATCCTCATTTTAAATTGACACGTTTTGCTGATCTCAAAGGACGTGGTTGTAAAGTTCCTCAGGAGGTGCTCAATAAACTTTTAGAAAGTTTTCAACAAGATGAAAATGGCCATGGTGAACAGTCTCATTTTATGCACTTGACTATGACTAAAATAGGTATAGGTATGGATGCTGCAGTTATACCTCTTAGACATGGTGGACTTTCTCTTGTACAAACAACAGATTACTTCTATCCTCTTGTTGATGACCCATTTATAATGGGTAAAATAGCTTGCTCTAATGTATTAAGTGATTTATACGCTATGGGAGTAACTGAATGTGACAATATGTTAATGCTCTTATCTGTTTCAACAAAAATGACTGAAAAAGAACGAGATGTTGTGATACCTTTAATAATGAAGGGATTTAAAGAAACAGCTTTAGAGGCTGGTACGACTGTTACAGGAGGCCAAACTGTTGTTAATCCTTGGTGTACCATTGGAGGAGTAGCTACCACAGTATGTCAACCTAATGAATTTATTATTCCTGACAATGCTGTAGTTGGTGATGTTCTTGTACTGACAAAACCTTTAGGAACGCAAGTAGCTGTCAATGCTCATCAATGGGTAGACCAACAAGATAAATGGAATCGAATCAAACTTATTGTATCTGAAGAAGATGTACGAAAAGCTTACCAGCGTGCCATGGATTCAATGGCTCGTTTAAATAAAACTGCTGCTAAATTAATGCACAAATATAATGCTCATGGTGCTACAGATGTCACTGGTTTTGGACTTTTAGGTCATGCTCAAACTTTGGCAAAACATCAAAAAAATGAAGTATCATTTGTAATTCATAATCTTCCTGTTATTGCAAAAATGGCATCAGTTGCTAAAGCATGTGGTAATATGTTCCAATTATTACAAGGTCATTCAGCAGAGACATCTGGAGGTCTATTAATATGCTTACCAAGAGAACAAGCTGCTGCTTATTGTAAAGATATTGAAAAAGTCGAAGGTTACCAAGCATGGATAATAGGTATAGTGGAAAAAGGTAATCGTACAGCTCGAATCATAGATAAACCAAGAGTAATTGAAGTACCTGCAAAAGAGAAAGAAGGAGAACTTTGGTAAAACTATTCATTAAAAATAATGCCATAATTCAATAATTTGTATGGAATGAGGATTTTCATCAATTTTAATACATAGTGTTTTTATGATAGTTATGTCTAATTTTTAAAATGTTGATTTCATTTTGTTTAGCTTATCAAGTACTTTTTATTATTATGAACTGGACATAAGAGTATAGGTTATATATTTAAGGATTGTAAATATACATTTTTACAAAGACTCGATTACCATTCTCTTGTGGTATGAATTATTATTTATTATCATAATATGCATATTACATTTATATTTTTATTCAATATACACGTTTTTGCAAAATACATTTTTAAACTGATGTATTTAAAAAATTGTTTTCAATCAAAAATAATAATGTTAGACCATAAAATAATTATTTCACACTGTAATATCATCCTCATATTTTATGAGTATTTATTATAAAAATGAATTTTTATTAATTAGTAAATTCTTATATAAGTATCCTTGAATGCTGTATTAATAAATAAGGGATTTATTATTGTAGACTTCACATTTCATTATTTTAATGTGTCAAAATGCATTTAAAGAATTGTATGTAATAATTCTTTATGAAATATTTCAAAATTAATAAAAATTTTTTGTAATAATTATTTTATTAATGTCCATATTCTTCATATATAACTAATGTATAGATGGGTAATTTTAAATGTTTCTTCTTATTGGAATCTGTAAAAGTATATCTGTTTCTGTAAACTATTTCTATGAATATATGTTCAGTTAAATTAAGAGTAAGTTTTTACATAAATATATTATTGTTGAAATAATTCAGTTGTTTATCATTTAGTTCTTTATTGCCTGTTACATGTCTTTATAATACTAATTACAAAGTAATCAAATTAACTAGAAACTTAACAGTGAATTTCCCTATTATATAAATATTTATGTATTTTACAGTTAATAAATGAGATAAAATTATTTTAAAATTCTATTTTGTAATAGGTTAAAAATTAACTAATGTAAAATATAAAATAAGATACATTTAAAGAGAAAAAAATAATTATGATATGTATTGTATTTTAAATTGAAAGCTATGTATTTCTGGTAGTTTAATTATGGGTCTGAATCAATCAAGTAGTTGCTGAATACCTTGTTTGAATTTTCAATATTTTTAGTATGATATAGTTAACTTTGACCTAGGAAAATAAGTTGTACTTATCCAAACTTTTTAAAAAAGTGTTCAATAATTTACATGGTGAATTTTGTAGTATTAATTTTTCAATAATATTTATACCAGTAATATTTTTTTCAAAAATTATTAAGAAAATTTTTAAAATAAAATACGAATTCTATTTATTACAACATTATCTACAATTTCACAAGATTATATTTTTTAACCAGTTCGTAACATTTTTGATTCTTTCAAGTCCTGTAGTTCACGTTTACGTTCTTCTAAAACAATTTTTCTTTCTTCTAAAAATGTTTGATATTCTGAAGGATCTAAATCTTTGACTACTTTTATACCTAATGATCTAGCAGTAGAAATTAACATATTACATATATCTTCTAAGCTTCTAAACTCTAAATTTTCATCAGTTTGTTTTATTTTGGCTATTTCATATATATGTTTTAATGTAACCATACCTGCAGTTTCTTTTAAAGGATTCATAGCACCTTTTTGTATTCCAGCTGCTTGTTTTAAATAGTACATGGAAGGTGGTTTGGTAATATTAATTTGATAACTTCTATCTGGGTTTACATGAACTCGTGTTGGTAATGGAATACCATTCTTATAATCTTTTGTCTTCTCATTAAAGTCCTTGCAGAATGCAGTAATATTTATACCTCTACAGCCTAACATTGGACCAAGAGGTGGACCTGGCGTAGCCATACCTGCCGGTATATTAGTACGCAATTTTCCATGCTGAATCTTTTCAACACCTTGTTTCATTTGTCGTAATCTACTTGTATTATATTTTGACATGATACAAAGAAACACAATGTACAAAATTTAATATTCTTTCTAAAAATCTTATAAATTATTTTTAGTACAAAATAATTGTAAATACTTAAAAAAACTAGTTTAAAAATTTTATAGGATAACTAAGTACGAGTTTTATATATAGTTTATGATATTAAATGGTTGATAACTTTTATCAGTCCTGGCTTATTTTGAAGACTAATGTTATCTACCGTGGTTATGTTCCTTAATATCAAATATTGGTAGATACTAGAATGAAACAAAAAAGCTAATCTTTTATGATTCAAGATTGAAATACAGAAGATAAAAAATTGTATACAAACTAGTGATGGCAACTTGTTATTAATTTTGATAACTGTTATTGTTACTTTCAAAATAACAGTGATGTAATTGTTTTATAAAAGACCGATGATTATTGATAACCTGATGTAAAACAAAATAACAGTAATTGTTACTATTTCTTCCAAGTAACAGCTTGTTATTGCTACTCAAGCAGTAACTGATATAAATCACTGTTACTGTTATCTTTTCCCATCACTAATGCAAACGTATTCAGTAAAATATTTTTCAATAACAAATGTGGTTATAAAAAAAAAGCCAGTGTCGTATTTTTAATAAAATTTTCTTATGTTGAGGTTGACTCCTCCATTGAAGGCTAAATTTTAGGAAGTAATGGAGGGATAATTCTTAACAAGTTTTTAAATTATTTTATTTATCATATAATAATAGCATAGGTGCAACATGAAGACTAAAGAGGACTTAGTTCTTCCTCCAAAAATTTAGAAAATTATATATATTTTAATATAATAAAACTAGGATATATATAATATAATTAGAAACCTCATTAATTTATTTTAGTTGCGCAATGAATAACAGTTGAATAAATGTTTTTTTTTTATTAAATTTTGTGGTTCAAAGGTGTTCCAGTTTTTTTTATGGTATGGTTACATATAAAAAATCTTTTACTTTTCTCTTCTATATTATATTTTTATTTCGTAAAAATGTTCGTCGTATAGGGGTTTGAAAACTTTTTTCCTTCCGCGAAGTTATTGTGGTCCTAAAAACAATCTAACATGAGCATCGTAAACATAAATATTTATATGAATAAATAGGTACTTAAACTATAAAGAAGATATAAATATTTAAGATACAATATTTATATATTTGGTAGTAACTTTAAGTATAAAGAAAATAAATAAATCTCAAAAAGCGTTTTACGCCCTGACAAAATTCTTAACCTCCAAAATGTTATCTAGGAAAACGAAAGTAAGATTGTATGTTATTATTAAACTCTCACATATGGTTACGAAGTTTGGACAACGACCAAACAAACAAAGAGAAAATTGAGAACAGAGTATGGAGAAAGATAGTGAATCTATCATCGATAAAATAACAAAGAACTGATAGAAGAAACATAATAAATAATTGTACAATATGTTGGAATTAAGATTAGTAACAAGTTGTATTAAGGGTCAAATATTACAATGGTTAGGCCAAATAATGAGAAGAGAAAAGAATAAAAGAGTTAGAGTAGCATTGGATTGAAAACCACAAGGAAGACTACATAGGAAAAGATGGATTGACGCGGTGGTAGAAGATCTAAAAACCCTAAGAGTTAAGACCTGGAAAGAAGCAACCTGAGATAAAGAGACAGGTGTCAATATGTAATAATAGCGGCAAGGTAGATACGTTAGAATTAGAAAAATAAGATTATAAGAATATCATTCTTAAATATTTTATTTATGTACTTAATATTAGGACTATTAATGAAAGTATTTAATAAATAGGTTCTCAATCGACAATGTCAATTAAAAGTATTAATATAATTTACTTTTATATCAATAACAAATAAATTAAGCAATGATTGCTGACGGCTCAAACTGAAATTATCCAAGGTCTTTCCAACTTTTTTGTACATATACAATGTCCTTTATTGTTAATAACTTTTTGTAGATCTGGAGTAGGGAGAAATACCTTATTTAATTTGTAAAAGTGGGCAGCAAACTATATTTAGTACAATACTTTGAATAAATTGTCTATTAGTAGAGACAATTACTTAAACAGTACTCGATACTACGGTAAATATAATAGTAATTACATACATCGTCACGTTTTCATCTATGATCATAACCGAAAATCTAATATCAGTAAGTAGTTAACGATCTAAACTTCTTTACTCAATGACTTAAGGTTCTATCATATTTCTCCGTCGACAATACGAAATATCAGATAACCACGGTTCAATTGAGTACCATTCCCAGACACACATACCACTTGTTATTCTGATTACACATATACATACGTTCCCGTTGTATAAACTGAAAATGGCGTTAATGTTTTCGTCATCATTCATTCAGTCTGCCATTCGTGATAATAATTGAACTTCTAGAAGTTATGATGATATAGAACTTGTTTTTGAACAAACAAAATTAAATATGTTATGAAATTATTGACCGAGAGTATCTCGGCGGTGATTGATTGAGAAATATATTATTCATAATTACTTATAGTATCCGCCCGTTTATTAATATGTGGAAAGTACGAGAGTTAGCCGACAAAGTGTGAGTATTTTTGTAATACTTGAATTATCTATCGTAACAATTAATTAAAAATAATAATTTATTATGCAGAACAAATGTAGTGCTAAACTATACAGAAATTGAAGCTAAAGTAAGAGAGGCAACTAACGACGAAGCATGGGGACCAACAGGTTAAAAATAGTTATTTAAATTATACATTGTTACAAAAAGTTGAAGCACATACCAATATTTTTATTTCAATGTATTTTGACATTTTTTCCAAAAAATATTTCACATAGATAATATTTATTAAATTATTTGAATTGTTCTTAGTACAGTTATCTAAAGTTATTTTGAATTTATAATGAAATCTTTGTTAACAGTTAATATTTTTAAAAACATTTTTTTTTATAAGTTTAACATTTTCTTAAAATGTATTATTGAAGAAATCTCAATCAATTACAGAGTTTTAAATATTCTAAAAGTGATTCTGAATTATGTAATTGAAACTTAAAAATGTATTTTATTATACATGTTACAATAAAATATTTCAAAAGTGAACAATATATTTCTTATATGATCATTTTATAGAATAAATTCAGAACTAATTTGTTTTTGTTGTATGTAGGGTAATTAATTTAATGTTTACCATTCAATTTATCTTAAATTAATAATTATCTAATAAAAAATCTATACTACCATTACAATATTGTTAAAAAATATTAAATATATTAATATGTATAATATCAATTTTTTCTTGTACTTTTTAATTTTCTTCTTGGATATAATTTAATTTTTTTATTATAAATATTTATTTATTAATTACTTTAAAGTAATATATCTATAACATTAAATACTAAATACTATGTACAAATTACTAGGCAGAGCCTACCTAGCTTAGTTAGTTGGTAACGTGTCACACCTAGGTTTGTAGATATTGGAGTTTGATTCCATTGCACTGAACTATATAGTTTTTCCCATCTTCTGACCCAAGCAGTAGATTTTAAATGAGTCTTTAAACATAATTAATGAAAAAGATAATAATATGATTCATTTGTACAATATGAAAAACATTTTTAAGAATTATTTATTTATATAGGTAACTTAATGCAAGAAGTTGCTCAAGCTACATTTATGTTTGAACACTTTCCTGAAGTTATGGGAATGTTATGGAAAAGAATGTTACACGAGAATAAAAAAAATTGGAGACGTACTTACAAGGTATTTGTACTTTTAACTATCATAAATTTTAATCTCTCAACATTTTTCTATCTATATTCAAAATAATAATATTCAATATTCAGCCCAATATATATTTCTATTTATATAGATAACCTTATATATAATCTTACATAGATATCAATACATTAATCCAAATTTTTTTCTCATAGTGCATTTATATTTTATTAAAAAAAATAACATTTTAACAGACTCATTATTATTACAGAGTTTATTGTTGTTAAATTATTTAATTAAAAATGGTTCAGAAAGAGTTGTTACATCTGCTCGAGAACATATTTATGATCTTAGGGGATTAGAAAACTATTCATATGTTGATGAATTTGGAAAAGATCAGGGAATTAATATTCGGTTTGTTAATTTTTTCTTTTTTTTTTTTTCTCAAAATTGATGTAATGTTTAATTCTTTTTTTCTAGGCATAAAGTTAAAGAACTAATTGATTTTATTCAAGATGATGATAAACTTCGTGAAGAAAGAAAGAAAGCTAAGAAAAATAAGGATAAATATATTGGGATGTCTAGTGAAGCAATAGGATTTAAAGGATCTGGTAATTTTAAAAAATTAATATTTCCAATATTCTATGTAACAATTTACTAATGTAGGGACTGAAAAATGGGACGATGTACCTCAATGGAGAAAAAATAGTAATAATGAATTTAGCGATAAAAAAAATATTAATACTCTAGGATTTGAAGAATCACCTAATAACAGGTATGTATGACAGAATTAATAAATACAACTGAATTGGAAATTTATAATTAGAAATTTAAATTTTATTTCTGGATTTATGGTTACAATTTTGAACAGAGTTTGTTTTTTAAATCTTTTTTTAGAATGATTTTCTTACATTTAAAAAAAATGTCATTGTTTTAAAATTTAAACAGCTATAAATATTTTTATAGCTGTAAAGCTATAGCTTTCTAGTAATACTTTATATATTCTAAAATTTGATTAAAAATTACTTTAAGAAAATTATAAAAAGACTATTTATTATATTTTGGTGTATTTTTTAAGATTTATCCTGGATCATATTTACATTTTTTCTTGCATACTTAAATTATACTCCCTTCAAATAGTGTCTCTTTAATTATTATTCTATTAGTCTAAATTAATGAGTATTATTAAAAAAATTTTAGTGATGACAATGATATTTTGGATTCCGAACCAGAACTTGAAATTCCTCAGAAACCTGTTGAAATTTTTAAAGATCGAAGTGTAACTCCTACCAAAATTCAAAGTCCAGTTAAGCAAAAAACACCTGCTAAACGTATTGATTTAGGTGCAGCAGCTCACTATGGGAAACAAACACAACAGCCTGTGATCAAAGCTACAACTAATAACCTCTTACATACTGAAACAAGTTCAGTTGACTTATTTAATTTAGTAGATAACTCTAATAAACCATCAAATGATTTTGGAGATTTTAGTACTGGTCCCAGTACTATTAACCAAGGGTAATTATTGTGTATACATATATGTATATATATAAGTATTTATATTCTGACTGGCACTGCAATATCTAACACTTTTTTTTAATAATATTACATTGTCATTACTAATTATATATTTTATTTCTCTGCAAATTTAATTAAGAACCTTTTCAACTTAAATGATATATTCCTCTTAAATTACAGCATTACAGTGACACTTAGTTAATAATCATATGTGATTGTTATGGTTTTCTTCTAAAAAATTTGTAACTATGTAATTAATTGGCATTGCAATGATAGTTTCCATATAAATAACTAATTATTATAATTAAAATACTTAAATATTAAAAACAAAAATGTTTATATTTAGTATGGATGTTGACGAATTTGCTGATTTTAGTTCAGCATTTACTCAATCAGTATCTATTAGCAATAACTCTTCAAACTCTGTTCAAAAAAGTAAGTTACTGTTGATTAAATTATGTTTATAGTTAACTCCCTCATTATAAATATATCATTGTTAGATAACCAAAACTTGACTTCAAATGCTGATCTCCTAACATCATTTCCACAGTCATCTAATAATCAACCAAGTAATAGTTTATTGGATCTCAGTTTTGATACTTTAGATAACACAGGTAATTTCTAAGATTTTATAGTTCATGTTATTATTATAACTATTGGTAAATAGTATTCCTTTTTTAACAATATATTGTAAATGGTTTCCCTATTTGTTTATATTTGTACATAGAAGAATACAAAACTGGTATTTTGTTATTATGACTTTTCAGCGCTGAAAATAACATTGAAGAGCTTAGAATCCATTCATGAGTATTCAGATTCCGACATTAAAAGTCTGTTAAGAGAATTTGTTGAAATAATGCCAGGTCCAATGACTCCACAAAAATTAACAAAAATTGATATTACTGATTATTCAGAAATTATCCAAGTTTATGGTTGGATTTTAGACATTTTATTAGAAAAAATTGATATTGTTGAATATGTTCAATTGGCAATACCTATATTTGCTCCAGATGGTGGTACTTTAGAGATGCTTGATATATCATTACATACTCTTTGGAATTATGTACAAAGGAATCCATTATCAGCTCAAAGTGATAGTGCAATTTTTTTAATTAATGAAATAATCCAAAGTGATTTTATTAAAACTTCATTAATAATAGAAACTTTAAATATCAATCATAATCATTTGATTGCAGTAATTGAGTTCTTATTATCATTACCCACGAGAATTGCTAACAAGTTAAAACAAAATTATCCTAAACAATTTTGTGCTGTAGATTATTCAAATAGTTTAATGTACCATGTGTTACTTGTCATTGATCAGATAACTCAACTTTATATATTAGAAAAAGTAAAACCAAACATTAAACCTATATCAATTCTATTAGGCAAAACTATTGCTCATTTTACAGACAATAATTTTTCAGTCATATTTAATATATTGGAATGCTGGTGTTTAGATGCTAACTATGCCACAATAATTAATAGCATATTATTAGAAGTTGAAAGAAGAGCAATTGATAGACTTGGTACATTATTATGTTGCAATTTGAAATCACCAAAATCACTTTATTCATTTTTAGGTGATGCCATAATTAGTTACCCAAATTGGAACTATACATTATGTAAAAAATTGGTTTTCCTATCCTACTATGAAGATGACTATATTATTTTTAATATTATGTGTTACTTAAATTTAGTACAAATGCATTCAAATAAAAACATACTATATGAAGTACTTTTACAACTTGTAGAAGTGTGGAGTGACAAGAGTGCTATATTACACACACCATTTGAACAACATTATTATTTATCAAAATTAATTGTTTGTGGTAGTTCTTTTTTAACTGATAAAAATATTGATGATTGTTTTAAAAATAATTATCAAATGAAAATTTTTGAAGGAGTTCCTGTGCATTTAGAGAGGTCAGAAGAAAAATTAAGAGTTATTGGAATGATTGTAGCAGAAATTATTATTGGTTTAATAAAATGTAATAATCATAATGAAGTTAATCTAGAATTTGAATATACTAATCTCAGTGGTGAATCAAAAGTTATTGTTGATTCATTAAAAAGTTTTCAAAATATTTCAGTTAATAATGAATTAAAATTTGAAATGGGCTTTGAGAGTTTAAAAAAATATCACACTTGGTTTAATAATGTATCAAATTCTAAGATGATCACAAATACTGCATTGAAGAAATCATCAACAATGACATGTAATCAAGTAGAAAATAAAAGTGTAAAAATTGAACTTGACAGTGATGATGATGAATTTGAACCTTATGATTTAGCTAATGATATAAAAACTAATATCAAGAATTATCCAAAATATGTCAGAGACCTTATTGATGGCCTAAATGAGCAAAAAGATGCTAATATTTGGATTGCACACTTGGAAGCATCTGAAAACCTCATAAGAACTCAATTAATAAATGATAATGTAATGTTTGCTATAGAATTATTAACATTGTTAATAACTTTGGAAAAACTGTTTTATTTAGAAAATTTTGAAAGCTTAAGGTATCAATCAGCTGTTGCAATAATTACTATTTTTCCATCCGAATGTGCAAGCCATCTTAGTAATATTTTCTACGAGTCTGTTGGAAAATATGCAGTTTCTCATCGTATTTTAATTTTAAATGTATTAACAGGCGCTGCTAAAGAATTATCGGGATGTGAAAAGAGTGCTAATTATAAAACTTTTATTGAACAATCAGTTAAAACCAACATTAAAGATTGGGAAAATATTGTTAAACAAAGAATTCAGCAGAAAACAAGAATAATTTCATCACCTAAAACACCAGTTAAATGTCACAAAAATAGGTTTGCTTTAGTTGCTGATGCTTTTTTTTTTCCTTTAATTCGTGGAAATATATCAAGTCCAATTATTCATAAACATATAGATGATTCTACACAGTTAAACTTTCTTGGAGTATACCTTTTAAATTCTTTATCTATTATACTATGTTGTGCTGTTAACTCAGTACATGTTACGAGAATGAGTATTGAACTTTTAGAATGGATTTGGTCATTAAGATTTCATAAAGATGTTAAGATAAGAACTGCAGTTATGGGATGTGTAGCTGCTGTTTTGCTATCTGTACCAAAATCAAGATTAATTGATGATCTCTCAAGATCAATGTTAGAATTTGTTTTGTGGTTAGAAAATGTTATATCATCAGAAGGTGTTATGAATAGAATTGATAATGAAGTAGATGTAGAAGCAAGAAAGTTTGCTTTGCAAGTTTTAATTCTTTACAAAAAAACAATTGGCAATCATTTAACTATTAATTAAATTTAAATTTGTATTACATAAAAATTAATTTGTACAATACAAATTTATTATTATTTATTTTGGTCAATTTTTTTTTCAATCCTCTCTTGTTTATATATTAAGCATGAACTTTAACTAATTTCCAGGGTCTTTACCGTTGAATCATGTGATTCAGCCTTTATCATTTGCTCAAAGTAATAGCTTTCAAAACAACAAGTCTAGCACTCAAAATGATAATAAAATACAGGTAATTTTAATATTTCTCTAAAATATTACATAACTTAAGACATTTAGAATTGAGTGGTCTATTTCTCAATATTTATCTATCTATATTCAAAATGATAATATTCAGCTCAATATATAATTCTATTTTTATAGGCAAATTTGTATATAATCTTACATACAATAATTGTATTATTATATAATTGAATTATTCAATACATTAATCCAAATTTTTTTCTCATAGTGTATTTATATTTTATTAAAAAAATAACATTTTAACAGACTCGTTATTATTACAAGGTTTATTGTTGTTCAATTATTTAACATCAATAAATAATTAAATTAGATGTAAACAACTTCATAATTGTGTATGATATAGATATTATGAAGAGAAAACAAAATATGTAATGAAAATTTTTCTAAATAAGTGTTTTAAAATCTTATGAAAATTTGAATTTTGTGTCAAGAAATGTTTCTAAATGAGAAGATAAAAGCATATCAGCAGCCTTTTCCAACCCAACCAGTAGCCTTATCTAGCATTTTACACATTGATTCAATCGATAAATTTAAATTATAAAAAGTACTATAATAAATACTAATGCTTCATTTTATGTTTAATAGTTTAAATAATAAAATCAATGAAAATTGAAAAAAATCTTTAAATCTACATTTTAGTACAAAAACCTTATTAAACAGCCAGATAACTTAAATTATATTAAATATTTTTATAAAAGATTAAAATAAAAATACATGTATTTTTTATTTCCTTTTGATTTTTATAGCTGGGCAGTACGTGGAGTGGAGTAAAAGATTTAAATATAGATTTGGACAACTTATTGTCACCAGGTAGCAAATCACCAAATTCTAATTCAATATCTATGAACCAAATGGCTAATAACAATAATAATAGCCTTGGTAATTATTATTATTGTTTAAAGTATTAGCTATGACAAAAAAAAATTATTTTTCTCGTTTATATTTTTAGGAAGTAAACAATTTACTTTTTTTGATTCAAATGATGTATTGTTGCCTACTCAGCAAGCATTTTCAACAAGCTTTAAGTGATATTTTTACTAAAAAAAATGATGTGTCTCTATTATTGTAAATCCAACAACAATATAAGTACTTATTGTCCTCGTTATTTTTACCAAGGTTGTGGGGCTTTTAACATAATATATTTTGTCTACCAAGAGTTGATAATCTAAAAATTAAAAATATTTAATGAATTAAAATTAAATAGCACCAAGTATATTCCTGGGATTTATTTTTACCATTTATACTATTTATAAAGGATAATACAAATATCCTACAAAATAATTATTTACCAGTAATAAAAATATTTTGATTATAATTAAATTTGTGTACTTAAAAAAATTAGTTTTCCTATTCAGTATTAATATGATAATTAATAAATATAATTGAATATTTGTTTTGTTTTGTACATAAATAATATGTAAAGTTAACATACACTTTTAATTTACTCACTGTTTAACAGTAACATATCACAATAATACTATAATTATAAAAATAATTGTAATAATGTGTTCATGGTCATATCAAGCCAAAATAACTTTCATTTAAATATTATTGTTATCAATAACACATTTTAAATGTAAGCTCAATGCAATATGTCCATGTTCTTTATTCTTAATTTATAAATTAATTCTTAATAGCCTAAGTAATTTCAGGTAAATAATTATTATTTTACTAGTTTATTATATATTTTTTGATTTATGTTTGTTAATTATTAAATCTTATATTACACTTATTCCATTTTTATGTTATACATCATTTTTGATATCTTAAATATTTACCATATGTTTTTATTTTAAATGATTGTTGATTACTCTGTTTTGTTTGAAAAAAATGTAAATTTAAGTTTCTTATTTAGTAATAATAAATAACTATTAAAACTCAAAAAGATATTTGTACTAAAATTACATATTTCAGATAACATTAATATGCGAGACGATTTAGTCATAATTAAATTTAAAAAGCTCAAAAATTTGACTGTATCTAAAAAAAGATTTTTTTTCTTATAAGCCCATTCAGATTCAAACAGAATTTACATGGAAAATATCAAACTCGATCAGGCCTATTTAAAAAACAATAATTGTAAAATTTTAAATTTGGATATTTGAGCTACAAATACATTTTTTTAGATGAATACTAAAGAAATCATGTACAAAGTTGCCAAGTTTCTAGGATTGCCTTCGATAAAAACGTTTAAATATTTGAATTTAAATTAACACGACTACTTGAAATTAAAAGTATTGTTAATTAGTTGGAAATCTAATTACTTAATATGTTGTAATGGTGTTTAAATAAACACTATAAAACTATTTTATAGTTTAAAACTATCGAACTAAAAATTAATAAAAATAATCAATTCTCATTCATATGACTCATAATAACCTCTTTTTAGACTGCATTGACATATAAGAAAAGTCGAATAAAAAAAAAAGAAAAAGTTTATCACGGCTAAAAACAGTCTAATTATTTTAGAGGAGTACGAACCTTTAAAATCTCTTATGGTTGTGCCACTGAAAGTTAATTTCTTTAATAGTATTTTAATTAATATTAATAGTTATTAAGCAATCCGAACTATTGACTGTGTAATTGTTATCAGTGTTGCTAAATAAAAATTTCAAATTTTCTTCTATAGATTACATTCTTACTTAATTTATTTTATTTATCTCTTATATGATGTATAAGTCTATGAGTTTATCGTAAAATTAGGACTAAATGACAACTATGTTGTGCAACGTCAAATCACAGTAACCAACGTTGTTATCAAAATAATTTTTTACATAGTCCTAGGAATAACAATCTGCTAAATTTTTCTACAAGTTTTTTTTAATATTAACACAATTATTAATTATTATGTATACATGGAGTGTATTTATGGGCGATATGGACAACTGGCTTCTTGGTAGTGATGGGCATAATCGAGATATCTCGATTATGAAAATAATCGAGATATTTCGATTATTGAAATCATATCAATTATATAATCGAAATATTCTGATTTTTTTAATAAATAATATTAGAATAATATTGATTATTCTATAATCGAGTGATTATTTCTAATGATTTCTCGTTTATTATAAAAACAATGATTTCTTGATCTTGAAATGTATATAATCGAATAAAAGGTATTTCGAATGATGTCCATGAAACGATGAAACGAGAGAATACTATTTTTAAGTTTTTATTTAGCATAAATTATAGTAGAATTATTATTAAATTGTTGACTTCGAGTCTTATTTTCAACTTGTTCAATCGCTACTCATGGCAACATCTTATCTGTCACATTTTTGGGAAGTATGTGACGATTAGAACAAAGTTTTGTCCTGAACTGGCTAAACTACTGAGTTCTGATTCTCTCACTAGTTGTGAATTTATGAAAAATCAATTAGGTGTTTTAATTATGATGGTCAAGCCGGCTATTGCTACCTTATCTTATGTTTTTATTTTTAAATTTGTTATCGGTTTTTTTAAAATATAGGTAATAATTATTAAATAAAAAAAATAACAACTTGTCTTTTATTTAAAGCACTTATTAATAATGCATTATTAATATATTATTGTTATTATTATTCCTAAATTATAGTTTAATATATTAATTATAAATAAACACCAACAAATAAAAAAAGCAAAATTAAATTAATAATTATTTACTATAGGTATATTTATTCATATTTCGTATAATTTTTCGATTCTCTCGATAAATAATAATAGTTGATTATTCTTATCATACGAGCAGACGATTTTAACTTCGAGTGATTTTTCGAGAGATTCACTCGATTATGAAAATGTCTCGATTACTAATCATTCGATTATCGAAATCATTTGATTATGCCCATCACTACTTCTTGGACTAGCACTGTATTATTTTTTAAGGTCGATATCTAAGACGTCCTACTGATACCGAGTACTACTGGAACTCCGATAGTAACGTACTCAAGTACAATGTGTTGCCAACTGAGTTACGTAAGTCACCATTATTTTCCGATTCGTAATTAATTAATTCGTTAGTGAATTAAAAGTGAAGAAAAGGTGATTCAAAATTAAAATGACTCCTGTAGTAACACACTATTATACTTTATATTTAGATACATATGAAGTATAGGTTGTACCGAAGAAACAGTATGTAAACAAAACCGTGAATTCGCGTGTGCGTTCAGGAAAAGAGGAAAATAATTATTAAAACAATTTAGAACACGACGTAGAAATATCTTTAATGTTTTATTATGCAAAACACCAATAAGTCTTTTCTTGCCCTACGGTTGGCAAACTACTGCTAACTCTGCTAGACAAGTACAAACAAATAACAGTCCTTTTAACATTCTCAGATAAGAGTAAAACAACAATGATACACAAATAATAAAATTACCACTCTTCTTTCAGCATAATACTAAATATCATTTTTAATGTTAAATACTGATAACGAAGTGTCTTATTTAAAATAACATGACTACAATATATAAAATTAAATTTTTAAATAATAAAAACTTGATGAATACATTTTTTTAATTATCGATTATTGGGCGAATTTATTATGCATCATTTAGCTTTAAAGCATTGTAGTAATTGAAAGTAGATTCTGGTAAAACCCACTTAAAAGCTCGTAATTCTATTAGATGCAAAAGAGTTTTCTTAACGGGTATTGAACAATCTCGAGTTAACACTACATCTCGCATTGAAACGTAAAGCTGTTGAATCATATCTGGGATATCTCTTTCTAAATCAGATCCAATAGCATCTATAATACCAAACATACAGTCTACCTATAAAAAATAATAATATAATTTATGTGACGTATCATAATGTCATGCAGATACAAGATAACAATTTGTAATCACAAGAAAAATCTCATTAGCACTCTGGGGATCGAACCCGATATCCAGTGTGCCGTAACATACGTCTCTACCCACTAGGCTAACTACTTGTTATCCCATAGGATAGCAATATGTAAAATGTAAATTATGATAAATATACATATAATTTCTCAAATTTCATATTTTATATTTTTATAATTATATAAACTTACTTGATCATTAGAATTTTCTTCTATGTTCAAAATCAAACAATGCTCACAAATTTTAGCCAACAGCATTAGCAATGCTTGTTTGCGAGAATAATACTCATGTTCCATTCTGTTCAAAAGAACTTTGTTTTGCTTCATCTATAAATAGAATATTAATCAATACTAAGACACAGGAAAGGGCGAAATCAAAAAAATATATAAGAAAGCTTCTTTAAATATATCACAGTTATGGTTAAATGGACTTTTTTAAATATTATAGTAGGTTAATTTAAATTGGTTTAACATTTGTTGGCCATGATCTCCAGATTCCAAATGTAAGGACTTTAGAATTTTTTTTTAAAGCAAAACAAAAAATGAAATTTTAATGATACCTGAGTTACTGGAACTTAATTTTATTTTAATCCCGGGTTTTAAAAATATTTTAATTTGAGCTTGCTTACCTAGAACGTAAAACTTCTATAGAAATTGTATGTCTTTTCGAAATTATTTGATAAAAGTTTGTGACCACAATTAAAAACAGCACATGCAAATGCATTTAAAATGATAAAAATTATGATTGATTAAAAATTTTTACTTAATAAGAGTATGATCGGTCGCCCAGGTTGTTTATTAGGAGTTGATGTGATATGAAAGAAAAAGAAATAAATATAGTTTAAAAAAACTAAAAAAACACGCTTTTAAAGTACATCGAACTAAAAAGTTAAAAATAATTTTTAAAATAATTATGAACAAAAAATACTATTATTGTGATAAAATCGTCGGGCGCTCAATATACGAAAATATGGCACAAAGCACCCACGCTTTTATCACAATAATAGTATTTTTTGTTCATAATTATTTTTAACTTTTTAGTTCGATGTACTTTAATAGCGTGTTTTTTTATTTTTTTTAAACTATATTTATTTTTCACTTTTTAGTTCGATGTACTTAAATAGCGTGTTTTTTTAGTTTTTTTAAACTATATTTATTTTTCACTTTTTAGTTTCATGTTATTGTAGTAGTTACTATCAATATCATGGTTGTAACGGGTAACGGGAAATCAGGGTTCGATTCCGGGGAGGGAGTCTGAGAAACGGCTACCACATCCAAGGAAAGCAGCAGACGCGTAAATTACTCACTCCCGGAACGTGGAGGTAGTGACGAAAAATGACGATACGGAAATCATCTCTCGTAATCGGAATAAATACTTTATACCTCTTAATTAGAATAAAGCGTGTTAATATATAAATTTTAATAGTAATTAGAATATATATATATACAAGTAAAGCGACTTAAGTACGTAAACGTATCATGCATTAGGTACAGTCGTGTTTTGTGAGCGGGCAGGTCGGACTAACGTTATACCTGAGGTATAAACGGCGGTAGAAATATATACGTAAGCCGTATGCACGCGGATGATAATGGTCAGTCAAAATAAAAATTTGTTTATATATATATAATATTGATGACAAGCACGCGTGTACAGGTACGATAACCAAAAATAAATTTATACAGGAATAGTATTGCCGGCGTGTAATGAGCGATGCGTAGGGTGGGGTGAATGCGTTATGACAATCTAGTCTAGACGACGGAATATACGATAACGCGTGGCGTTTTGAGAGTTACATACATACATACATACATACATACATACAGGTGAAACTAATATAAGCGTGTTAAAAACACTAGAATTAATAATGAGGTGAAAAAACTACAAAAATATGAAACTGAAATATCGACTATTGAACAAGGTAGTTAAATTATTAATACTAAAAAATATTCAAATATTTAGTTTTTGTATTTAATAATTATAATACAAATTTTTTTTTATATTATCCCCGTAATTAGTACTTCAGAGGAAGAGGAGGAGGAATAAAAGAAGGCCATAAAGAGTAGAATAAATGTAGAATATGTAGGAAAAAAAAGACACAATAATAGTACTTTCGTTAATAAATTATAATGTATTGATACAACAATTAACTATGCGAATAAAATAATATATCACTAACGCTCCGGCACGGCGGAGGGTCAACTACACACCAGTGGCGCAACTACGGGGGTACTGAAGCACCCCCAACTTTACTTTAAGCAACCCGAAGTTCCACGTCTTTGTAATTTCAAATATGTATAGTTTTAACAATGTATTTTTAACACGCTTATATTAGTTTCACCTGTATGTATGTATGTATGTATGTAACTCTCCAAACGCCACGCGTTATCGCATATTCCGTCGTCTAGACTAGACTGTTATACGCATTCACCCCTCCCCACGCCTCGCTCACATCACGACGGCACACTATTCCTATAAAAATTTATTTTTAGTTATCGTACCCGTACACGCGTGCTTGTCATCAATATTATATATATATAAACAAATTTTTATTTTGACTGACCAATACCGCCCGCGTCTAATGCGCCTTACGTATATATATTTATATATTCCTACCACCGTTTATACCTCAGGTATAACGTTAGTCCGACCCGCCCGCCCACAAAATACGGTTATACCTAGTGCATGATACGTTTACGTACTTAAGTCGCTTTACTTGTATATATATATATATATTCTAATTACTATTAAAATTTATTTATTAACACGCTTTATTTTAATTAAGAGATATAAAGTATTCATTCCGATTACGAGGGATGATTTCCGTATCGTCATTTTTCGTCACTACCTCCACGTTCCGGGAGTGAGTAATTTACGCGCCTGCTGCTTTCCTTGGATGTGGTAGCCGTTTCTCAGACTCCCTCCCCGGAATCGAACCCTGATTTCCCGTTACCCGTAACAACCATGATATTGATAGTAACTACTATCATAACATGAAACTAAAAAGTAAAAAATAAATATAGTTTAAAAAACTAAAAAAACACGCTTTTAAAGTACATCGAACTAAAAAGTTAAAAATAATTTTTAAAATAATTATGAACAAAAAATACTAGTATTATTGTGATAAAAGCGTGGGTGCTTTGTGCCATATTTTTCGTATATTGAGCGCCCGACGCTTTTATCACAATAATACTAGTATTTTTTGTTCATAATTATTTTAAACTTATTTTAAAAATTATTTTTAACTTTTTAGTTCGACGTGCTTTAAAAGCGTGTTTTTTTAGTTTTTAAACTATATTTATTTTTTTATTTTTTAAGATTTTATTATCATACTGTATATATTATATATTTTTTCTTATCTTGTATACTGATTAATAAAATGTACATGATCAAGGTTGTATATATTCTAAATGGTATATTATATTATATTATCAACATTATAGCGATTTATAAAAAAATGTTTAAAGTATCAAAACGAAAAAGAAGCGAACCAAATAATTTGAAAAATTTCCATTTGGAAAAAAAAATGTAATACAATTAAATACTATTGTAAATAAATTTAATGTGTTATATTAATTTTTCCAAAAATGATATTGCGAATATAATAATAGTATTATATTTTAAATATTGAGATTATGTAAAGTTGAAGGCGTGGAGGCGGAGTCCCCCACGATTTTGTAAGTGATTTATAATTGTAACACCTCCAAGATTTAAACTCTAGTTGCGTCATTGCCATACACTAACTCAATTATCGGAAGGCCTTATCGCTATCTTTACAATTATACGGAATACTATAGCTCGACCAATCTGACGATTAGTCGGCCTCGAACAATAATAACTTACACTGTCGCATAGTAATTCAAAAAGATAAAATAATCAATTTGGACATACAACTATTACATAAATACATATAATAATAAATAAATATACAATCAATTACCTAATAAAATTAACAGTTAAATAACATTAATAAAAATAATGATAAAATACAATAATAATATTTATATAATAATAATGATCAAATAATCAAAATAATAAACAAACTAAAATAAAATAAAATTAATGTTATTGAGTTAAAATTTAAAATCAATATTAATGGGATCGAATCCAATATTCAATATCCCTAGCGGCAATAACGGTATTTAAAGGAATTTGAGTGACCTGAAACCCCTAAATGTCAACTACGACATATCTATCATTAGAAAGTACCTTATGGATTTTATAGGGTCCTTTAAATTTGGGAATAAGTTTCTTACACACTTAGGAGTTGTATCAATGTTCCTTATCATCAACAAATCACCTACGTTATACTTAATTGCTTTTTGTTTGTTGTCATCATAGTATATATTTAGTATAGTTGTCCATCCTGAATGTTTTGCTATGCCTGATTTCTAATTATGTCAAAATCACATTCTCCATTACTCTCGGATAATGTTTTTAAATACAATCGTACATAGTCGTTAATCTCCCCGGTCTGCTCCATGCCAAACATTATCTTACTAGGTGTATTTTTAATAGATCGATTGATAGTATTATTAACGGCAAATTGAATTTTATTTAAATGTTCGTTCCAATTGTTACTGTGTTCATATACCATTTTAGATACATTACCGTTAGACTTCTGTTGTATCGTTCGACTTGTCCATTGGACGAGGGTGATTGTATCGCTGTCATTACGTGATTAATATCGCGTTGTATACAAAACTCTTTAAAAACATCAGATCTAAACAGGATCCCCTATCTTAAATAATTCTTATAGGCTTACTATAATATGAAAAGTATTGGTCCAACTTCGAACATGTTTCTTTTGACGTAACTGTTCGTACGGGGTATAAAGTTGAAAATTTACTAAAGGCATCAACAATAGCAAAAACATACTTAAATCGTCCTTTTGTCTGACACAATGGGCCGTAATGGTCAACGTGAATGGTGTGAAATAGCTTATCACCTTTATTAATATTATTTAATAATCTCTCACCTTTTCCCTCTTTCGGTGAGAATAAGATGCATTTTAAACAATTGCTAATATATGACTTGACATACTCAGTCATTTTCGGAAACCAATACACTTGTTTTATAAGCTCAACAGTTCGACTGGCACCTACGTGACACATGTCATGTAACACGATCGCGCATTTCAGCGGGAATATAGAACAGAAGTCGCTCACCACTCTTACGATAAAGTAGTCCATTACGTAATTCATATAAAGAGTGTTCGGATTTCTCAAGGCATGCAATTAAGTTATTAATTTCAGGATCAGTCTGCTGCTCGATATACAGTGCTTGATTGAAGGTACAGCAATCTAAAACTAATAATTGCTGACATCGACTTAACGTGTTGACATGCGGCATACACGTACTCGATCGATGTACAACTTCATAAGAATAATTTTGTAAAAACATGGCCCGCCAGGCGATTCGTGGTTTATGTCGCGTTTTTGTAAAGTCAATTAAACGCTATTGCAATCGGTGATAATTTTAAATTTAATACCGTGCAGATAAACATGAAACCGCTTAATTAAATTAATAATGGCCAACATTTCTAGCTCATAGCTATGATATTTGAATCCTGTCTCAGTTGTTCGGTGGCCATGATAAAAAACCATATGGAATTTATCGTCAGGTTGCTGTTGAAGTAATATAGAACCGTAACATTGGCTACTTGCGTCACAATGGAGTTCAGTTTAGGCATGTGGATTAAATACAGATAGCAACGGCTGATCACTTAATTTAGATTTAATTAATTCGAACGAAGTCATTTGTTCTTCGCCAAAATAGTAGTCTGCATCCTTTTTCAATAAATTATATAATGATTTAGCTATTAGCGCAAAATTAGGAATAAAACGGCGAAAATATGATGCCAAGCTAATGAAACTGTGAATTTCTTTTTTACTTTTCGGAACAGGGTAATTATTGATTGCGCTTACATTTTTTGGATATGGTCGGATACTAGATTGACTCACACAGTAGCCCAAATAAATTATATCATGCATTAAAAATTTACTCTTGTCTAACCTGATCTGTAGTTTATTCTTACGCATGCTCGCTAAAACTCTAGTAAGAATATCTAAATGCTCCTCGATTGTATCGGTAGCAATAAACAATAAGTTCTTGTTTACGGATAAATTCTTGAAAAACATCATTTATAAATCGACCAAAGCGGACGGATCCATTGGCTAACCCAAAGGGCATTTGGAGATATTCAAATTGTTCTAGCGGAGTAGTAAAAGATGTATACTTAATCGAATCGTCGGCTACTTTGATATGGTAAAATCCATCTTTTAAATCAATACAACTGTAATACTGTTTAACTCGAAGTAAATCGAGATTATCATCGATTAATGGTAAAGGGTATCTATATTTAACCATGTGTTTGTTTATCTCGCTATAATCTATGCAAAGTCGGAGCTCACCGTTTTTCTTTTTTATTAAAATAATTGGGCTTCCATATTCTGACTGTATAGGTCTAATTAAATTTCGACTTAATAAATCATCAATTATTAATTGTAATTTTTGCTTTAAAAATAAAAGTCACCTTGGACGGAAGTAAATCGGAACCTCGGTTTTTAATTTAATGTGTAACAGTGGCGGATTATCTAATTCAGTAGTTAGGTCGGTCGCGTTATCGACCGATAAATAACTGCTGGTATATACATCAATAATAATTTTTTGTCGGATATTTAATGGCAAGGCAGGCTCGATGGTGATATCAATTTCATTACCATAATTCTCGTCGTTACGATAATCTAACGATAATATATCGTCGAAACGGACGTTATCGGTTGATTTAAATGTAATAGTAAATTACACATCAACAATACACACATTTACACGGTTATGGGCCAGAAAATTGCGCCTGAGTAAACAATCATTATTTATGGTCTGATTGGGCACAACACGAAAATTTAAGCTTATGGGAACATCCAAATCATCATGGTTTACATCACCATTGAACTCATCAACAACACATAATTGAGACCTGTTTATACCTACTAAACTAGACTTAGGAGGGGTAATACCAGAAACATAAGAAACAACACTGAATTTTAAAAGGCTGACTGGACTACCAGTAACAATAAAAGCCATAACATTAGAAAGATTGCCGTTGGGATACTTAATACTAACATTTAACATAAAAAGGGGTACAAAACAACTAGAAATATTATCTAAAATTGAAAAATTCTCACCCCGGAAATTATTGGACTGTGGACGACGTTCATTTCGACGAGCTGGCACAGGAACTTGAATAATGACCGATGGATCCACAATTAAAACATCGAATATTGGCATTTCGATCACTAAAACGGCTGGCTGTCCTGGGCGTCGATTGACCAGATTGAAGCGGTGGGTTGGGCGACCTAAACTCAATGACAGGGGGTTCTCGATTAAATAACACTCTAGGTCTTTGTGGACTGGTACCCTGAGCATACCGATTTTTTAACGATCATTCGGTTCGGAAACGGTTTTGACAAGCATTATTAATTTTTTCGTAATTTCGGATGTCAGTTAACAATTCATCTTCACTGTTGTGGTTACGAGCCAACAAGTAGTAACATAGATCCCGAGAATATAGTCCCTCCACTACCTGTCGCTAGCTCTCATAGAATGTAAGATCAATATCGCAGCAAAGCTTCATTTTATGATGGAAGTATTCAAAAATACAGTCATTTTTTAGCTGTAACCAATTAGACATACAGTGAACTCTATCAACGGTGTCGAGTTTACAGCCAATAAACGTATTTCTGAATTGTTCCATGAAACTATTCCAGTCAGGGAATTGGCGTAATGAGAACCAGTATTTGGACGGTTCGATTAATTTCAGTCGTACAAGTTTTAATTTAAAATGATCTGGCCAGTAATGCAATTTGGCCACACTCTCGACTAATTGGAGCTAAAGCTCAGCCTCTCAAGTTGGTTCACGGCCGGTAAAATTACTAATGCTGTTATTAAAATCTGACATGATAAAATAACCTTGCGATGAGCGGTGCTGTTTGATTCTGATTATTATCATTAACCTTAGATAATAACTGATGCATAAGTAAATTATTCTGGTTAACCAGTGTAGCCACTAAGTCTCGAAGATCTGCAGTGTTATTTCCAGCATTATAATTTGAGTCGCCTTCCGGCTTTTGAATAAGTGGGGATGCACTTATTATATGACTATGATGTCATCTACGTCACGCACTGGTAAAACCGTTTTACTTCGTAAATGCATGGATCTTATAACTTTAGCTAAACAATTAACACTCGCACAAATTCAAGTTGCATAAATATTACAGTAACAATTTCAGTTAGCATAAATAATTACTTCGAAACATATAACTTCGCGAGTGAACGAACCAAATGTCAATGACTAACAATAGCGAATAACAAATAAACAATCGGCGAACGGCGAACAATTTGGTTGAATCCCACACCTGAATTTGTAGGAAAAAAAAGACACAATAATAGTACTTTCGTTAATAAATTATAATGTATTTATACGACAATTAACTATGTGGATAAAATAATATATCACTGACACTTCGACCCCGCACGGCGGAGGGTCAATCACACACTAACTAAATTATCGGTAGGCCTTATGGCTATCTTTACAATTATACGGAATACTACAAATATAAAAAAATTAAAGATGGACCAAGTTCACAGCCATTTTTGAAGAATGATTTAAAACATTCTCACCGTACCTACAAACATATCTGGACAGAGTGGAATGATAATACTGAATACCAGACAGCAAAAATGACAATCGATCTATTGCAAATAGTTAATGACACCGCTGAATGTTGAGTAAAATTTGTTGAGGATTTCAATAACCTAACAATTACATTTATTTATGCATTTAAGCATCGAAGCAAAACTAAGAAGTTATTTTTTTTACTATGATATATATATTTTTATGCATGTCCATAAAAATTCTCAACTTCTACAGAACTGATTTTGTTAGTTTATGCGTTAAAAGAGTCCAATTTAAATTTAGTCATACTTATCGTAAATTGAATTGAATAAACCTCTTCACATACATTAAAAAATATACATCAAAATTACGATACCGTAAAAATGGCATTTTTAAATAAAATGTTTTGCATTTTATAAATACTACATTTTTTTTTTAGCTTCGATGCGAAGCTGAGAAGGTATTTTACACTAACTCTAATGCAATTTTAGTAGGGTGCATGAAAGATAATAATCCTTCTATTAGTATGCTTTTTGTGGAAATCTGTTGAAAAACCTAAGTACAGGATGGATTTAAAAATGACTACTTATACACATATATAAAAAAAAAATTTCAACTTAATTTTTGAAAATTTACCATGCATACACAACATTTTTTGAACCTACATAAAATTGACATCCTTCAATTGTTTACTATGAGAAATCGGTTGTCAAAGTAAAAAAATATAGCTATTTAAATAAAAATAACTAAATATAAATATTTTTTTTACAAAAATTTAAATTGTGAAGTTATAAATATACTAATTTATTGTGAAATTTAACAAATTCGCAATAAAACGTTTTTTATGATAGTGATGATAATTACTATCAAATAGCTCACCAAAAATGATTTATTATTACCTTCTATAACATGGTTTAGATCAGTTTTATAAACCACATTAGGTCTGTATTACATTTTTTTGGACGCATACCAAAAGAGCATATTTTATTTTTTTTAAAGAGCACTCAATTTAACGTAAAAAGAGCACTATTATAATTTTTCCACAGACCAGAAGAACATTTTTTTGTCCTTTTGATAAACGGTATGGAAAACACTAATTGTAAATCTAAGTGAGCCAAACTGAAAAAATAATTTAAGTTAAGATATTAGGTTGACTTTACTATATTTTTAGTGGTATAACCATCTACTTGAAAATGTACTACATCATTTTTATAATAAATACAATGATTATTTAATCCACTAATAAGCACAAGTCTTGAAATGTAGACATAATGTCTTTATCTTTTATACATGTATTTGTTCAAGTTGTCTTTAGATAAAAAAAATTCTCAAAATACTATATCATTTTCTGTACGTATATAATATATGGATTTAAAAAAAATCCAAAGGGTGTAATACATGTAGTGTGCAACTCATTAACATTTTTCACTAAACAAAGACAATATAATACATTTTGTACATAAATTGAAACTTAATGATAAAATGCCTTATGGTCTGACAAAGACAAATGGTTTACTTTCATTTTATTGCAGGTAAAATTTTCTCTTTTAGCTCATATTTAAATATAGTTATCAAAACGACCTGTAAATTTTAACACATTTGTGTTAAAAATCACAACCATATGAAAACATGCTTTTACAGATAAAAAATAAAAATAAAAATATGCTCTTTTTGATTGTACCAATTTTTTTTATTGAATAACTATTTTAATGAAATATTAAGAATGATACATTTATAAAAATTATGTGAGAGACTTACACCTTTGTAAATTAGAAGCACAAATGTTGCATATGAATATAGTCTTGGAGGTGATAAGAGCTTTTCTCGTTTAACGAACCACAGCTGAACTGTGTTTATAATCATATTTATGAATGTATCTCTGGTGTCTCTCTAAATATTTTATTTATTTATGTTATTACATAGTAATAGTTATTATGTGACTTTAATAAACTTGTAGTTTATTACCTCAATAATATACAGAGAAAGATTAATTGACAGCTGTAAATCTTCGAGTTTACAACTTACTGCATGCTCAATTATTTTTAAAGCTAGTAGCATTAAGTCTTTGCCTGGAGAATTTTTGGTGTCTATAATAAATTACAAATTTTTAACAAACAAATCTTAGATTTATATATACAGACCGGGATTAAGGAAGGGAAAGGCCACGAACTTAATAGACCCTCTTGATTTTTATTAGCTTAGTTATGATTAGTAACAGGTTTTCTGGTCTTTTTTTTTTTTTTTTTGTTCCTTACTATTTTTGTGAAAGCGATATTATATTTTCGATAGGTAGGCCCATATAGGTCTTAATCCGGCCATGTATACGAGGTGTGTTCAAAAAGTAAGGTGACTTTTCAAATTTCGCGGGCTTCAAACATTGATGAATAAATAAATAGTTTTTCATAAAAATATCAAGTCACCTTACTTTTTGAACACACCTCGTATTATTAATAATCGTTAACAATAAGTCCAAACTTAAATTATAACTCAAATAAAAATCTAATAAATTCACTATTATTATTTTGATCATCTTAAATACTCTGTGATTAACAAGGACAAAACTAAAAAGGAGCAAGGAAAAACTTGTTCCTTTAACAATGTTATCTCATTCAGCCAAAATAAATGTTTTTGATATTTGAAATAAAATTTAAAATATCTTAATAGTTTATAACTAAAAAATACCATTAACAATAGTTTTTGCCATATTATTTATATCTTCAGGAAAATGAATGAGTTCTTTAATATTGAAACTGATAATCGGAGATTTAATATTTTGGATTTTATTTTTGTTAAAATCATTAGTGTCTGGACCGTTATAACTTTTAGATCTTCGCAAGCTGTAATCATTTTTTGCGTGCACCGATGAATACTTGCTGAAATCATCATTTTTTGTTTTTCGTTTAAAAGGTTCATTAAAATGAACTTTCTGTACCTAAATATAAATCAAATAATTAAGGTAACAAACAAATGTCATATTGTTATTTAAAATTACATAAAATATATTAGTACCATATAATTTTTCGTAAATTGATCATTTTTAGTTGGCTGTACATAAGATTTTTGTCCTTTACACTCGTAATTTTTTTTTTGGTTATTTGTCTTGTAATCATTGTTTACAAAAAATGTTCTAGATCTGGACAATACACTTTTTCCAATATTTTTGTTTGTATTTCTAAAAAAAGAAGTAATTATATCATAAAGCGTTTAATATAAAAAAAGAAAAAAAAGATAACTTATCAGATATTTTTTATTAGTATTTGTCAATTAAGTAGTGATGTAGAATGTGAATATTTTAAAAACAACATTTAATCTTAAATAAAAAATCTGGTAATATTTGTACTGAAATTTTTTAGAAGCATTAGTTATTTCATTTTTCATTTTTATGACTTCATAACGTTTTAAATTTCTATGGCTTTTTAAAGTATTATTTTTTGCACTTTTATAGCTTCCTCAAAGTTAATGTGCGTTTCTATGGCTTAATATATTTGTTTTTTTTTTTGCATTTCTATGGCTTCTTAATATATTTGTTTTTTTTTTTGCATTTCTATGGCTTCTTAATATATTTGTTTTTTTGCATTTCTATGGCTTAATGCATTTATTTTTTTGCATTTCTATGGCTTAATGTATTTGTTTTTTTACATTTCTATGGCTTCTTAATGTATTTGTTTTTACAATTTTATGGCTACTTAAATATTTGTTTGCACTTCATAAAAATGTGTGTATTATTTCATAAAGTTTATACATTTTTATGACATCTTATAGTTTTGGCTTCGATGCTAAGCTAAAACTAAGCTGATTTGTCCTTACATCATTTGTCCTCTCATTTGATATATTTTTTTTATAAATTTGACCCTTTACCTTAAAATGCTATAACTTTTTGAAAAATGTATGGATCAATACAATTTTTTTATGAGAAATAATATTTATATCCCTTTTTTATTTGACTTACTTTTTTTTTTTAAATCTGACCATTTCCCTTAATACAGGGGGGGGTTCAAATTTAAAAAATGCATATAGAGAGTAGAACTTTTTCAACTTAACTTTTGTAAGTGTTTCGGAAATACTGACAATATCTTAAATTAAAGCTAATGTAATATACTTTATTATGAAAAAAAAATTTTCATGGTAAAAACAGACATCAAACTTAATAAAAAAATACGATTTTTGTAAAAAAATTCTTTTTTATATTCTTAACTTTATAATGCTATAACTTTTTGAAAAATGTATGGACCATTATATTTTTTTTGAGATAATTACTAATTATATTTATATATTTATTTATTTATTTATTCATATATTACACTTCTAAATCATAAAACTTGTAATCAGAATATAAATAATGAAATAGGAGATCCTGTAGCTTTTGGAATAATCCATTATTTTTATAAATTAAACACTATTTACAGATTTGCATCGAAGTGTTTTTTATGATAGTGATTTTAATCACTGTCAGTTATCATCTATGCTAGATCCAACTATGCCACGACCCCACTGTGTCGCCACCCAACTGTGCTAGGTTTTTTAATTTCAGTCTCGACATCAATAATCTCCAAATACTAATTAAAAAAATCACTTAAAACTTAAAACATACTACAAAGTAAAAAAAAAATTATACTAGCAACTTTTCAATTTAATGTTAAAAAATTTAAAGTTTTCAGAATACGGAATAGAGATCTTAAAATATCAGTTAGTAGACTACAAAATAAATTAATAAAAAAAACATTTTCAAAAAATTACTATCATGCATTTGATATTTTCGGTAACTAAAACGAGTTCACGAGAATATTTAAAAACTAAAACTAGATTATTTCAACATTGTATAAATACAAAGTGTTTAATAAGTTTGCAACTACCAATATTTATACCATTAAATTCTATGGTATACAGAATATATTTTGGTAGCCTGAATATATTTGTATTTGTTAAAATATAATGAGCATCTAGACTTTGTTAAATATCTAATTATTAAGGAAAAAATTGTTTTTATTCTTACTAATTAAAAACATTTGTTATAAACTGAACAAAATCGTATAGTATACTGCAGACCACGAGCGAACGCAATTCGGAGGTCAACTGGTAAGATTTAATGCTTCTATCTTACCCAAAGGAATACTCAGTTATGTTCTCATGTGGTATAACATAGATTATTAGTAAAATTACTCACTCGTGTTTGGAGTTATTTATAATTGATTGTGGTGCTGTTCTAGAGCGTTCTAAAGTAAATTCCTTGGCGTGTACGTTAAGCTTACATCCATCAGGATTATCAGATATATTTTCAAAATGTTTGGCGCCTCTTATTCTCATTAGTCCATTGGCTACACATATATTATCATTGTTATTATTTATGTCAACTTTCCGCAAACCTATATCATGCAATTAAGGTATAAAAGGATCACAAGAAAGGATATCATAATGATTAATGAGATAGTCAAGAAAAACAGTAATTAATAGTTTGCAGCAAAAATTTGATTTCTAAGAAAGTTATCTTCTATATTTATATATAAATTAATATATGTTCGTTTATCCAGTATTTGTTCATTTTTAAGATGTATTGGCAACATTTTGTGCAGGGGTGTGCCTAGGGGGTGGTTTTGGGGGTTTAAACCACCTCCAAATTGACTTTGTAAATTTCTAACCTTATTTTTTTCATGAAGTAAAAACTATATATAATAGTACATTACAATCACGGTGAAATAAAATTTTGTTTTTATAAGATTAAGTCTTCAAATGTGTTTTTAATATTTGACAGTAGTATTAAAATATTATGGGTTTTTATGAATACACTTGAGATAGTTTATTTTATACCTACTTATTTTAATGATATAATTGTAAATTTAATACTAACATCAAAAAATTAAAACCACCCCCAAAACAAAATTCTAGGTATGACCCTGATTTTGTGATATTGTTATGCCCAAATTTTATTTCTTAATTTATTAGTTATCTATTGTCATTAGTAGAATATTCATAAACATATGTTAGAATTTAGGAAATATGCTAACGGTCATAAAACAGAGGCATATATTATATTGATCATCTTTTCTCTATTTCTTTATACCAATTCTATCTTTACACTCTCATTCTCTATTCTAAGTCTGTATTTGGTATACTTGCAATGTACTATTGTCTTTATTTTGTTAATTATTATATAATTTTTATAAGTACGCGATGACACGTGGTTTTTTAGATATTTATTTTATTATTATTGAATGGTGTAGAGAACTCTTTTAGATTGTATAAATATCATATTATAATGTTGTTAAAATCACTTGTCTAGGGCCTCTAAACCTATGTCCGGGCGCTCGTCGCATGTAATTGATGTTATTTTATACTTAGTTTTAATTTGAGTAATTATTTAAGTACTAACTAATAATCATTTAATATTTTTAAATAATTATCATTACATATATAACGTAATCAGACTGACTCTCTATCATTGTCACGTATTTTCTAAAGTGACTGTAAAACTATTCAAATACTGTAGGTCTACTTAACTGAGATTCGAACTTAAGCGAGGCCATTCCCACTTAACTATCCGACTGCCTGACTTAATTCCCATTTTCCGAGTCTCTTAAGTGACTGATAACACATTTTTTTGAAATTTTAGAAAATAAAAAGATTTTTAAAGAAAATTTAAGAACCGGGATAGCCTCAGATTTATAAATCACTGAAATATGGGTTGGACTAGGCTGTAAACTTTAAACTACTCTTAGAACAGAGTCTCGCATCAAAATTTTAACTCATGAAAAAAAATTTTATTAAATAGTGTACAATGGTCGAATAACGTTCGCCTAAGGGAATTTACAACTAAAAGTATTTCAATAGGAATAAATATTGATTTATATCTAAAAATAAAGATAAATTAGTCCATTACCAACATATTTATTATATTATGTTTTATTATAATAGCTTAATAAACAGAAGTTAAAGTGTGGGTGGACGAAGAGAAACGGAGTCTCCCTTCTTTTTTGTAGTACAATCTAGCGTCCTCCTTAAGTCGAATCCCAAAATGTCGAGGAGACTCATTAATTTTGAGCTCTGAAGAGTAGAAAGCGAACTAGGTAGGTACTAATCTATTCTTTTATTGAGATAATTTTTTTTACTAAGTAAGTGTATTTGCTTATTATGATCACTATCATTTGTAGCCTTCTAGGAAAGACAATTCGGTGTAGCTCGAGAACACTCCTCTTTTTTTAGGAACTATAATCTCCCTTGTAGTTTTTCCCAATTTAACCATTGATTATAAAAACATTATTAAAATATTATTGAAAAAAAGTTATTCAAAATCAATCCACATTTATAATATTAATAACTAAGTGAAATCCGGAAAAATTCATTTGATAAATTTTGAAGATGGTAGTCTTCAAAAGGGTTATAAAATATACGGCCATATTTTATGAAATTAATTTATAGGCCTGATATAATTGTAAGCTGTAATATCTATTGCGCAGCAATGTTCTTTCTGTAGTGCTATAATTAGTAAGCTGCGGGTTTGTGTGCAGATAGTAAGCTTATTACTTCACGATCATTTAAAAAATATCGGGTTCCTCTTCCAATGTATGTAGGCTCAGAGATCTTGTGTTTTACACATCCGGGGTTGTTGGTACTTCGGTATCATTATATAATACCGAAATGATCCATATACTTTATGTACAGTATTGGTTAGTGTTCTTACTTGGTGGCCGATATATTTCAATTGAAGGCTTTTTTACTCCCATATTTTGATTACTATTTTTGTTAAAGTGATCATCCTGAAAATTAAAAATAAATTATAAATAAATAGATTAAATGGAAATGTAATATACCGCATGAAGAGTATAGATATTATTAAATAGTACTAGAAAAGTCCTAATACAACTTTACCCAGAATCATGTTTGAAATTTAATTACCTAGAAAGAACATCATTTTTATGACTAAAAATTTCAGTTTACTGGATTCAAATATCTTATTTTCAAAAAAAAAAATGTTTATACAATTAAGATAAGCCTTAAAGTTTATGATTGGTTGGCTATCTTGAGATCCTATCTAAATACGCACCTTTAAACATTAAAAAACAAGCTTTTTATATGTCTCGATTTTACAAGACGAAATATTGGCTTCGATGCGAAGCTGAGAAGATATTAATTTTACTATGATGTGTTTAACCCTTTACTAGCCCACAGGGGAGGATTTAAAATGACAACTTTTTCACAAAAAATTAACTTTTTCAACTTAACATTTGAAAGTGTTCCGGAAATACTGACAATTTTATATATATCTTAAATTAAAGCTTATGTAATGTTCTTTATTATGGAAAAAAAAAATTCGGACTTTATTTGGTCTTCACGGTGAAAATAGCTACCGAATGCTATTATTGTGTGAAAATTCTCGATTTTATTTTTTACATTTTTAACTTTATAATGCTATAACTTATTGAAAAGTGTATGAATCAACACAATTTTTTTATAAGAAATAATATTTTTTAATAATCCCTTTTTCATTCGATATACTTTATCTTAATCAAGATATTAATAAGGAACTAGCAGATCATGTAGCTTTTGGAATAATCCACCAATTTTTTAAAATTAAACACTATCTAAAGATTTGCATCGAAGCGTTTTTTTTTTATAGTGATTTTAATCACTGTCAGATATCATTATACTTGATCTAACTATGCCACGTCACCATTATGCCGCGACCCCTCTGTACTGGCTTTTTTATTTATTATTGTTAAAATTATAATTTTAGAATATTCTAAATAGAAAGATTTCACCATTAGAAAAATTGTATGACAATCTCAGAGACGTATTTAAGATTTAGCCTTCCTAGGATAATATATTTAAATATATGTACTTCAAAAAATTAGAGTTTAATATATTTTAGTTAATATAAGGATTTTTTGTATCAAAAAAAAAAAAAAACAAATAAATAAATGGTTAGTCAGTGGTATACTGGAAAGTAAGCGGCCCAGGGGTACAAAAATTTACATCATTTCAAGAAAAAGAAGTGATTAACCAAAAAATTAAGGTTAAAAATAAATTGTACAAATCCTGAGAACAGATAATACTATAATGTGAACCGAAGAACTGAGAGCCAGTATTTTTAAAGAAGTTTCGATAACTTTTTTTGGTTATTTATCGAGGATAACATATTGTACAAGGTCCATGCCTAGAGCTGGCTCTAAAAACAAGGTAGGTGTTAGGGACACTAATGCAATACTCCAAAAATATGTTTCTTGAAATTTGTTGCTTCGGTCATTACCTCTTTGTCGCCATTTTTAAATACATCACTGGACATACAGTTATGTTTTTAAATTACAATAAACGAAACTCGCAATTTCGAACTTTATCGTTGTTTTAGATACATTGATCAAATCCTTTGTTACGCAAATATTTATCGATGAAAATAAAAATATAGATATTGCTTTAAAATATTTTACCAGAATAAAGATTAATTTATCTCATTGTATAATTCTAAGCTTCTATGTATTTGATACCATCAAAGGAAATGTAGAAACCAAAAGACCCTACCAATATATAAAGAATACTTAATTTAAAACCCTCAGATATATTTTCTTGTTGTGCTAATGAAATGGTTTTACAATTGACAAAACAATAAAATGACAAAATTTGGAGATATTTCACTGATAAAATCTTAAAAAAATTTGAGTAACAATAGAAGTTATACATAAAATTAAAAAATATTTATCATAGAAGTAAAAAAAAGTGAATATGCATTTGTAAAATGTTGATTAAATAGTGTTCTTTGAAAATTGATAACATAATTGGCAATTTAACAACTATTCAGATTATATATGTAGTTTTTCAACCATTTATAATATTTTAAGACACATATAAGACAAATATGTGTAATACATTATTATAGTTACTATTCAACACAATGTAGACAGGGCTCTATTTGAAATTTTGGGCTGGAGTGGCTACATGCATTTTAGGATCCCCAATTTTTTCAGAATCTCCGTTTAATTAATATTTATGAGCAAATAAAAATGGTCAAATTTTTTTTCCATCAAAAGTCAACTTTTTTATTTCAAAGTTTTTGTTAAATTTATGATCATAATCTTAAGATAAAAATTAAGAATATAAAATATTATATAATACAAAACTACTAATATTAGAATAACAAATTTTTAAGATCGACCGTAGACTTATAAATATTTTCAACATATTTATAAGTTTCGCTCTTTAATATTGAGATTCGCCCCAAGAATTTTTTGGTGGTTATTGCCTCTTCGAACCATTCCCTAAATACGAATGTAACTTATTGTTAATCAAATTAATTAATGATTTTATGTAAAATGACTTATTTTATGTTATGTTTTAGAACTACTACGAATAAATTTACTTTTAATTACTTGGTTATAAAATTATTTGCTTTTTAATAAACGTTCTGACAAAGCGTACGAATAAAGTTCTGTACTAAGTCACCATTATTTCATACAGCTACATCCTATTTATCAATTATAAGGTACCTGAATATTTTGTTTTTCGATCGGACTTTTTTGATTTGAGACAAAAAAACTTCTTTGGCGGTTAAGTTCATTTTCCAATTGTTTTCTTGTCTTTCCATTTGTTGAATTACCACGTTTGAATTTACGGCTGTTGCTACAGTTTACATCCATTTTTTTTTTCAAACACTTCGTGGAGAGCCAACAAAAAAACCGTTTAATTCATTTCTTTCAGAAGTAAGCTGTTGTAAAAAACGGTTTCTATAATTGCAATTTTTTCAGCGGAGTTTTGATGATACTGATTCCTGGAAAGACAGTGGAGCCTCCCGGAAACACTGTGTAGCTACTTGCCGAAAAGCGAAGGCAGCAACTGATCTACTCATTGTAATTATAATAATAACAACGAGTAATATCAGAATATACATCGTTTTGTACAGTGTAGTAGTGTTATTATGAGGACGACTAGCGTCGTATGTGTACGCGAGAAGAGCTAAAAATAACATTACCACAACATACAACTATTCGTAGTGTGAATAGTTGAAGCAAATAAGCTTCAGTGATCCAATCAGTTATTTTCAAATATTGATCAAGAGCGATTAATTTTTTTGTGTATTAATCAATTCTATAAATATTATCACACTTTTGAAAAAGTTTTGCATTATATAATTTGCAGTTGTAGCTATTGAAAGTTGGAATAATTACATTAATTTGATATATACGCGTAATTTAAAGCCGTATTTATAATTTTATCACAAAAGGCCAGTGATTACTTGGCTGTGTTACTGACAATTTTTTATCTTTTTTTAGTCAATAACCAGAAAAGGACTATGGTTTGGAATTTTTTTACTGCATAATCTTTTTAAACGATTAAGTTTTCAGTTAAAAAGTTACATGATATATGATAAAAATATAATGCATTCTTCTTATACTTAAGAAAAATCCTTAAAGATAGGGAGGACAATTGTTGCACTCCACAAAGCAATCCATTTAATTAGATCCTAATAGTTTGATAAAATAATCAGGAGAATTTAACTCTACATAAAAAACACGCTATTCAGACAATGAAATTGTTTAACTAATTCTGATGGAGGTTTCAAAACAAATTCATACACAGAAAACACCCTAAATACCTACTCCTTCTTACCGTTAATGTCATAATTAGAATTTAATGAAGACATTTTTTTCTTTTAAGATCCCTCACTTACAAAATAAATTACTAAACAAAATTGCTATAAGGAGCAGACCTTTGTCAGAAAGTAGTGTAGTAGAGAAATTCACTCCTATACTAACCCTGATACTACAATTTTTTGTCAATGTGACAGTAGTGCCGCATCTCAAGGATCCGTTTGGAATATACTGCTTTTATCGAATACAATTTAAAATTATAAAAGGTACTCACAATGCTGTCACGATAAAATAGTGTTAAATACCAATAAGTACTATATTAAACATTTTACATTAAGGACATTAGGTACACAACTGTACCTAATGAAAATCTGTATTTTGAAAAAAGGTTAAATAAAAAATATTCCCATGAGAATTGAAAAATATAACTTATCACTATAAATAATGGAGCAGTAGAAAGTAGTGAAATATGAATATGCAGCAAATATATTGGTAAGGTGGATATGAATTTCGTTATATTGGTAAGCGAAAATTGTTATCAGTTGTTATCAAGTTCTAAGATAATCAAAAAATTATACCACAAGTTATTTTGTGTTTATACATTTAAAATCGTGGTTAAAAGCTATCAGTTTTATAAATTTATCTATTTACAAACCTTAGTAATATACAATAGTATACAATTACATGTATAGTGTATATACAGATAATTTCTTAATAAATAACTTTGTGTCTATGTGATTTCTTATTCAAGATATTTTTGGATTCATCATTAAATTGATTCTTTTACATACAACATGCCAAGTTGGAATCAAATTCAAAGTCAATTGCGGAATCCTCAAAATCCCGTTGTTTTTTTTGATATTACTGTGGGAAGAACTGTTAGTATTATCTTATTTTAATTAAATAGAATATTTTATTCTTCCTTAAACTATTCATATTATCTAATGAACTTATAATTTTAAAGGAAATTGGTAGATTGATAATGGAACTTTATGCTGATATAGTTCCAAAAACTAGTGAGAACTTCCGACAATTTTGTACAGGTGAACATAAAAGAGATGGAATTCCATATGGTTATAAAGGATGTTGTTTTCATAGAATAATAAAAGATTTTATGATACAAGGAGGTGATTTTGTCAATGTAAGATTAAGCAAGATATTAAAATAATTTTTACTTTTAAAATTAATAAAACATTTTTAATAAAATATATATATTAGGGTGATGGCACAGGTGTAATGAGTATTCATGGAGCAGATACATTTGTTGATGAAAATTTTAAGCTTAATCATGATGCACCTGGTCTTTTATCAATGGTTAGATTTTTATTATTTATTTTTTTCTTTCATTAATATAGTAAAATTTAAAAATAGGCAAATAGTGGGAAAGATACTAATGGCTGCCAATTCTTTATCACCTGTGCAAATTGCAACTTTTTAGATGGAAAACATGTTGTATTTGGACGTGTAATTGACGGATTGTTGGTTATGAGAAAAATTGAGAATGTTCCAACAGGACCTAACAATAAACCAAAAATACCTATTGTGATATCACAATGTGGACAACTATGATAGATTATTTTTAATATTACTTCATTCAGTAAGAAAATCTTTTGTATAATCAATATGTAAAATATATATATATATATATATAATCATTATAAAAAATGTCATGAGAAAGCCTTTTTAAATATAAAACTACAGTATATGAAAGTCTGTAAAAATATGAATTTATAACATTTTAGAATATGTTTTTAAAAGTAAATGTAAGAAGAGACTTTGTAAAATTAAACTTAAATGAATTTAGTTTTTCTTATTTAAAACTTCCATCCATTTTTTTTATAAAGTCACTTATTCTTATATCCAATTCTTATTATTGTTGGAAATCAATAATTGTTTGTCGGTATATGCTTGTTTTTAATTGGGAATAATAATTGATCAAGCTATATATTTAGTATTAGAAAAGAACAAAAAAGATAAGTCAAGACTATCTTGAGAAATTATGATTTTACAACTACTCCATTCATTTCATCTACCCTAATTTACCTTACTAAAATAACAACATAAAATAGTATAAATTTCAATTTTCTCAAGTAATGTTTTTAATTGTTTCAATATAATAAAATAAATTTCTAGTTATACTATTTGTTCTAGACAAATTTAGTATAAATCTACAAATATTAAAACCAGAGGTGTAATTTTATGTTTTTTTCTACCCTAGAATTTTAACTAATCTACTTTAAGAAATGAAGTGGACACCATTCAACCTACGAGAGTGAGTCTTGGAATACTTTATTTTATTGGCATCTCAGATTTCAGGGAGTTAATTATATAAGTAGATTAGAGATTATAAATAAATCCAATTTAAAAATATATAAATGCTGTTCATGTTGCCTATGAACTAAACTAACCATCATTGAGAGGTTCTGGTACACATAAAAAAATCCACCATCCCCACATAAAAATTCTTGAAAAGCTGTTTATATTATGTCAGAAGATACACCATATAAAATGGAATAATCGATTATTTTAATACGATCTATGTAAGTAGTCAGGTTTTCGATGGAGACAAGTCTCTCTTTTACCGACTTACAATTTGAAATCAACACAGCCGTGGTAAATAATTCTTAATTAGGTCTCTATAGATAATATTTTATATAAATTATGAGAGAAATAAATGATGTATGGAATAAATTTACTAGTTATGTAAAGAATAATGCAAAGGAGTTTGTTGGTGAGTGTAGGAGTAGAATCCCAGGAAACAAAGAAACTTGGTGGTGAGGATAGCAGTTCAAAGTATGGCAAAAGAGCAAAATGAGAAAAGTATAAACGCTTGTGTAAAAAAAATTAAGTATGGCAAAGTTTAAAAGGTATGATAGGCTAAGGACAAGGAAGGCGAAAAAGAAGTCTATAGACTTGCAAAAGTAAAAAAAAAAGGTCTAAAGATTATTACTATGTAAGGTATATAAAAAATTTTGATAATAGGGTGCTACCGGGCGATGAAGATATGAAAAAAAGTTGGAAAGGGTATTTTGAAAAATCACTGAACGAGGAGCATCCAAGAAAGACATTAGAGTATATTTCATGGAACTAAGAAATGGTAGATTTAATTAGTGAGAAAGAGATATAGGAGGCTGTAGCATCAATGTGAAAGAATAAAGCAGTAGGACCAGATGAAGTGCCAGTAGAAGTATGTATAATAATTAGGAGGTATTAGTAAAAAGTGGTTGAAGGATCTTTTTAATAAAATCTTATTAGAAGAAAAATTCCAAAAGAATGGAGGAATAGTACTGTGGTCCTGATGTCTTAAAGCAAAAGATATATACAAGAGTGTGGAAATTATAGAGACATAAAGCTTATGAGATATCTGTATATAAAAACCAGTTATGATTTATGCCTGGTAAGTCAACAATGGATCCATTATTTTTTGCAAAGCAACTAATAGAAAAGTTTAGGGAAAGAAGAAAAAGCTTTATATAGTATTTATAGATTTGGAGAAAGCGTATGATAGAGTACCGAGAGAGGTTCTAAAGTGGGCACTAATGAGAAAAGGAGTCCCGAAAAGGTACATTAATATAACAGAGGATATGTATGATGGCACTTGTACCAGGGTAAAAAGCGTAGGAAGAGTATCGGAAGATTTTCGGGTAAGAGTACGAGTGTACCAAGGTTCTGCTTTAAGTCCTTACTAATTTTTTATAGTGATGGATGAAATTACTAGAGAAATACAAAGAAAGGTGCCATGGTGCATGTTGTTCGCTGACGATATAGCGTTAATAGGAGAAAATAAGGAAGAAACTAATTAAAAACTAGAGATGTAGAAATCCACTTTTGAAGGAAAAGGATTCAAAATAAATAGGAGTAAGAGTATATAGAGTACGAGTTTAACAAAGGAGAACACGAGGTAGGTGAAATGAGGAGATTAGTGACAATAAGCGAGGACGTGATAGAACAAGTGAAAAGTTATAAGTATTTAGAATTAGTTTTACAGGAGAACAGTGGTATTGACGAGGATGTAAGACACAGAAATAAGTGCGGGTGGTTGAATGGAGAGAGGCGTCTAGCGTTTTATGTGATAAGAGAATTATAATGAGCCTGAAAGGTAAGTTCTATAAGGCTGTAGTGCGATTAACTATGATGTATGTTTCATAGTGATGGACGATTGACAAGAAAGAATAGCAGAGAATGAGTGTAGTTCGTTCAGAGTGTTGAGCGGCTGACAAGAGAATGAGCTGTCTTACGATTTACCCAAAATGAATACACCTTGCTTACAATATTATTCCAACAAATATTTAATAATCCCATTTATACTATCTTAATAAAATTAAATTCCAAAACTTATCGAAAGTTATCCATTCTGTAAAAATGGTCATTGGGGAAAAAATTTTTATGTAAATGGCTTGTCGGGAATCTGGTCTATTATCTCCAAAGAGGGTAAGAGGTTGTAACGAAATTTAGAATAAGAAGTAAATACTTCTTTTTCCTCGACTTTATTCCAACTACTTGGATTCGGTCACCCTTGTCCTAAACTTCTAATTGATGATTTCCCACATCAACAGTCCTCATACCGCATTCAATAACATCTCTCTTTCTTTTTTGGTCTTCCTGTAATTCATCTTTCCTCAACATCCATTTCCATAACTGTTCTTACTGCTTCAGATTACTCTTTCCTTACAATATGACCAAACCATCCAAATATATTGTCTCTCATCTTATCCACGATTGACGGTACAATAAGAAGTAAAAACATTACCTCTTATTCTCACTTAGTTCAACTTGGTGTACATAAATAATTACACTAAGTTTCACAAACACATAAATTAAATCAAGAATAATATTTTTAACGTCTATTTAAATAATAATAAAGTTATAGTAAAAATTAAAAGTAATTCCATTCATTATACATGTTAATTGACATGTATATCAATGGAATACTTAAAATTTTGAACCTACATTATATAAACGCATGCGCAGTAATTTTTTTAATGAATATCAGTAGCGTTATCTATAATATGTAAGTTTAGGATTACCCCCAAGATAGAGTTTGATAACACAACACAGGAAGTGAGTCAGAATTACTGAGTAGTGATAGTAAATGGAAACTGATTTTGTAATTCGTTCTCAATTGTTAAATCTGGCGTACTATATCATATTATTTCCTGTTAAAATAAAACAATTAATGTAACACTTCATTAAAGTGTAAATTAAAATAATTACAATTAAAAATGAAACCTGGTCTGTATCATGAACAAAAGTGTTCTCAATTATTAAGCAAGGACGAAAATGATTCTGTGATACAATTATTAGGCCCTAAATGCCAAGTAAATAACAATGTTTTTATGAATGTTTAATTTATTTACACTTAAACTACAAAAACGTTCTTTTTCAGAGTTTGTCAATGGCAGTTGTGCAGCTTTTCAGTACAGATAGTCCTGAAAGTACTGACTGGCGTCAAAAGAATTTTGGTATTCTCTCTTTTGTAAGAGATCCTAATAGAAAATCTTATTATTTTCGATTGTATTGCCCTATTAGACATCAATTGTTATGGGAACATGAAATGTACAATGGACTGCAATATCAAATTTCAGCAAAGTTTTTTCATTGTTTTGAAGCAGAAGTATATTTTGATAAAAATATATATATATATTTATATATTCTTATATGAATAATTTAGTAATTGAAAAAATTGTTGTTTTAAAGGAATGTATAGTAGGGTTTAACTTTGCTAGTGAAGATGAAGCAACAAATTTTGAAGAAGCTGTAATAGGTTTACAAAAGAAAAGACGAGTAAAACGATTAGGTGAGGATATCACTATTATTTTTATAATTGTGCTAAAAATATTTTTTATTTATTTGCTTGAGTTCTTGGATATTAAAAATAGTTTTTTTTTATAAATGCTAAATTTTTTTAAGCAATTGACAAAAACTTTGTTTAATTTAAAATAAGTCCTTAAAATGTGATATATAATAAAAATCATTAAAAAATTTTTTTTACTTTTTTTATCATAAATAAGTACTATTGTTTAAATGCTTAATTGTTATATATAATTATAACAACTATATAAATACATTATTATAGTATTGTATTTTTTGTCAAATAATCTAATCAGATGGATATTTATAGAGCAAAGGAATAAAGCACACAATAACCAAAATAATATTCATCAACCTATTGCTACAAATAATGCTATGTACGGTCCACAAACACAAATAAATGGTAAAAAAATTTAAATAATATTTTGATAAGAATAAATTTAATTGTCTGTATGAATTTTAGGCAAAGTTCGAAAAAATAAAGCAAAGAATTCAAAGAATAAAAAATATACTAAAGATCAAATTGGAATGCCAGAGAATTTTAGGCATGTTCAGCATATTGGCTGGGATCCAGACACAGGTTTTGATTTAGGACAAATAAAAGATCCACAACTTAATACTTTTTTTGCTAAGGTTTGTTTTAAACAGTTTTCATTTTGTGTATCACATATTGTGGCCAACTAATAGTTTATATAACATTTTCAAGGCTGGAGTATCTGAAAGTCAGCTACGCAACCCTCAAACTCGAGAATTTATCTACAATTTTATTGATACACATGGTGGTATTGATGCCATAAAAGATGCAGTGCAAGATTCTCCGGTACCTCCTCCACTCCCTACAAGATTTCGTCAAGCACCCCCTCCACCCCCTCCACCATATAGTTTACCACTGACAAGGAGTCCAGCACCACCACCACCAAGACCTATTAATGTAACTAATCCACCAAGAAAAATGGGTATGTACTATTGTATTTTAAATAAAAAAAAAATTAGTGCTACTTTTATAATTTGAAATGTTCAGACTTAACTAGGGAGGTCATTGTTTTATATTCTTTAAATTATATTAATTATAGTTATTTGAAAATGTTGGTATTATAAATCATTTATGTACGATTTTATAAAAATTTGTTCTTATAATAAAGTAATGTATTATCAATATAATCTAACCATAAATTATTATTATAATAATTATGAATATTATTTTTAAAAATAATATAATAAAATGAAATAAAGAATATATATAAAATGAAATTGAACACTTTATTTCAAAAATAATATCAAAAAAAAAAATGTTGAGTTATTCATAAGTTCTTGGAATTCTTTAACCTAGAAATTTTATTGTAAGCCTAAATTTTTTTATGAATTTATTAATATTATTCAAAGTGCCCTAATCAAATTAATTAAATATTAATTATTAATTAAATAATTAAATCAAATCTTTAGTTTATTTAAATAATAATATTAGTTTATTTTTTAATTTTGTTAATTATAATACCTATTTATTGTTATATACATATTCATAGGTTAGGTTATTCTAATTAAAAGTGATATTTGATGTTTAATCAGTATTATTGAACTCGACTAAGTTTTTTAATGAATTCACTTATCTAAATCATTTAGATATTATTTATAACAAAATATTTTTGCAGAAAATATAGTCATTCCACCACCTCCACCACCATTAATAAATTCAGTACCACCACCTCCACCACCTCCACACTTTGATTTACCCAAAATGAATACATCAGAATCAAATATTAATAAACTAAATGATAGTACGCCTGATCCAAGATCTGCTCTTCTTGAAGCAATTAGGTCTGGAAAAACACTTAAGGTAAAACATATTATATTTATTTTACTAATTAATAATTGAATGTGATGAGAAAAGTTTTCCTAAAACAAAAGATAACATTATTTCCTATATAACAATTTATTTAGTTAACTAAAATCCTAGGATCATTATTTTGATTAAATTAATTTATTTTTTTCAATATTAACTACTTTAAATATTATGGTAGATAAAATACTCCTAAAATATTGTTAAGGTGGAATTAAAAAATTATAGAACATGTCTATAAGTGTGTGAAATGCATACCTATAAAAATATTCTAAATTAATATAAATCAATGTATTTTAATTTGTTTATAGTAATTTTTTTTATTTTTATTGTAATTATTAAAAAGTTGGCTGTTTATTAAATAATCATATGTATAAAGTGGGTAATGGACTTCCAATAAAAAATTATGAGTTGAATATAACTTAAAAAAATAAAAATAATATAATCATTTTCTCATTTATTTCATTATATCTTTAAATTGATAAAGTAAAAATTTTTAAGTTAATAATTTTTTTTTAGCCAATTGATACATCATCAAATAGTGGAAAAGCTTCAACAATTTCTAATCAACGAAGTGATTTACTGGACCAAATTAGGCAGGGAGTTGAATTAAAATCGGTAATTATTTTAAAAATTTTATTTGTATATTTTTATTGTATATATTTTTTTTAGGTTCAACCAATTCAAAAGAAGACTGTGAATAATTTGGAAGGCAATGGATTAGCTGGTGCGCTAGCAAGAGCATTAGCTGAACGTGCTAGAGTAATTCATAGTGACAGTAGTACAAGTGAATCAAGTGATGATGATGAAGATGATGAATGGGATGATTAGACAATTTATTAATCATGGATTATCAACTTTGTGAATTTAGTTGAATAGAATTATACATAAAAATATGTTTATTTTGTATAATTTGATAAGATTAGATAGGTCAACAATTTGTTTTGTTAAAAATAGGAAAATATATTATGTATTTATTATGTTGTTTTAAAAAAAAATAATTATAAGTATTTTAAAATATGTATATATATATATATATAATAATTAAAAACTCATCTGTGTTAACCAAAGTACTAAAAGGTATTTTATAATTATAGAATTATTAATCAATGCCAACATACTTGGAATATGTGATATAAGGTGTCTATTTTTAATTATTTTACAAAAATAATTTTAGTTTTATCTTATCACATATATAGTAATAAAAATGTATATTGTTTTAATAAATAGTACTTTTTGGTTAGACTTTCTATTTTTTTTTATTTTTAATATTTAACTAAATGATCTATATTTATTTATTTTGAATCTTAGATTTAAATAATATAATAAATTCTATTTTAAAATTTTTTATAACAATTAAAGATAATCCCAAACAAGAAATTGAATAATATTCTTCATATAATTTATTCTCTAATATACTAATATCCTATTGTATGGGAAATAATAGAATATGTGTAATTTACACATAAAAAAGATTAATTATGATTTCCAATAAATTATAAGTTTATACCACAATTAACCAGGAATATAATATTATAACTCATTTGAGTCATATTATGACTATTAATACAATTTACTTTGTGCGTTAAAACAATAATTTTACAATGGTAAAATATTAATGCTAAAGAAAAACTAATGATTTAATTAGAATCAGCATCAAAAAATTATTTTAATAAACATTTCATGAGACGAGTTGTGATGATACTTTCATTCCATTTAAGATATTCTTATAAATTGTTAATTATTTCTATTTTATCAGATTGTTATGTTTTAAATATTCAAATTGACGTTTTAAACTTAATCAACTATTAAATAAATTTGAATTGTTTAGTTTAATTGTTTAACTAATACTCCAATTTGGCAATATTAGAATGTTATTCTCTCACTCCTGTTTCACAGGGCTGATAAATCATGAAAGCTACTAAATAATTAATCCTGGACTACACAAGATACTAAAATTTAGGTTAGCTATATCTAATAAGATCGAAAAAACCCAGAATAATAAGGACAAGTGTTTTAGATGATAATTGGCAGTGATTACAACATCATTTAATAGTGATTTTACGATAAATGATGTTATGAATAAATTAAAAACAATAGAAAAATCCCAAGTTGTCTAATTCCAAAATATAAAACAAAAATTAACAATCTTTGAAATAAAATTAAATATTTTAATCGATTTTGTTGAAAGTATGCAATCTTTCATTAAGGATTGATAATAAATTAATGAGAAAAGAATTAGATGATTTTAAAGAAAATATATATGTACTAGAATATAATTATAGTTCATTAAATTCTATATCTCTATATATATCACTAGTGAAGCATAATTGAGACTTATTAAAAGTAAAAATATAGTTGTTTTCAATACTTTGGAATCGCCAAATGAAGCGTCTGAGACAACTTCAATGATATTTAAAGAATTAATGTATGATTTAGATTCAACTGTTAAAATTTTTGATGTCAAACATATTGAACGTAAACGAGTCGATAGTCAAGCTTAATCTCTACTTATAGAATTAAATAATATTAATGTGTTAATAATATTTAAAAACCCAGCACAGTGGGGATGTGACATACTTGGGTCAAGTAGAATGATATGTGGCAGTGATTAAAATCACTATCATAAAAAACGCTTCGATACAAATCTGTAGATAATGTTTAATAGTGGTGGTAATTTTCGTTTCTTTAGTGGAATCGCTTCTTTCGGTACAGTTACTTAAAAGTGACGATTCCAAAGTAATCTTTGGTACACCGGTACTTCTAAATTTTTGTAATTGAGTACCTTCATTACGATCGTTACCAAAACCAAACCAGTATTAATTGATCATATGAACAGTTGTATCTACACGGGACGTTAGTAGGTATAGTACCAATAATAAATCAATAAATACGTCTATGTTATTTATCATCAGGCAATATTTTAAAAGGCGCGAATGCTTTTCGAAAAACGTTTAAATAAGAATTTTTTTTTAGCAGTAACAATACAGAAATATTGATAGGCATAATATTAAATTTTAATGGAAAAAATAGATATATTACCACAGAATAAATAAATAACCGTATCTTTTAGACACGTACAGTATTTTAGCCAAGTTAATATGAGGTAAAGATTGGAATTATGGTTCACCTAAGTGATCCGATTGAATCGGATCAGTTCAACTAGAAGATTCGGTTCAAAGACCTGTTTGCGATCTCTAAGATATTTCAAGTCAATTGAATCGAATATTAAGTATAGTTATGGTTTTTTACGGTTTCTCGATTCGCAAATCGCATGTATGATTCGGAATTCGGATTAGGGGTGTATTGTATGAGTAAAGGACATATGATTTTTGTTTAAGGTTAACAATATATATTGGTTGAGTCATGATGATAGGACAAATTCAATAACTGTTGATGTTTTCAATATTTTTTTTTTTTTTTTATAATTATTGAGATTTTGGACTATGTTAAAAACATATTTATTATTTTTTTCCGATAAGAAAAAATATATATAAATTTTGAAATTTTTAAATGTTCAAAACAGCTTTAGTACTCTTTTTAAATAAAATTTTGATAGGTCGATAATAACTTTTGAGTTTTAATATATGAAGTGGGTATGTAACGCGGGTGGTTACAACTTGTACTGGTGTATAATTAAAACGTTTACTCCGACCAAAAAACAAACCCCCCCTCTGCGCACTTGTATTTATTCTATATGCATCTAGTCTACACATCAATAAAAAATATAAGATGTCCATTATATTATATCATTTTTTAAGAAATTTAATGCAGTTAATATTTTATTTGAGATCTCAACACTCAATACATGTAGTTTCTTAAAGAAAATGAACACATTTTGTATACATGTACTTGTAATTGTTGCACGTTTTATATGCAAATTTAATGCATTATTATTATAAATTATTGATTGTTCTAATAAAAGAAAAATATATTATTAAATCTAGATTTGATTAAATTTAAATAAACAAATTACTTTTATATGTATCTTAAATACTTTAATTTACTAAGACTATTATTATTTACTTTAATAAATAATTTATATCAATACAAATATTTATTATTAAATGTTAACTTCCTGGAAAGTTTAATATGTTAAGCTATAAGATTAAAAAAAGATAATTCAATATAAATTGAATGTAATTTAAAATCATAATACATTAAATAAAGTTAATGAAATAAGTGTCCCTCCTTTTGGTAGTTGTAGAGAAAAATTAGAATCCAGGGTTAATATTCTAGTCTGGACATGTTAATAATGATCATTCACAAGACATAACATGTTTTTATTAAAAAGTAAACAATTCATTTTACAGCACTTTTAGTCTATATTGTTACATTATGTTGTTGTTTGTCTCTGATGTCTTGTGTCTTGATATGTTCTCATAATTGAATAGTGTTCAACAATTTTAATTTTTAAGATTTGAATACTAAAAAAATTCAAATTTATAAGATAAATACAACAACTATAAATTTTTTTCTTTTTTCATTAGGATTCCAAAGTAATCTTATTATAAAGTAATAATATTTACTAAACAAAATTTGAATTTTGCTACAAATATTAGGTATTAGTAGTATAAGTAAACTATGTTGTCTTCTTCAAAAATTGATAGTATGGGATTAAATAAGAAATGTAGCAATGTATGGTACCATTATTAAATTATACTAAATAATATAGCAAAATGCAATATTTGTTCTGATAAAATAAGTTTTAGTGGAGGATACACAGGAAATTGTTAAGGCATTTGAAACAAAACATTCAACAGTTCCACTACAAGGAAATATTCAGGTTAAGTATTCATTTCATTAAATTTAATAAATAGTAACATAAAAGTACTTCTATATTAATATTTCTTTATCAAATAAGTTAACTTTTTCATTGTAGTTTTAAAATTTTGAATAATGAAAAATTAAATTCAAATAATAAAATGAACCAAGTGTTACTAACAGGCTTATTCTAAGGATTTTTGGGGTTCTGGGACAAATTAATTTAGGGGCCCCTCTGTTAATAGGTAATACTCAAGTAATCCTTATTATTTTGGAATCTAAGAAGGGTCTCCTTGAAATTTGTCTAGAATGTGACCTGTGGAAAAATGGTCCCATACCCCCCCTCAGTAAACAGACATGGTTACTTATAATGATTTTAAATTATAGGAAAATGTATCAAACTATGACATAATTGATGATTCACAACCTTCAATATCCACAAATCTAAATCCAAATGGACAACAATCATCTTCAGTAGCAACAACATATCCACCAATGTTTAGTCCACAAAACAAACGCCAAACTTTATTCAAAAGCCGATACCAATGAGCAAATCAAAGATAATTGATCAACAACTTGTGAAGATGATTTTTAAGGAGTATCATCTGTTTAGTATTGTAGAGGCTGTAGAATTTTGAAAGTTAATTAAAATGTTATGTCCATCTAACATTATTCCATCAACAAAAACAGTAACCCAAAGTTTGATGCCTCAAATGTTTGAGATAACCGTTGAAAGTGTGAAGGAAACATTAAAAAATGTAGCAGCAGCATGTTTGATCACAGATAGATGGACTTCAAGGAACAATCAAAGTTTTATATCAGTAACAGCACATTTTATTGATCCTTAAGACGAAACATTAATTTCATCTGTACTATTAGGCTGTAATGATTTTGATAAAAAACATGCAGGTAATAATTTGGTTTTTTTTTTAAGTAACATTGTTAATGAATGGAATTTATCAAATAAACTTACTGCTGTAATAACTGATAATGCTGCTAATATTAAAGCAGCAATTAGAAATTGTAATTGGAAATGGCTGTCTTGCTTTGCACATTCAAGAAACTTAACAGTCCAAACTAGTTTAAAATGCATAGAGCCTACAATAATAAAAGTAAAAAACATTGTACAATATTTTAAAAAAAGTTCGCATGTCTTGGCAAAATTAAATGATTTTCAAAAACAAATTGGTTTATTTAAAACTCAAACAAGACTGCCCAAAATGTTGGAATTGACATGATAAATCGAATAGTTGAAATCAAAGAACCAATTATTGCTACTCTAGCAGTTTTAGGTAGTTCAGAGTTAAACTGTTTATGTACAGAAAATTGGATTATATTGGAAAACGCCCGGGACATTTTGAAAATATTTTATGAAGTTACTACAGATATAAGTGCTGAAAAATATGTTATGTTATCAAAAGAAATAATTTTTATTAAAATATTATATAAATTTATTTTAAATTACATTAATATAAATACATTACCAAAAGAAATCAATTCAATGGCTATGATGATAAAGAGCGTGTTGTTTTCAAGATTTGGTGAAATTGAAGAGAACATGTTAGTTTCTCAAGCTACTTTATTGGATCCAAGGTTCAAAAAATTTGCGTTCTCCAATGAAAATAATTGTCATGCTGCAGTTAGTTTTTTAAAGGCCAACGCTCAAAGTATAATAATAGAACCAGAAGAGCCAATATCAAAACATACTGCTACTACATCTTCATCTACAATAAATTCAAGTTCAGCAATGTGGAAAGTTTGATGAAACTGTGGTAAATTTAATTGGAAGATCTAACTCATCAGCAGCAGGTATTATTGAAGTTTACAAATATTTGAATGAACCATTAATTATTCAAACTGAAAATCCTTTGGTTTTTGTGGGCTGAGCGCAAAAAAGTGTACCCAAAGATTGTATGAGCTTGTGAAGAGGAGACTGTATTATGGCAATATCAGTACCTTGTGAGAGAATATTTTCTAAAGCGGGCCAAGTCATTAGTGAAAAAAGAAGTAGACTCTCAACATCTAAAATCTCACAAATATTATTTCTTAATCACAATATGTAAAGAAAATATTTAATGTATTGCATTTGTATACATTAGTTGTCCAGTTGGAAAAAATGTCTTTAAATTTTGATTTTTCCCATGTAGTAATAAAATAATTTAAATAAGAAATATAACAATAATAATAACAAGAAACAAAATAAATCACAAAAAAAGTTTTTAGAACATTTACATTTTTATATTAAGCATTTATACATTATACATTTTAGACTTATAATTTGTATGTATAAAAATATATACAAGTTATAAATCTAACAAAATAAAACAAAACGTTAACATTATACATTGCATAATGTTTGATGATTATAGGTTATGATGTTATCATTGATATTTGATAAGCGATCGAATCGGTTTAGTGTGATCCATACGGGAAAAAATTAGGTATTTGGGGGATCCGGATCACTACGATTCGGCGATCTGGATCATTTCCTTCACTACTTTGACCCGTCCAATGCGATCCGTTCGTTCGGGAACGACTAATCTCTAATATGAGGTATAATCAATTATTAAAGTATAAGACTATTATGTTGTTAATCAATATGTTAAATAACATACTGTTTTTTTTTTTAATTATATAAGTATATTACAAAATTAAAAATATCTTCAAACAATATTTATTTTAAAAAATATTTTCAATCTCTTAATTTCTGAGTAACAAGTAGTATTTCATTTAAAATAAAAATTCAACAATATTTTACATAAACCCTGTAAAAAACATAAATATAATATGTAAAAACCATTAATATTAATTTAATACTCCGACCACAAGAAATAATTTTCTTTTGTTAAAATAATTTTACCACTAAAATGTTACCAAAATGTAGAAAAGAATATAATTGGCAAAACATTGCAGATTACCTACGTTAGTATAAATGTATGAAGTTATTTCAACGATAATTGTGTACCATTGGGGTAAATACTACATAGATATTTTATAATTAACGCCTGCGTGTATAACTATTATACAGTGTTGAGAAGGAACTGGTTCCAAAAGGAACGGATTCCTGGAACGAGTTCTTTTTGAAGGAACGATGCTAGGAACTGCTTCCTTTTAAAATAAAGGAACGAGGAAAATGAACAAATTCCATTTTTTAAGGAACGTGAACGGAAATTACAGTTCCTAAAATTTTTTATAAACATGTTTTAGTGTAGTTTTCTTCGTATCTAGACATTAAAATATTATGGTATTTTTAGTTGACTTTTGACAATGGAAGTCCCCTATATACCCAGCCGAGATCGTAGGCTGTTTAAATGAATCAATTGATTATAGATAGAGTTATTATCACATGTAGGTATACAGTAAATATTTAATATATGTGTACATATATTAAATAATGCACCGAATATTATCGTCGTTTCTTGTTAACTAATTTATGTTAAAGTTTTGGGTTTTCTGATTTATTATTTCTAACTTATATGTAGACAATAGACATTGGTCGCGTTGACACAAGTCGTTAGCATTTACTACCTGCTTATAAATATAATTTTCGAATACTTTTAGATAAGGAATACTACAAATTTGTTTTGTATTCGACTGCTGATGAAAATCATTGATGACCGTTATCATGATCTCATTGCCACAATTTTTTAAATAACTTATAAAAGGAACGAAGAGTGGAACGAGTTCTTATTTTGGAGGAACTGGATCTGGAACAAGTTCCTTCTTAATATAAAGAATTAGGATCTGGAACGAGTTCATATTTTAGAAAATGAACGGGGAACGGAACGAGTTCCATTTAAAAAGGAACTTTCCCAACATTGCTATTATAGCATCGTTTGAATGCTTAAAGAATGGGTTCCGAACTCCTGCAGTGGTTCCTTAAAACTTAACAACAAAATAGAAAATAATAATGAATAATCATAAGAGTCCATCTGAATTATCATCATGACCTTTAAGGGGGATTTTTAATGTTTTTTTACATCTACAACTGGGTATTTTATGTACGATGGGCGATTGAGAGTTATTATAATGTAATGACACATCTTCATCAAATCGTATAGTATGACGACGCATATTCACATCGGTTGAATGGTTATGTCTTTTAGTAGATTCTAGTAACTGTGATGTCGTCTCTGTGAATTTAAATATTATTTTTATATTTTTATTCTCGTAATAAAAAGAAAAAACATATTTACTAGATTTACTATCCTTTAGGTTTTTATTTCCTGAAATCCTAATAGGTATTTTTGAAACCTGTCGTGGTCTGTTTACTTGTCTAGACAATTTAGGTGAGACGTGTGATGATGAAGAGGCTGGCATTTCAGCAGCTTTAAAACAAATATGACCAGGAGCACCAATATCCAATGAAAATTTTTCATTATTTTTGGTGACACGAGGGGTACAACTTGCAATAATGTGCAGCGTTCGGAATAAAGTCGGTCTAGCTTATCTGTTATTACCTTAAATATTGCAGAGAACAGTCTCTTCGTTAAAGTGGCCATGTTCAACACACGGTTTTATCAGGTTTGAAATCGTTGTTAATGGTGATAGTTGAACGGTGTTTTCACCATCAGGTCGTCTCATTAAATGTGTCGGCCTATTTTCTTTTTTGTCATTCTGTGATCTCTTGGAGCTGGAACGCAGAGTCAGTCTAGTCTCTTTCTCACGCCTAGCCTAGTTACCCGTTGTAAGGCATTGTGCTTATTAATTTTTATATTTGAACAAGTCATAAAATTACTTACACGTGATTCAAAAAAGTCAACTAGATGTTTGACGTGCCCTGCGTGGATTTGTCAAATCCATGTCAGTAAGAGTTGTTAAAAGAATACTAAAAAAAATTGTTCGAAATCTTAATCACACAATGTATTGTATGTAATGTACAAAACTGTAATTATACAATAAATTACAGTAAGATACTATAATAATAATAATATACAAAAATTATTATTTTAAGCCAATATTTGATAGACATAAAAATTATATTATCGAGAGAAAATCACACATTAAATTTTAGCATTTGAAGTTTACTTAGAAGTAATAAATTAATAGTGATTTATTATTTTGAGTAAATATTTATAATATCTTTTTATCACTATGCTTTTACATAATAATTATGAATAATTTATAATTATTATAAAAATAAATATTTATTTTAGGCAGTTTTTAGGTTTTTATTTTATTCTATATTAACCATAAAATGTTGATAAAAGGCGTTAAGTTTCAATTTTTCAATTCTACCTACGTATTTTATTAAACGATAGTTATACTAACACAAATTATGTGGTCTTAAAAATATAAAAAAAGTCATGTGTACAGGTCTACCCAACGCTTATAGTGTTAACGGTGTAGGGACATCACCACTTAACTCTAGGTTGGACTCGTGTATGAGGGAGGAAAAATGGATAAATACAAAGTAAGAATAGGTACTTAGAATGTTGGAACATTAACTGGTAGAAGTAGAGAATTAGTAGAAGTATTTAAATGGAAAAAAGTTAACATTTGTTGTGTTCAGGAAACTAAGTGGAAAGGAGAGAAAATGAGGAAATGAAAAGTAAAGTAGAAGAAGTAGCTAGGAAAAGTGACAGGATTGTAGTCGTGAAATTGATATTCGAAGAAAGTTAATTTTTTGTGAAAAAGTTGTCATCTTAAATCCCCCTTGTGGACAGGTAAAGGGTCAGATTTATAAAAAAAATGTACCAAATGAAAGGTAGACATCATGCATCTACAAAAAAAAAATTATATTGATTTGGTTATTTATAAAAAAGTTATGACAGTTTTAAGTAAAAAAAATTGAAAAAATGTCGAAAATTAGCGATTTTTAAATATGTAATTTCTTTTAGAGATTTCCCCCATTTAAGGGGAACGATGGAAGTTTTTTCAATTTTTGAGGGTAATGTCTTTGACTAGATACAATTTGTGATCTTTTGACGTTTCGTCGAAAAAAATCGGTTTGGCGAGAGCTGAGATAAAATTACTTTCTCAGCTTCGCATGGAAGCTAAAAAATAGTAATTTTAACGAAATTTTGAGTTTTTATTATAAAAAAATTAATTTTTCTGTTAACAATAATTATAGTTGATGTATAACAAGATTAAAATCGTGTTATTTTGACGTAATGGTCATTTAAACTGGTCAAGTGAGAACTGAGCAAAATGAATGACAGATACAAAAAATACCCTATAGAAAAATATTTTAATATGAAGAAGACATTTTTTCTAACTAGGGGAGACTACAGTATTGGGGTCCTAAATAATTATTAAAGTTATTCAATATGAATTAGATAATAATTAGTGATGGGAAATATCGAATAGTAACTATCGAACTATTCGATAGTTGTCCACTATTCGAACTATTCGTTAGTCATTTAAAAACTATTCGAATAGTTTTTAAAACTAAAAATAAATAAAATGGTACTTTTTACTATTATTAATTGTATAATAATTTATTTTAAGTATTCGCTAATTATCTTCTTATTATAATTGAGTGTACTTAATAAAAATTTTAGATAGAACTAATCGAATATTTTTTAAAACCATTCGCTAGCCCATTTGAATATTTTTTAAAACTATTCGATAGTTTATTCGAATATTTTTAAACACTATTCGATAGTTTATGCTAAAAACACACTATTTGGTTGTATAAAAACATTTCGAATAGTTATTCGATAGTTTAAAATATTCGAAAATGCCCATCACTAATAATAATCAATTGAACTTTTTATTTCTACCACAAAAAAAAAAAAGAGGAAAAAATATTGTTCGACGTTCGTCTCCCGAGCGTTTTAAGCTGTAATATTGAATATATTACAGCTTTGTGTTGTATACGGAGCTAGTGTACATTAGAAGAAATTCTATCTAAAGAGACCAATTTAAGCTACTTCAAAAATTCAAAGCAGATTTTCTTAACCATGAGGAAGCAAAATATTGCATGTTTTTTAATTACGGTAGTCATTTTTACATAGAAGATAGGCCGTCGGGACAATTTTTTTTTTACCTTAGAGTACATATTATAGACTTTAATATAACATATGTTTAAAGGACGCAGTATTTTCGAACATTTTTAAAAAAGAAATTAAAAAATGTCGAAAGTTAGCAATTTATAAATTTGTAATTTTTTTGGAGATTTTCCCCATTTACGGGTAACAAGGGAAATTTTTTCAATTTTTGAGGGTAATGTCTTCGATTAGATACGATTTGTGATCTTTTGACGTATCGTTAAAAGAAATCGGTTCGGTGAGAGCTGAGAAAAAGTGGTAACAGACATATACAAAAAAACACATCATAGTAAAACCATTACTTTCTCAGCTTCGAATCAAAGCTGAAATAAAACAAAATTTCGCTTGTTAAGTAAAATGGAAGAATAACTAGTTTTACTATGATCATACTCGGATGCAACAAATTCGATTGAGACATTTCTGTGAAGAACATCATTGAAAGCATTCATTTGGAGATACAAATGTAATAATCAAATGTCAATGGTATTCTAATTATATGGCAAAAAACTAGTTATGGAGATATTAGATCATAAAGTTGTCTTCTTTATTCTAGAAATAATTAAACTAAAATTAGAAATATTAATAATTATTATAGAAATGTAAAAACTCAATTTACGGTTTTCATCAAAATGTAAGATCTTCGTACCAAAGTAAATATTTTAAAATGCAACATTAATTTAATTAATGATGATTTCGGGGCTAAATTGTCCCCGAAATCATAAAAATGCAAATCATTGCCTATATAGGGGTTTCTTTTACAATAAATGAATACAAAAAAAGTTAATTTTTTACACCAAAATAAAATTCTTTGATTAAATTCGGAAGCAGTTTACATGTAATGTTCAGTAAGTAAGAAAACGCGTTTCTATTGTTCTCATTGTTTGTAATAATTTTTTCGTTTCCTTACATACTGAACACTCTGTATAAATTATAAGGTGTCAGAATTTTTTTTTAACATATAATTTAACAAACTTAAATTTAACATACGTTTGAAGATCTGAGTTATTCCGATATATTTTTAAAAGTAAAAATATTGATTTTTCATACGAAAGTTGCTATTTTGAATTCCTTTCTGTGGGAAGGTAAATGGTGAGGTCTATATAAAAAAGTTACTTAATGAAAAGGAAAAACTTAAGGTATTTAAAAAACAATTTGTCACCCATTTTTTAAAAGTTGAAATTTAAAGATTAAAAATTATATTTTTTTGGGCGATTTATACTATTTAAGAGGAATGAGGAAAGTTTTTGTTAACTTTTGTATGTAATGACTTCAACTAAAATATGTGATATTTTACATACTGATGAAAAAAATTGGTCCAGTGAGACCTGAGAAAAATTAGTAACAGACAATAGAAAAAAATAAAAATAAACATATTATGGTTAAATTATCATATGTTTCATGCCAAAGTTAAATTTAAAGGTTAATAATTGTTTTTTACATAGATTTAATTCCTTTGAGTTATAACTTCCCAGTTTGTTTCTGCTTAAGACTCCTTTGATTAGTTATAGTTTTCAGGAAGAAATATGATATTAGTAGGTAAGATAAAAAAAGCTATATAGTTAATATCGATAAACTAAGTACTAAAAATATAAACAGTCAAAATTTACTAAATTTACTAATGACTATTAAAAGATAAAAACATACTCCATGTTTTAATGTCATGAAAAATTTGTTTAACATTTATCAAGCAATTCTTAATTTTATACCAGGATTTTCAAAACAATACAAGAAAAATAACAAATAAATTAAGTTTTTTATTTTTTATTATGGTACTTTTTTGCAAATGTTTCTCCAACCAAAAGAGGTAAAATAAGTGTTGCATCTCCATAAACCTAAAAATTTATATAAAAATGTGTTAGAAATTTTATACAATAACTGAAATGAAAAAAAAAAAAAAAAAAAAAATGGAACTTGTTGTATTGTTTAAATAAATTATGTATAAATAATTAGCTTTCAGCCAAGATTTTCCTTTTTTAATTTATGTCTATATGTACAAATGCAATTTTTACTGGATTTTATTTAATATTTTTAAGAGAACATTACTTTAACAGGTTTTGCTTCAGGTGTTATTTTTCCCCATGATACAGCTTCATCAGGTCTAGCTCCAGAGTCACTACCATCATATTCAGAAGCTGTGTTTAAATAAACTGCATAATCAGCACCGTTTCTCTATAATATATAAATAATTACTATATAAATTTTAGCCAATTAACATTTAAAACATTGAATAGGATATTTAATAAGAGTCTATGTAAAAAAAAGTGATTCATAATAATACTTTTATTATTATGAACCACTGTTGCAAGTTTTGTAGAAGATGTTGTTCAAAAGCCTATAGTTCAGTATCGTAAGCATTTGGTATACTGCAATTTGTACATATGTATGTACCAAATAATAGAGAATAGAATGCTTAGTTTTTTTTAAAAAGGTCCTATCAAAAGATATGCTTCTACTGTTGATTTAACTACAATTAGGTATTTTTATGTTGATTCCTTATAAATGTAGGAAATAAATAATAGAGCTGAGTACCAAATCTAGATCACAATATTAATCAAGAATGTAATATCGAACCAAATATACAAAAATCTTGTCTCATTTAAATTTTTTTATAAAAGAATACACGTTTTTTTTTAATTTTTGGATGAGCAAATTTTTATTACAAGTGCTAAGCCCTGTAGGCCCTTTTTATTTGGTACTTGATTTAAACTCACATTTATGTATGAATATAAATAAATGTACATCAAAACATATTTACTAATTACAGTTTTGATGGTAACAAATATGCATACCATTAAATTAGCATTACAAATGTGGTGTTTTATCACTCCGCCGCCTACAATAATTACTCCTGTATTTGCTGCTTTTACTGCCATTGTATTTAGAAGCCTTAAATCTTCGTTAATTAAAATATAATTAATAAACACACTTCATGAATTAGATTACTGAAATTTATGAATTCTTACCTTTGAGTATATCAACAATAAGACCTGGATTACGATATGAATGAAAATACATCATGTCACCTAAACTACCATCAGTTAAGGCTGGACAAAATATAGGTATTTTATTTCGAGCTGCCCAATAACATATGGAATCTTCATTGTTAATTTCTAAACCTAATCTTTCTACAATTTGAGAAGGAGTCCATGCTATTTTCTAAAAAAAAATTATTATTTTTAAACAGTAAACTAAAAAAAACACTTAATTCAATTAAAATTAAGATTTTATAAGACATATTTTGATGCATTATATGCTTTAAACTATCAAATATGTAGTCGGGATTATATTTAGAGATGCAAATAACAAAAATTTAACACTTATGACTTTTGGTATTATTTATATAAAGTACTATAATTTGTGTATGATTTCTTGCATAATTCTGTTAAAGTATTTTTATTTGTATATATAAACAAAACTTTCTTGCCTAAAAAAAACTCTCATAAATTTAATTCTTAAAAAAAAAAAATTAGTTGCAAATATAATTACTATTGAATATTATTGTAGAATAAAAGACAATAAGCAGTAAAAGCATTTATTGTTTCTAAAGAGAAAAAACAAAAATAATTTTTAGAAATATTGGTGTCCTACACTTAAAGTAACAAATACAACTAGAAAACTTTTTTACAAAGTAAATGACTTAATGGGCTCATAGCTAATTATAGTGAAATTTAAAAATAATATAATAAATAACAGCTATTACTATTGAAAAATATTTTCACTCACAATATTAAAATAAATTAATTATAATAACAGAATGAAACTTACTTGTTCTTCTAACATTTTATCTAATATAGGCATAACCCAATTTTCAAATTTACAATAGTTATTGTTTGGAACAAGTAAATTTCCAATTCTGTTAATACCCTTTTCTCGAAGATCACTGCCTTTTAGTTGAAAATCACCAATGAATGTTGGTGCTAAACATTTGATGATATCTTCTTCGACACCTCCAGCAGTTGTAACAATGCAATCAACCATTTTGTGTTGAACAACAAATCTTATTGAGTCTCTGTTACCACATGATACCATATTAGATGTATATCCAAGAAATATAGTACAATTAGAACGGCGTTTAATAAATTCATTTTGTTCATGAATATCTTTTTGAAATGGTTTTTCTCTTTCTTCTAACTAAAAAACAAGGGTTACTTACTATTCAATGAATTAAATGTAAAATAAAATTCATATTTCTAAAAATATGAATTTTTTATGTAATAAATTTTAAACTGATTTTAGTATTTAAAATGTTATTATTTAACAGTTAAAAGCATAAATTACTTGATCACCGTTCTAAATTCTAAGTGAAAATAATTATTTTATTTAATAATGACATTATTAAAGCTAATAATTAATGTCATTGTATTAATAGTTAATACAGGTGGGCTAGAAAACTTAATTGGTTATGTAATAGAAGTCTTAATTGAAAAGTAGCCAAAAAAGACCTTTATAACTTTTATTTTTTATATAAACCCATTTAAAAAATTCTCTGAATATCATAGTTGCGTTATATTATAAATTGTAAAGTAACAACTTAAAAATGTGTTATTTTTAAAAATGATAATATTGAATTAGATACCAATTGTTATAATAAATATAATGAAGTTTTCAAAAATGGCACTTTTTAAGAATTCTAATAATGAATTTGAAATATTTCTTTTAAAAATTGTCTGAAAATAATTTTTTGTAATTTCTTTCTTTTTTTAATTATTAAAATTAAGGTAAAAAACTCAAATTAACCCTAGAGTGTAAAACTCAATTAGACTGCTGTTCTTTATATAAACATTTTAATATTTAAAATTTTTATTTAAAATATTATATTTTTTCTTATAAGACCAAAATAAACTTACTATTTTATATATTTATTATTTTATTGAGGTTAGTGTAATGATATGGTACCAAGAGATATTTTAACAAGGATAATTGTTTAAGAAACAAATATGTAGGTATAACTTAATTCTAATCATTTGAGAGATGAAAACTTAATGTGTTTGAAAAGTTTTTTGAAAACATAATAAAAAAGTGCAAAACTTATATCATGAGTAAAATTAAACCTGATATTGTTGGCGTTGCATAGGTGGGCGTTACTATCTTAACAATAATTTGAATGTATAACGAAAATGAAATTATTAATTTAAGTAACTATTTTTTTTTTATTTTAAAAACAAACAAATTTAATAAAAATCAGTGACTACATCATACAAGCGAATTAAAGAAAATTATTGAAAAATAATAGCTAAATAGAACAAAAATCAAGCACAACAGTAGATAAATCAGTACATAAATCTAAAAAAAAAATGATTTTTAGGTTCACCTGAATTTAACAATGGATGAAATAAAAAATTTATTCTAAATAGTAATTATAAAATTTCCTGGTTGCATATTAATCTTAAGAATACCATTTTTTCTATTTACTGATGTCAATTTCAAACTTACAAATTGAGCGTTAAAAGTTATGGTAATAAATTCATTTTTTTTTTTTTATTATAAACTTTTACTTTAAAAGACAAAAAAAAGTAGGTTAAAAATTATTACTTTTAACATATAAAAAATCAATAATAATTTGAAAACAATTAATTATAAAAATTATATAAGATATAAGTAAAAGAATTAGTAATCTGGATATAATTAAGGAAATATAAGTTAATGTAGCTTTTGTAATTATCCACCAATTTCTTAGAATTAAACACTATCTACTGATTTGCATCGAAGCGTTTCTTATGATAGTGATTTTAATCACTGTCAGATTAAATCTATACTGGACCCAACTATGCCACGTCCCCACTGTGCCACAATCTCACTGTGCTGGGTTTTTTTTTTATATATTCTTAATCAGAATGAAAAACTAAATTGATTATAAAAGTTTCGAAAAATCTGATGGGGTGGTAAAATACATTAATGCTTTAAATATTAAACAAGATTCGAACCATTTTATTTATTTGCTCCACAGCAAGACCAAAATTTGTAGCTTGAAATCCAGAGTAACGATAAGTAGATAAAAGACTTTCATAATTTATTCCATTATTCCAATCATAACCTAGTAAAAAATGATAATTGATATCAAATTTCTAAAGTTAGTGTATTTTTTTAAATATTTGTACAAGTATTTAATACCTCGAACAACAGGGGCTTCAAGTTTAGTACTTTTTTTGAAGACTGCATCCGAGGCTTTTTCTGGTTCATTTTCATCAATACTGTTTGAAGTATTAGCTATGGATAAGTTACTCATTTTTACTGCTATAATTAACTGATTATTTAAAATAAATTTTCAGATAATGTCAATTTAAAAATAATAATTGTACTCACAAAAAAAAATTAACTCAAAGTGGACGCATTAATCGCGCCATACGTTTTTAAACATAAGATAACCAATAATTTGATAAGACTGTTATAACACGTGGGGTGTTTTTTTAGTATACATGAGTATCTTGTGAAAATTTACTCCTTCATTAAAATTTCATATAAGTTGCTTGCGTAATATTCATTAAAATATATAAAATAATTATTTAACATTGATTAAATAGATTTTCTTACTGAACAGTATAGGTCAATTACAATATTTTTTTTAAATACCACAAAAGTTAATGCCGATCTTACTATTTAATTGTAAAGGTTTTTATTATAATTAATACAACTAACTATTTATTTCATACAATACATATAATAAATATATTATTCTATTTTTCTAGAATGCCAATCACTAGTTTTTTAAACGATAACAATTTAAATATAAATTTTAGTATTAATAATAGTATAAATAATTAAAGACATGAGTATTATAAAATTAAAAATCTAACTATCGTTACATTTTAACATTACAAACAATATTTAAGTTATAATTATTTATTACATATGGATGTTTAATATAACATTTTTCATATTATAACTTTTTGGAATTTTTTATAATTCGTGAAAATTGATCAGTTTTACGACTATTATACTGATATAATTTTCATTTGCGCAAGAAGTTTTGTTATTAATTTAATTAAATATTTTTGTTTTATCACTTACATATATATAAAATTAAAAATATTTTGTTTTTTTTTTCTTTTGAAAACTAGCAAAAAGTGACTAGTACCTTTTTTCATAAAACATATTTATATATGACTCTATAATATATATATATATAATATAATAAGACCAGGCAAGGATTAGTAAATAACTTTGATATAGCATAAAATAGGCTTAAGTAGCCACTTCCTAATGTATATTTTAAACTTTAAATAATTCGAATAAATTGGAGATCTTTACTTTTAAAAAAAGTCAACTAATTATCCAATTATGTTTTCCAGTTAATACAAATAATTTATAATTAAATTTGGATAAAGCCAACTTATGCCAATTTTACATTAGGTGTAATTATTTAACGTGAAAATAAAATAATTATTTTATACATAATTATAATTATAATACTACAATTATTGTAGTATTATGTATACATGTCTAATGAAGAATGTAAAACTGTTACAATGACGAACCTTTATTTGTATTAATATAATGACCCCATCATTATTTATTGGTACTAAGAATTAAATTTTTATCTAAATTCGTATAAATCAATTAATTACTCTGTCAGATAAGGCCACTACTCTTACATTTACTCTATAAGAATAATAAACAAGTTAAAATAATTGAAAAAATCAAAATCAATCATTTGAATTTGATACTGTTATCACGTAACAGCTGATATCAGTTACTAACTGTCACCAAGATGTTCAATTTTGATGTTTCAAAAACTATTGAACAAACATTTCTTAAGGGACCTGTAAACATATTATTCAATGATCTAAAATTTTAATTTTTTTCTAGTTGAACTGAATTGTTACTTGATTGTTATGTTCAATTTAAAATAATTATTCTACGATATAAAATTAATTTTCTACAATTTCTCTATCAAAATTCTGATATTTTGAAAAGAAAAAAAAATTAATTTGAGGTAAGTACAATTTAATAGAATTGTCAGTATTTATTTATTATAATCAAAAAATGTATTTGAATAATATTTGAGTATTAAAATTAAGTAAAAACTTTTTTTTTTATTAAAATTTTAAATAAAACAATACAATGTTTTCTTGTCAGAAAATTAAAGTATCATATAATGTCAAAATTCAAGTTTTGCTTCTGTGAATAAATTAAATATTAATTTTATTAATAACATATAAACAATTTATATCTAATGTGTAATAAAAAATATACATTTGTATGTATATCATTTATTGAAATTTAAGCCAATACATTTTTGGGGATTTATAAAAAAAATAACATTCTGATATTAATTTTGTTAAGGTAATAATTTAATTTCAGATACTTAAATACTCAAATCAAATGTTGTGACCGGGTTGGTATGTTACATAAAATGAAGAGATAATGCATTTGAATTTTAGTTGCTATTTATTATATTTAAATATATATATACACTTATAATTGACTTTACGACTTTAACGAGTTAATACTTATATAATATAAAAGATTCTGTGAGCAAATTAACAAAAGATTCAGTGGAGAGTCGTCCAGGTTAGACCCTATAAACTATATGAATTTTGAACAAGTAGCTGACTACTACTGATGCATCGCCTCAGGCAGCGGCCATAGGCCCAATACATTGAAAAGGGCTGAGCAAGCATTGAATGTTCCAGAACAACTAGATGCTTGCCTGGTTAATACTTCATATGCAAGACAATAGGGCTTCTGTTCCCATGATTAATATATATTATTAAATTACATACTTACAATTTGGCAACAAAAAGCCAGTTCAAAAAATAGGTTATAAAACTTGGACTTAACATTTTATCACCAAAAATTTGTACATTTTAATCACTCAGTATAGAACTACTCAAAGTCAAAATCAATCAATATAAATTAATTTAATAAAAGTAATATTTATTTTTATATAAAATCTTATTGTTACTGTAGAATAAGACTTAGTATATATCTCCCTAATATTGCATAAATTTTTATTTTGCTAGTTTTGAAAGTTGAAATATCTATGTGTAATTTTAAAATTTTTCTCTTTGAAAGTATTCTAATGTCTAAGTGTATATCATATTTTTCAGAAATAATGGGCCGTTTAGCAACTGTAGCAGTATCCTGCTTAAATCAGTGGGCCTTAGATTTTGAAAGTAATAAACAACGTATATTAGAAAGCATTGAAATTGCTAAACAATCAGGTGCAACTTATCGTAGTGGACCTGAACTTGAAATATGCGGTTACAGTTGTGAGGATCATTTTTTAGAAAGTGATACACTTTTACACTCATGGCAAGTTTTAGTTGAAATAATGATGCACCAATCTTCTGCAGATATAATGGTTTGCTATTAAAGATAATTTTATAGTTATGTTATAACAATCTTTTGTATTGAATTTAAGGTTGATGTTGGTATGCCCATAATGCATAAAAATTCAACTTATAATTGTAGAGTTGTCTTTTTGAACAAAAAAATTTTATTAATCAGACCTAAATTATTAATGTGTGATACTGGAAACTATAGAGAATCACGTTGGTTCACTCCTTGGAGAAAAATACGTACGGTTGAAGATTTTTTTTTACCACGAATTGTACAGAAATATACAGGTCAAACCACTGTACCTTTTGGTGATGCTGTTATTGCCACAGCAGATACTTGTATTGGATATGAAATATGTGAAGAACTGTGGAGTCCTAATAGTACGCATATACCAATGTGTTTAGATGGTGTTGAAATAATAGTGAATAGTTCTGGATCTTACATGGAATTACGTAAATCCTCAATTGTGTTAGATTTAATTAAATCTGCAACATTCAAAAATGGTGGTTGTTATTTATACAGTAACTTAAGAGGTTGTGATGGTCAGAGAGTTTGTTTTAATGGTTGTTCTAATATTGCATTAAATGGTGCATTAATCAAAGTAGGAACACAATTCAGCTTGAAAGAAGTAGAAGTTACATATGCTACTATTGACTTAGAAGATATACGAAGCTATAGAAATGCCATTAAGTCAAGATCTAGTTTAAGTGCTAAATCTTACCAAAGAATAATGGTTTCTGATTTTAGTTTATCAAAAGATACTGAAAGAGTACCAGATCCTATTTTATCAAATTTCAAATGTTTATTACCTGAGGAAGAGATTTCATTAGGTCCTGCATGTTGGTTATGGGATTATTTAAGGCGCTCTAAACAAGGTGGCTACTTTTTACCTTTAAGTGGTGGTGTAGATTCATCAAGTACAGCGTGTATTGTTTATTCGATGTGCAATTTAATTGTTGAAGCTTGTCATGATGGTGATAATCAAGTATTAAATGAAGTAAGAACTATTATTGGTCAAAAAACTTACTTTCCTTCTAGTGCTAAAAATCTCTGTAAGGAGCTCCTTACAACATGTTATTTTGCTACTGAAAATTCATCGTCTGAGACTAAAAAACGAGCCATAGATTTATCGAGTCAAATATCCAGCTATCATTTAAGTGTCTGTATTGATAAAGCAGTTTCTGCAGTAATATCCATTTTTGTAGGATTAACAAACAAAACTCCACAGTTTGCTGTAAATGGAGGTTCTCCGCGAGAATCATTAGCATTACAGAATGTACAAGCCAGACTTCGAATGGTTTTAACATATTTATTTGCTCAACTCATGCTGTGGGTACGAGGAAGACAAGGAGGATTATTAGTATTGGGTTCAAGTAATGTTGATGAAGCTCTTAGAGGCTACATGACAAAATATGATTGTTCAAGTGCTGATGTTAATCCAATTGGTGGTATTTCTAAATCTGACTTAAAAATGTACCTTAAATATTTTAGAAATAAACATTCTCTAGTAGCCCTTGATGATATAATTAATGCTATTCCAACAGCTGAACTTGAACCACTAATGTCTGGACAAATATCACAGTCTGATGAAGAAGATATGGGTATGACATATAATGAATTATCTATTTATGGAAAACTTCGTAAACAAAATTATTGTGGTCCCTACAGTATGTTTTGTAAATTATTATTATTGTGGGGGGATCAATTTACACCTGAACAAATAGCTGAAAAAGTAAAGCATTTTTTTAGATGTTATGCGATTAATAGACACAAAATGACTGTTTTGACTCCTAGTTATCACGCTGAATCATATAGTCCTGATGATAATCGTTTTGATCACCGACCATTTCTCTATAACGTTATGTGGCCATGGCAATTTCGATGTATTGACCAAAAAGTTGAAGAATATTACAATAAAAAAAAGGATGTTTCTAGATACCTAGGATTAGACTCTAAGTATGCTGTTAATGTTTGAGCAAAATTATAGTGGAAAAAACTTATGCTTTTAATGGCTTAATTTAATACTAAAAGTATATTTTTTATTTATTGTAGATGGCATATTGACAATTTTTATACATTTTAAAATTAATAAATTTATAATACTTTTAAATATTGCATACACAAAAAATATTGATATTATGATACAATATCATGTTGACAATTTGATAGAAATATCAAATTTTAATGGTTCAATATATTGTAATATAAATTTAACATGATTATTTGGAAATTCTTTTATTTTTGGTATTTTAGCCAGATATTATACTATTCATATACAAAAATTTAATTTGTGTAAATGAATTTATACTTTTAAAAAGAAGTTTAAGCTTCTTTAGAGCTTAAATATTAAAAAAAGTTTTGTTTTTAATAATAATATTATAAAAACAATATCAATATATCACCAAAATCCAAAAAAATGTGTTTCATTTTATATATCAGAATTAATCTGCTAATAAAATAAAATGATCAATTTTATCTCCTTCTATTTCCCGTTAATGTACTACAGAGGTTGGTACACTTTCACATATAAGGGAATCAAAGATAATTCTTAGCTAGACCAATGATGAACGAGACAGGTATTATGGCCTGTTTGCACCAGAAACTAGAGACCACCATTCAGAACTATCAAAATCTCGTTGGTACTCATTATTATTAATCGGTTGATAATAAATAGAAAAAACAATTGTACTATTGTAACATGACAACAATTTTAAAACTTTAAAATTTTGTAGTTTAAAATACCGTTTTTTCTTAGATACTTATATTATTATTATATAAAATGTACAAATTCACATTTTCTTATTTATTAGGGAAGACCAATAACTTAATGACATACAGTGCGATTATTTTTACTTTATACATTCTTCTTAAAATTATAATAATGTAAAAAAATTATTTTTATTATTTTTGAACGTCATGTATTTATTAATTTATAAGTTATTAATTACTTTTTTTAATACATCCCATTATACTTTACGAGGATGTCAACTTTATTTTTTTAATGTTAACAGATAGATGTTAAAAAAATTAAGTCAATTTTTAACTGACTTATTAAATAGATAATGATCTAATTAACAATATGGTTGGTCGATAACATTTTTTGGACTACTGCTTCGGAAGATATTCATAATTTTGCACCTTGGGGAGAGGAAGAGTGTGGTCGAAAAATAACAAATGATAACTGTAACAACATCCTTGCTTCACTTCCAGTCTATATTTTAAAGTGCTAATCATTTCCAAAGTATTAGATTGAAAGTTGTTACGTTCAGTAATTTTCTTAATTAAATTATTTTTAGCTGAGAAGGAATTAATTTTACTATGATGTATTTATGTTTTTTTTTGTGTGTGTCTGTCACTACTTTTTCTCAGCTACCACTGGACAAATTTTTCACAATGATATGTCAAAAATCACAAATCGTATCTAGTCGAAGACATTACTCTTTTTTTTTTTTTACACGTCCGGCATTATTGTGGGCCATGTGGCATTACTTCAGGGCGGCCCACGCCGTCTTAATAATTCACACCACCACGTGGCGAATCAGCCCGAAATTAATCTAAAGCTAATTCGCAACGTGGTGTGGCCCCCTCCCGTTAACTGGATCCCACAGTGGGAACCGTTAGGGAGGGTTGGCAAAATAACTCACAAACAAAAACACAAAAGCAAGAACAAGAACCTAAGGTACCGGCCTAAACCAGCGCCTCAGGCTCTCCTGTGCCGAGCGGCGTGGCTGCTTCTGTCTTAGGCGGTCCGCTTCCTCTTTCTTTAACAAGACGGATTCGGCGAACGCCTGGACGAGCCTCCACGCCTCCCGACTCCTCAACATCAGGACCACCATGAACCCGACTTGGAACGTGGACCCTAGTCGAGATTCCAAAGAGTTCCGCTCCTGGGTCCACGCCTCATACCAGAAGAGGGTGTGCAGAGCACTATCAGTCTCTCCGAAGACATTACCCTCAAAAATTGAAAAAAATTCCCTCGTTCCCCGTAAATGGGGGAAATCTCTAAAAAAAATTACATATATAAAAATCGCTAATTTTCGACATTTTTTCAGTTTTTTTTACTTAAAAATGTCATAACTTTTTTTAATAACCAAATCGATATAATTTTTTTTTTGTAGATACATGATGCATGGTTCGGACTTTATTTTGTTTTCACAGTGAAAATAGTTACCAAATGCTATTTTTGTGTGAAAATTCTCGATTTTATATTTTACATTTTTAAATTTATAATGCTTATAATTAACTTACTGAAAAGTGTATGAATTAATATAATTTTTTTATGAGAGAAAAATATCTAAGGTTTCAATATAAGAAAAAATTATGTTGATTTCTTAATTTTTGAAAAAGTTATGGAAGTTTTAAGAAAAAAATGACAAAATTTACTGATTTTTATAATGGTAATTTTTTGGGTGATTTTCACCATTTATGGGGAACGAAGGAAATTTTTTCAATTTTTAAGGGTAACGTCTTCAACTAGATATGATTTGTGATCTTTTGACGGTATCGTTGAAAGAAGTCGATTCAGTGAGAGCTGAGAAAAAGTGGCAACAGACACAAAAAAAAAAAAACATAGTAATCGAAGTTAAATTAATTATTAACAACTGATAAATTAAGAAATTTATGAAACTAAATAATAAAAAAAATAATTTTCTTAATATAAGTATTATTTTAAGAAAATTCGAGTGGCTAGTATTAAATAATCACTGTGTTATCGTTTACGTTTTAAAATCCATGTAAAAAATTCAATAATTTTAAATAATCATTCATTTGATTAAAATGGATTTATCCTCTTTCTACTATTATAAATTCAATATTAATAAGAACTGAGTATGTGCATTAACAAACATACAATATTCATTATTATTAATTGTTGTTTTTTAAAACCAACATTTAATTAATAAGTCTATTCATTTGACTAATTGATTTGTAAGAACAAGTCTTTCTTGACTATACACAAGTATTATAAATTGGGTACAATAATTTTTAGCGCCGACTCTATTTATATATTTAAAAAATAATAAAATATAAAAGGCAATATTCAATTTTTATTTTGTAAACAAATGTTAAATATTAAAAATTTCAAAGTACATTATGTGTTTATTTAAAGTCAAAATAGAATCTTTAAATCAATTATGAGTTCATAGTTTTATTAAATTCTAATGGATTGATGTTTGTTCTTCAAAATTTTCTTCCAATATTTCAGAGGATTCTTCAATAGGTTCCCATGTTAATTCAGGCTTATTTAAGTATCCTATTCGTATGCATAAAAAACAAGATTTAATATAGCTATTAGAAATTTTTTTTATTATGCTTATACTTATCAAATTATAAACTTCTGAAAAGTTCCAAATGTTATTAACTAACGATAGTAAAAGAAAATATACGTATGTAAATGGTTAAACAAAAATTGAAGGACTTAATAAAACAACCAAATATGTTCTCTTTTAAATTTTTTCAGAAGTATTTATTGAAAAAATGTTCCCCAGTATCAATTATATTAGTTTTATGTAGATTGAATATTTCCACAAATAATCTGGTTATAAAACTCGTATTTGTATTGAAGTATGCAAAAAAATATTACTCAAAATTAAAAAACAATTCTTTTGTAAAAATTTGGATTTGCCTGGTTGCACTAAGTCCTTCAATTGTGTGTTCATAATTAAATATGAACTCAGAGGTATCTCCTAGAACTATAGCCACTTATTTTGTAGAACAAAAATAAATCTATAATAATAGTAAGTTAAAGGTATCAAAAATTTTTTTTTAGAACTATTTGCGTCTTGAAAAAATTCTTGATCCGTGCCTAGGTGCAGACTGGCAGAGTGGGGGCATATGGCGATTACCGCCCTCTAGAATCGCTATGCTTAGGCTTAACATAGCCACATGATCAATTAAGTAATACCTAAAAAATGTTCCCTTAAAATTTTTGAGTTATAAATTATTTTTAAATTATGAATAAAGACAAAGGTAATGTTTGTTGTTATAATATATCAGTAATAAGAGTATACTTTTATCGACATAAAACAGCTATCACTTATTATCAACCACATAATGCATAGGGAATGTTCGTTTTTAGATGTATATGGTTGGGTTGTATATATGTGACCCTATATTAAAAACACAGCTAAATAATTCAATGAAAAATAGTTTATTCAAAAAACAAAAATAAAAACTAGGAAGAGGTTCGTTTATAAAATGTTTATCTAAAACTGCCATTTATAACATTTTAACAGTTACTGGTAATTTAATAAAAATAAAATTGCTGACGAAGTAACACTGTCGGAATAATATTCATTAGAGATGGACTTTTCTCAAGATACAGCCGTTATAGCTCAGTTATGGATTTGTGCGAGATATATTTTAAATGGAAAAATTAATAAAAGAATAATTGCTTTAGTAGAATAAAATGTGATACAGGAGAAGCATTGTATAAATAAAGATTTAGAATTCTTAAATATTTCTTTAACTAATATTTTATGTTATAATCATATTGATGGTGCTGCTAATATGACCGGGAGTTATATTTATAGTTCAAGCGCATTTGAAAAAAATTGCACCAGAATCTCTTTACACATTGTCTTATCACGTATTAAACTTAATTGTCACTGATGTCACTCGTGTTGTTTAGCTGTTCAAGATTTGTTTAATTTATTACAAAAAATTGGAGTGTTTTTTTTTCTGATTCTTATAAGAAAACTGGAATTTGGAAAATTTGTTGTCAAATATTTCACTGGACAATACAAATTGAGAAAAATAAATATCCTTGCGTAAATTACACAGTAACTCAAAATATGGACGATATTCCAACAGAATTTAATGACAACTTGGAAAGTATTTCTTGTCAGCACGGAAATAGACTGTTGCAATTATCCACCACATTTGTTAGAATTTTTATATAAATATAATTTACATACGTCAGCATTTTCAAACTTATACATAGCGTACAAATATATTCTAACCCTCTCCTGCACTCAAGAAAACTGTAAACGAGGATTTTCTAAATTAAAAATAGATTAAGAAATACAATTAAGGAGGATTTATTAGAATATTTTATGTTCATCAGTTTAGAATCAGATATGATTAATACATAAGTAATTATAGACACAATTGGAAGAAGCTCTAGACCATTTACATATTTTTTAATAGAATTAAATTTTCATAGTATTTTTAATTAAAATATTTTTAAAAGGTTTTAATTATTTTTATGTTTGTATATGTTTGTTGTTAAACTTTGTTAAAATAAAATAATATGTTACTCTTAACATTTTTATATGTTAAAAAGAAGTTAATTGTTTTTTTTAATAAAGTAAAATAAAATACACTATACAATAATGTTATGATATACTGTGTATATCATTATTGTCATAATGTACTATTTATGACTTTAATTAATAAATCACATAACATAACGTATATACCAATATAACATTAAGATATATTCATTTTTTAAATGTTTCAAATATACTAATGAAATTTTGTATAAAAAAATCATATATTAATTATATAAAACAAACAGTAAGTAATAAACAATATGTAATTGTAGCACACAAGATGTAGGGTAATAAACTATGTGTAATATATTATGTAAGAAAAGTAGTTATTGACGAAAATTTTATAAATAATATGTAATAAATTACTACAAAACGATTAATAAACATATTATGGTAGTGTCGGTGATCACTTCTTGCCTTTGAAAATACTACAAAACTTAATATAAAAAGCACAAAATAATGAGCATTCGTTACTCTGATGGTGGTCAGAATGCTCTCACTCAGTTAGTCGCGCTCAGATGCGATCAGTCATTATATAAGGTACACACAAAAAGTGATCCGCCGCATCCGTTTTATAATTTTATAAGAAAAAAGAATGTCTATTGTATTTAATGGAAATATCAAGGTAGGAAAATAACAAATCCCCAAAAGTATATAAGGTTTAAAATTAAATTTTATGAGTACATATATTAAGTAGGCACAAAAGAAAATCCAGTGGTCATCAATGATAAAAAATCTACCAAGTAAATTTAATGAATCAATAATTTTTGTACGGAGTTAGTTAGCAGAGTTATACTATTGATACGTGTTTATTTCAGGAGTTCAGTAGTATATCATTGATAACCGTCAATACTCGTATCATTATTGTAATAAAGAGTGTGACAATTGATTATAGTAAATTTAATATTAATAAATAAAGATCACTTTATTTATCTATCACTTTTTATCTTTCTTACAAAACCCTCGTACTCATACCCTAAGTAATAATATTATTAAAACAACAAAAATAGCAACTCACCACCCACAAACAAACATTTTTTTTTCTTTTTTTTTTTTTAAGTTACTACAATATACTTTTTTTTGGACCTCATGAAATAAAAAAAGGCTCTTTAACTTCATAATTGGGCCTCCTAAAATTTCCCTGTATCGTGCCTTTGGGGTCCCAGTCCGCTCCTATCCGTGGATGGTTTTTAGCCATTAACTAGAGATTTTAAAAAGCGCAAATGTATAAAAATTTGTCTGGAAAAAATTATGAAATAGCTTAAGGAATATTCAGATTTTTAAGAATTCATTAGTACACTAAGATATCACTAGGCGACATCAAAACATTTTCCAAAATATACATTCAAATAGGTAACTTGAAAAACTTCTCAATTCCTTATTCAACATTTGTTCATAGAATATTCCTCATTCCTAGGGTATTTTGTTTAAAGTTAAAGAAATCGATACAAAAACAAGATAACTCCATTTTTTAAGAAGCTAAAAAAATTTGTTCTTATCATTTATTCTTACCTAGTAGAAAACTAAAAAAGCTATATTGTTGATATTATTTATTATAACTATTTTTATAGTCGTCACTTTAATCTTGATTGAAAAATGTCAACATTTAATTTTAAAATAAAAATGGAGTAGTCTTCTTTTTTTGCACTGAACTCGTTAATCAAGCTAACCTCGTATAGTAGAATGTTTAAATCTGGGCTCAATTCGAAATTCTTTTGCTTTTATTCCATCATTTTCTTCGGGTGGGGCGTAAAACCGTAATGTTGGAAGTGGTTGCTTGCTCAATGTTTTCATTTCTAACGTTATTCCATTAACTTGCTTATCATCCTATATATATATTTTTTATAATTTATTTGAACATATCGATTAACTAAATTTATCATAGAATACTTTCCACGCACCACTTTATTGATTTTGTATCCTTCCTGCATCTGAATTGATTGTCTTTTATTCCTTGCTATCTCTGCATTAATTTCTTCATCACGACGCTTTTTCCATTGAACGTGTGTGCAATAAGCATGGTATGACACCGACACAATAATAAGGAAGAGAAAACAAGACATGATCAATACAATAACTGTAAACATCATATAATAAATACAATTTATGTTATTAAATAATAATAATTGATCATTTGTAACTAATATTGTTTAAAATTAAAAATATTAATTTAATACTAAAAGATACTTAACTCAAAACGCCACAAAAATACTGAAAAATCAGTAAGGGTTGGGTTGGGTTGGCTAAAAAATTAGTAAGGACTTAAAGCAGAATCTTGGTGCACTCCTACTCTTACCCTAAAATCTTCTATTACTCCCACACTTTTTACCTTGGTATAAGTGCCATCGTACATATCTTCTATTATATTAATATACCATTTCGGTACTCCTCTTCTCATTAATGTCCACTTAAAAACCTCTTGGTACTCTATTATATGCTTTCTCCAAATCTTTAAATACCATACACAGCTTTTTCTTCTTTTCTATTAGTTCCTTCGCAAAAAATAATGGCTCCATTGTTGACTTACCAGGCATATATCCAAACTAGTTTTTAGATACCGACGTCTCATAAGCTTTATGTCTCTATAATTTCCACACTCTTGTATATATGTTTTGCTTTAAAATATCGGGACTACAGTACTATTCCTCCATTCTTTTGGAATTGCCCTTCTAATAAGATTTTATTAAAAAGATTCTTCAACCACTTTTTACTAATACCTCCTAATATTATCCATACTTCTACTGGCATTCATCTGGTTCTACTGCTTTATTCTTTTACATTGATGCCACAGCCTCCTATATCTCTTTCTCACTAATTAAATCTACCATTTCCTCGTTCCATGAAATATACTCTAATGTCTTTCTTGGATACTCCTCATTGAGTGATTTTTAAAAATACCCTTTCCAACTTTTTTCCATATCTTCATCGCTCGGTAGCAACCTATCATCATTTTTTATATATCTAACATAGTAATAATCTTTAGACCCTTTTTTTCTTACTTTTGCAAGTCAATAGACTTTTTTTTTGCCTTCCTTTGTCCCTAGCCTATCATACAACTCATCATACCTTTTAAATTAATGAAAAAAATATTAATGATAGCGATCAATTTTTTCTACCTAAAATATCTAAAATTATCTACCTAATAGTATAATGGTTTATCGATTAAAAATATTTTCTTATTGCTTGTCAAAAAGGGAAATACCGATCAAAATTAATTGGTTAATAACAGTCACTTCTAGAATGACTGGTGTTATCCCATTCTTGATTAACATGTGAAAATGCAAGTAAATTTTAAATTTAAATTAGTTTATTCTGATTAGATGCCTCGTTCTTATAAAAGACTAAGTATCACAGGAAATTTGAGTTCAGAATCTTTAATCGTAGCAATATTAAATATTAAAATAAAAATAATGAGCATCCGAAAAGCAGCTCAACATTATAATTTGCCCTATAGCACTTTACAGAACAGACTAAAAATCGATAATATTAAAACAGTAATAGTAGAACAATTATCTATTTTCACCTCAGAACAAGATTCAGAAATTACTAAACATGTTTTAAATTGATCAAATTTGTTTTATGGGCTGTCTCACCAATTCAATTGAAATCAGTTGCATTTGAATTTGCAGAAAAAAAAATATCACACATCCTTTTAATGCACAGAAACAATTAGCCGCAGTAGACTGTGTTATAACTTTATTAGAAGTCAATGTACAAAAACCTGAGACCACGACTATGAGCAGAATATCAGCTTTCAACAAAGTAGAAGTAGGACTATTTTTCAAAAACTTGGAAGGATTCATAATTAAAAAACCCAGCACAGTAGGGTCGCTAATTAATATAATATATATAAAAATATACCAAATGAAAGGTAAAGACAACATGCATCTACGAAAAAAAAAATTATATTGATTTGGTTATTTTTAAAAAAGTTATAGTAGTTTTAAGTAAAAAAATTGAAAAAATTTCGAAAATAAGCAAATTTTAAATTTGTAATTTTTTTGGAGGTTTCCCCCATAAATGGGGGACAAGGGAAATTTTTTCAATTTTTGAGGGTAATGTCTTTGACTAGATACAATTTGTGATCTTTTGACGTTTCGTCGAAAGAAATCGGTTTGGCGAGAGCTGATATACTATTACTTTCTCAGCTTCGCATGGAAGCTAAAAATAATTTATGACATATTGAAACAGAATATTGCGCTTTCTTTATTAAGAAAACATAATAAAATATAAATTTTTACTTTAAAGTCAAATGTTTAAAAAATCCAAAAATAAAATGTTTGATCAAATAAAAAATATTATTGGAACAAAATGTTAGTTACTATTTTCTCTATTATATTATCAAGTTAAATTTAGTAGTTCCCATTTAGAAAAATTAAAGATTTTTTATTCATGAAGAGATAAAAAAAATTATTTGACTACATAATTTTGTAGTTTTTTTAATTTAAAAGTATGAAAAATGTTCAATAGTTTCTGAGAATATTTGTGTCTTACCAAAATTTGATCACCCTGTATATTAATCGTAATTTACAATAACACAAAAAGTATCTTGATATTTAAATTAATGTGTGAATTACTATTAAATGTGTTGTCCTGTTGAGTTAAAACTTTTGCATATTTTGAATCATAAGACATTCGAGCTGGTGGATCTAAAACCCAAGTTTGTTCTACTCCCTGAAAAAAGTTATCGGATCAAAATTAAATTAGCGAAATTACATTTTCATTGGAAACACATACATAACTTATATTTAGTGAAGGCCCAGGTCTTGGTTTATGAATGTCATCAAATGAAGCACATTGAGCACTGCGAACTCCTTGTGAATTAGTTACGTTGACTTTTTCACTACCAGTTTTTGTGAATAACATATATTCATCTAATGGTCTCATATTGTTGTAATTAACTTCCAAAATTACATCTTAAATAACAAATAATTATCACTAGTTATTATTCGAACATAAAAAAGTTACAAGATAACATTCATGACTATTGTTGTGTAAATTATTTTGAAAGGTAATTTGATCATATTTTCAGTTATTTTTGAAAAATTAAAAAAATTTAATTGACTTGAAAAAATAAACTCTGGCAATACTTTTACGCTACCTAAAAAATTATTAAATTACTGGTATGCGAATTTTTTTTTAATAAAAAATAAATGAGTTATAATTCTAAACTGAAAAATCAATACGAACTTTTATGAGTAAACGTATACTATTATTTAATGAACATTATTTTAGTTTTAATAAATTTATGTTAAAACTTTTAACATAAAAGATTATTTTTATTTGTTTCATAAATTTTTATAAAATTGGATACATTTAATCTAGTGTTGCCTTAAAAATTAAGGTAAACAATTTTATTATAATGAATATATAACCTAAAATAATGGATATTTGAAACTTGCAAATTTTTCTAAAATAATAATAATTCTTTTCTGTTTCGTAATAAACTAGGTCAAATATAAAATCGCATATCTAAAAATTCACTTTAACTACCCATTCATCCTATTCATGTAATCAATTTATTTAACAAATTTACTTATTGTACGCATTATATAGATTGTAAATATACAAATAAAGAGAATATTTTATCAAAAAAATTCACTTTGAAGTTTTAGGGTCATATTTATAGTAATTTCCTATAAGTAAGCTGTACTTAAACTATCTAAATAATTGCTTAAGAATAGTTTTTTTAAAACGTTTCATAAGTATCAATTATAAATACCAAACTAAAAAATCTTCCCAGTTTATACAGTGGTTTTTCTTCTCAAAGACGTATTTAAGATTTTGTGATCTTGGAGAAAATATATTTTAATACCCTATATAATCTTAGTTTATTAAAATTTAGTTAATAGAAATACTTTATTTTGCCAATACAATAAATAAATAAATAGCGAATTACTCCCAATATATACCTTAAAATTTACTAACCGAAGTCATTATACTTTTGATTATCGTTTAAATACGCCAAAAGAAATTTAACATGAATGTTATTACATGGATTTATAATTTATTCAATAAATATTATTATTAATTTACAAAATCATTTTTACAGAGTTAATCCTTTATCATAAACTACTTAATTAATCGAAAAATAAAAAATAATATTGATTATTTTTTTATTGGTTTGTGTTTAGCTCTATGTTTTTCAATTTTTTAATAATAAAGTATCTCTTTTGTTCATTCTTTAAACCTTTTAAAAGAATTAATTTCGTTTCAAATGGCAAAATAAATATTTAGCCAACTTTTTACTAAATAATGATCTAATTAAAAAAATGTTCGGTCGATTATAAATTTTAGATCAATTATTTAGTAGTATTAACATTTTATATTTAGGCAGGAGGAGGAGAAAGCCTGAGAAATATCTAGTGATGAAAGTAATAACACCCACGTCTCACTTCCAGTTATTATTTTAATTATTAATAACATAATCTCTGTATATTATTTGTGATTATTTCATATTATACAAAATCTATAATAATTTATACTTTGAAAATGTTTAAATTGTGTTCAAAATTACTTTGTTATTAAGTAATGAAATAACGTTCATGTTTTAACATAACATGTTTTAATTTCGGTAACAATATATGCAGAGAATTACACCACTCTGTTTATGATATTGAACATACTTGAGATGCATCCACTATAACTTGTATAAGAAGCAAATCGAGGATCTGTAGTATTGAGTCCACCAATTTGGACTTCATTATCTCCGGCTGTAATATCTGTTAAAGTATCTGTTAGACTTAAGACTGGAATTTTTTTGAGTTCTACCGGATCTCTATCAACCTTATATAGAAATAGTTTACATTAATTTATTAAGTTAAATAATGCCAGAAGATTGTTAAAATTATCTGAAATTAAATTATGGCTGGTATATAAAAAATCTAACAATTATTAGAAGTTATTATTATCAAAGGAAACAGTATTCAAGTTAGTACTGAACACGTCTGTAACATAATGTTAAAATGTCACTAGTTGTATTACAACGATAATGGAACTTTTTTTTATTATCTTTTTTGGGTGACAGGGTTGTCATACGCAAATTTGTTGATTTAATGCTCATTACGAAAAAAAAAGTTTGTAATTTTTATGTTATTTATCCCGAGTGGGATAAAATTGACAATTACATTATTTTAAATATTTTACAAGTGATTCCACCACCATTCTCCCTTTAGATCTTCCAGTCTTGATTATACTTTATCGTACTTATTGTAATAAGTATAGAATTTTTATTCTATAGAATTTACAATTTCATACCATTAATACTGAACTTGATTCAGTTCTTTTGTAATACACCGAATGTCTTGCTCCATTTAAAAAATTTCTATCTTTTATACGAGCACCAAATGCTCCACCAGTTCCTTCACGGTCTTCTTCGAAAATCATTTCTCCTTTCTCATTCAAGGCGACAATTAAATAATAACTTCTCCTAGTGATACATAAATAGTGATGTAAATTTTGAAATTGAAAAAATTTTTAGGACTTTATGTTTACTTAATAACTTAATCGGTCATTTATATTAAAAAATTATTTAACAAAAAACTGTTTTAAAATCTAATTCTAACAGTACAAAATAATAATAGGACTTCAAATATTAATTCAAAACATTTAATTAATAATAATAAATTTTCCAATCTAGCATATTATTTTTATTATTATTTTTTTTTAGGGAATTAATTTGTAACATGTGTATTAAAAGTAATGCTAATAGTATAAATTAATAAATTTGATTATAGAAACCCTGTTTTTGGACTTTTATAATGTTGTAAATTATTTATTCGAACAATACTTTAAGAAATGTTAGAGTGGGGTTTTAGAACTATGCTCTTTTTTATTAGCCTCTTCAAAAAAAATTAAAACTTAATGTTAATATAAGATAATAGTCTCACAGCTATAATATATTAATTATTATTATTATAAGAACTCAAGTAATTGGCGCAGCCAGAGGCGCCACTTTCCTCATTAAAAAGGTCCAAAAAAGGTTTCGTCGAGACTATTAAGAAATCTTGGCTATGTCACTATCTCAAACCAATTACACATTTCAATCACGAATTATAAAGGTAATATGTTAATTTTTCAGGAATCATGAAAAACTGTCTAGAATATGTTGTGTTTTCAACAGTAAACTGTATTTTTAAAAACACTATATTTGATTTTTGGATTATTATCATTTTGAATTATGTAATTAAAACTTAATATAAAATAATAAAATAGATTTATCTCTTTTCCAATGTTAACTATTTGTCTAATGAAGCCAGCTAGATAAACAAAGGGTATTTTAGAAAAATTAAAAAAAATACACATAAACTTTCTTTATAAATATGTAACATTTAAAACATCAAAATACAAGTTATAGGCACAATACATACCATAAAATTTAAAATAATATTTTAATAAATAATTAAGGTAGTTACGCTTTTTAATGGTTTTGAACAAAATTTTTTTTTTTTATTATGATACATAATTATTTTTTTTTTATAAAACCGCTTGTATTTTATTGTTTTGTATTATACGTATAATACAACATCATACGAATTGTGTTATAGGAATTACATCACTGTATACAGGGTGATTTTTTTATCATAACCCACTCAATTACTTACAGAATAATAATAATTTAAAATTTTTTTTTTATTACTATCTTTAGTTACACATTATTCTTGAATTATTAACTATGTAATACTTTTTAAGTTCATCCCTTATGCCTGGTAAGGGTGTCAACTTTGTTTTTTTAAATGGTAACACATATTTTTAATTTAATAAAATGTTTGAGTTTTTAATTCAATAGTAAATGGCATTTGAATTTTTAATGAAACTTAATTTGTTTATTAGATATAAACATTTAAAGTTTCAAATTTTTGAGTTAATATATAGGTATAATACACAAGGGATTACAAATACAGGTAGCTAATTGATTTTTTATGAAAACGATATTAGTTGGTACACAGCATTGTTATTATNACATCGATATTAGCAGGTACACAGCATTGTTATTATCAATGATAGTAAGGTACATTGTTGTGAGTTTATAAATACACTAACTGACAATACAAAAAGTATATCTATTGATAGTCATAATTGATAATAAACAATCCGTGACTGTGATAGCAATATCATAAAAAACCAATTAGCTACCTGTATTTGTAATCCCTTGTGTATTATACCTATATATTAACTCAAAAATTTGAAACTTTAAATGTTTATATCTAATAAACAAATTAAGTTTCATTAAAAATTCAAATGCCATTTACTATTGAATTAAAAACTCAAACATTTTATTAAATTAAAAATACGTGTTACCATTTAAAAAAACAAAGTTGACACCCTTACCAGGCATAAGGGATGAACTTAAAAAGTATTACATAGTTAATAATTTAAGAATAATGTGTAACTAAAGATAGTAATAAAAAAAAAAATTAAATTATTATTATTCTGTAAGTAATTGAGTGGGTTATGATAAAAAAATCACCTTGTATAAATGATAAAAGTTATATAAAAAAAATTTAATTTTAACCTAAACACCAACAAACACATCAAAAATCTACAATAAAAAATACTACTGCGATTGCATCGACTTACTTGTTTTCTGTTTGAATTAGCAATAATACTGTACTACGTTGCCTTTTATCGCTACTCGAGAAAGCAAGATTTAATTTAACTTGAGTGACAGGTCCTTCGAGAAGGAATTTACGTCTTAAGACTGATAAACCACTAAAGTCAGCACCTTTATCTATTTTATAAACATTCTCGTTATTTAATTACAAAAATGGTTATTATTTTAAACACATTACCTAAACCACAAAAATCTCCATAGTAAGAAGTATGCTCACAATCACAAGAACTACCTCCTTTTTCAAAATTTTCTATACAAATCCCTTTATTTTTACATGGCTGTTGCTCGTCACATTTCATATTACAACCAGAAATTATCCCTCGTAAATCTATTGAGTTAAAATAAAAAGGAAAATGATTGAAATATCTTTAAAATACTTAAAAACATTATTATATAATAACTTTTAAATCCCATAAAATTTTTTTTTTAAACCCATATTTACCTTTCTCTTTTAAAGTGTTAAAAGAAGAACTAGCTAAGCCAAGACTACTGAAGCTGACAACAAAGTCATCAATTTTTAATCCTCTAACGCAACCAACGTAACCTGCTAATTTCAAAAGCTCCTTTTTGCTACTGATTAAATTTTCAGGGTCAAATCCACCAATATTAACTTGAAAGTATTCTGTAGGAGGAGCTGGTGGTCTTTGTGGAGACAAAACCTCTAAAATAATACATGATTACTATTTGTATGTTTTAAATATGGCTTATTATTTTTACTAATACATACCCAATTCTGGATTAATCCAAGGTTTACTAGTATAATTCACTAATAAACTTAAACTCACAGGAACAGAACTGTTGGCGTCGTTAACATGTAATGTTGTTGTATTTTCTGTTCTTACTATGGCTAATTGAATAGATTTTCCGCGGTTTAATCCTAAAAGCTAATTTAAATAAGTAAATAATTTAAAGACCAGATTATTAAAACTTACCAGGATATTTTACAGTAATATTATATATTTTATGACGGTGATTAAATACAAATACCACAGAATTTCCATTCAAAATAAATAGCTGAACAAAATTATTTAAATGATCATTTGCATGAAGAATCAATGCATTTTCATCATACGTTCTTAAATTCATCAGTATGTTTTTTGTTAATAGCTTATAATACGATTCTTGACTTAATTCAGTGATATTGTTTATAAAATAATTTCGCTTAAAATATGATTCTCTTGTAATAAAAGTCAGTCCTTGAGTGTTAATATCTAAATTCAGATAGAAAGTTGTCTATATTTATTAAAAATTTGTATTGGTAGTTAAATTTAGATATAAATATGTAATTTGAGTAACTTAACTATATAATAATATATTCTTATTATATAATTATTGTATTGGGTGTAATTTTGATTATAATAATGAGTTAAACTGACTTAACTATTTTCACAATAAATTCCGCTATAAGCCCAAGGATTTTCACAAACACATTGAAAGGTGCTCCAAAGTTCTTTACATTTTGCACCATTCTTACATGGATTAGGTGCACATGATGGTTTACATTCTTTAATAATTTCTGATAAATGCACGCTCATGTAAGAATAAATATCAAGTATTTCACCATTTACTACTAAACCACGAAAACAGCCAATCAAACCTTGACTAACTGATGTAACTTGAAGTAAATCTCTAAAAAAATAAAATAAATATAATTAAATATATGTAAACAGTAGTAGAGCATTAAACATCAAAAGGATTCCTTTTGTTTTGGATATCCTTCTCAGTAATTATTTCAAAATTTAAAAAATCTATTGTAGATGTGTTATATAATCAAAACACCTTTACAGAAACTTAAACAAAAAATAACTGACACTTACTCTGTAGCACCTCCAATATACATGCTACCCTCAAATGGTCCAAATTTTTCATTCGGCAGTAAATCAATCATTTCATAATCCGTATTGATCATAAAACGAACGTGGTGTGAGTTGTAATCAATCCAAATTTTTTGCCATTCTCCGTTATTTAATCGCCGTCTTGATTTTACTTCCATTTCTCTCGACTTTCCAGAATTTAATGTGAAATTAAAAGTTAGTTTGAAATCTAAAAGTAATAGATTGATAATGTAATATTGGCTTATTAGTAAAGGTTTCCATAAGAAATATTCTAAATATCGGTTGGTATTTAATCTAAAACCGAATAACAGACTGCTTTTTTAGTACTCGATTTTATAAGTTATTCGATTTTTCAGTACTAATATTTTTCCTTGCATTACTGATTCTCGCCAAATTATTAGACAAAAAATATTAAATGTTTTTACTAAATAATAATTATGTTTGATGACAATATTTTCAGCCATTGAATATTAGTGATATTTAATGCACTTGACATTTACTCGATCACCGAGTACCTGATCTCCTTTTATAGGATTCGAATTTTATTCAGTTCTCAGTTTTCATATTAATCTTATTGACCGAAAGAACTCTAGTTTTTATAGATCCTTTGTAATAAAAAAAAAACCATCACAGGGGGGTCGCGGCACAGTGGTGACGTGACATATTNAAAAAAAAAACCAGCACAGGGGGGTCGCGGCACAGTGGTGACGTGACATATTTGGATCAAGTATAATGATATCTGACAGTGATTAAAATCACTATCCAAAAAAAAAACGCTTCGATGCAAATCTTTAGATAGTGTTTAATTTTAAAAAATTGGTGGATTATTCGAAAAGCCACATGATCTGCTAGTTCCTTATTAATATCCTGATTAAGATAAAGTATGTCGAATGAAAAAGAGATTATTAAAAAATATTATTTCTCATGAAAAAATTGTGTTGATCCATACACTTTTCAATAAGTTATGACATTTTAAAGTTAAAAATGTAAAATATAAAATCGACAATTTTCACACAAAAATAGCATTCGGAAGCCATTTACACTACGAAGACAAGTCCAGAGGTCAAATTTTTTTTTTTCATAATAAAGAACATTACATTAGCTTTAATTTAAGATATATATAAAAGTGTCAGACCTTCCGAAACATTTTCAAAAGTTAAGTTGAAAAAGTTAATTTTTTGTGAAAAAGTTGTCATTTTAAATCCCCCCTGTGAGCAGATAAAGTGTTATATTTACAAAAAAAATATCTTAAATGATAGGTAAAGACATCATGCATTTATAAAAAAAAAAAAATATATCGATATATTCATTTTTGAAAAAGTTATGACTTTTAAGTAAAAAAAATTGAAAAAATGTCGAAAATAAGCGAATTTTAAATTTGTAATTTTTTTGGAGGTTTCCCCCATTTACGGGGAACGAGGGAAATTTTTTCAATTTTTGAGGGTAATGTCTTCGACTAGATACGATTTGTGATCTTTTGACGTATCGTTGAAAGAAATCCGTTCGGTGAGAGCTGAGAAAAAGTGGTAACAGACA